TCATTATAAAAGATCTGAGTATGTAAATAGATTTTATAGCCACTATATCTAGAGAGCTATGCAAACAGAGTTACTTCTAATCCTAATGGGCCATCTGCTGCAGTCAGATTAAGTTCTTACAATGATTATTGTGCCCTCAGTAGTCTATCAGAATTCACGTTATACCTACATAGCAAGAACAACTATAAACAGCATGGAGCATAAGTATGAAATTACGACCACCGATTCAGAAGTACGATTCTACATTAAAGCAATACTTGATCTAATTTTACGTAGTATGTAAATCTGATAAGAGTTTGTGGGTTCTCAGTGGGAAGACATCGACACCAGCAAACATCCATTCCCTTCGGAGATTTGGGTAATAAAACCCGTATGGCAAGTGGTCGTAAAAATTCTTAGTGTTTTACCAATCGTCATCGTTGGATCTCTAGCTAATAGTGGTTTAATTTACGTGGTGATGAAAGAGAAGTCCCTCCGAACCACTACGAATCTCCTAATTGTAAACATGTGTATCGCAGACTTAGGCAGCTGTATAATATGCCCATGGATGTTCCTCTGCAGAGATCTATTTCAGAACTACATTTTGGGAGAAATTGGCTGCCGTCTGGATGCATCATTGGTACATGCACTGACATTGGTGGTAGTCTTTAATTTGAGTGCAATAAGTTACGATCGTCTGTCTGCAATTGTATTCAATTGTTCAGGAAAGCTAACAAAGAGGTTGTATTACAAAATATTGATCGAACTAAAAATGCACGGGATGCATCAACACGCATAAGTGTACTTTTCTGTTTGAAGGACGATTTACACGTTGCTCATCATTACTTGGATTTCTGCTGTTGCTGTTACTGCTCCTTTGACTTATTTCCGACGTTATTACGAAAGGCAATGGAAAAATTATTTAGAAACTTTTTGCACCGAGGACACAGTGCTGGTCTATCCATACTGGCACATATTTGCAGGCTTGAGTGTCTGGGCACCACTGGCCATTATGGCAATATGTTATTCAGCTATTCTAATTAAAGTACCCATCTAAACTTTCTCATATTTGATAAACAAACAAAGGTTTATTAAAGCTTCGTAATGTTTATTACAGCTAGATCGCTATGAATCACAAGCCCTAAGAAGTAAATATCCTATAGTGGTAAAATATAAAACCAAAGTGGCACAAGTGCTAGCTCTTCTAGTACTGGTTTTCATAATATGTCGTGTACCGTTCACAGTGTTAATAATTAGGAGGGCTCAATTGCTACAAGGTACACCTAAACCAGGACAAGCTGATGCTGTATACCCTCTGTGGTAAATATTTTTGTAACATTCAATTATTACAAAACATGATTTGTGCTGAAATCAGATGTGAAAAACTGTGTAACATAAAATAATTTATATAACAGGTATGTGAGTAGGTACCTGGTGTTGGTCAATACAGCCATAAATCCTCTATTATATGGTTGTAGCAGCAGTTCATTGAGGAAGCAGTTAGCACTCTGTCCTGCTACATCTTGGCTCATCCGTAAGAAGCACGAGTCAAAACCACATAGTGTTTCACAGTTAAAATCGGATCGTTTCCATGAATTAAGACCGCGTTCTCCTTGCATAAGAATAAACTATAACGAAAGAGATGTAATACCAAACAATATATCTACTGTCACCAGAACAAATTTAAACTCAACTCAACTTTAGTTTGGTGTTCCAAGTGGATCAGTATTAGTAATGAAATTCGTCACACATAATGTCACAATAAGGACAGGATATCATGAGATACGTACTAATAAATATATCATTTTTCTTGCGACGACACCTTTATCTACTTATATAAACGTTATATTTAAAAAATACAAGAAAAGTGTTATTGACAATAGAATAAAATAACAAACACCGACAATCTTAAAGTATGAAGCAAGTCTTATTTTTCCTGAATAAGTAAAATGCAAATTCAATACATCAGAGAAGAAATCATTTAATTGCTACGTTTTTAAGACTGTCAACTATAATTTTACCACCGTTGGAAGTGAACAAAAGATTGCCGCTCCAAGACGCTTCTCCACTACCATTTATTACAAGATCAGGCTGTAAGAAGATTAATAAATATTAATAAATCACAAGTCGAAATATCAATTTCGATACGGTACAAGAATAAAAACGTACTTGTAATTTCTCCCACACTTTCTTCTTTGGATTAAGTACATCATCAGGAGTTCCATCTTCGTATCCTTCCACAGTAATTTTTTCACCAGGTTTGCTATCTACTGGAGGTCTCAGTGGTTCCACTCGTTTCGTAGGTTCATCTCTATTCGAATTCAAGATTTATTAAAGATGTATTAAGACATAAAATATGATATTATATTCATTGAATTCAAACATACACAGAGGCACAGAGAACCATTCCATGAGACTGAATACCCCTAAGATTCGCTGGTTTCAAGTTAGCAAGAATAACTACCATTCTGTTTTCCATCTCTTCTAATGGTACATAATTTACAAGTCCACTAACTATTGTACGTGGCCCGCTGGCGTCTCCTACGTCAATTTTTTCTACATAAAGTGAATCAGCATCTGGATGCTTTGATACTTCGACTATTTTTCCAACCCTGATATCCAATCGAGCTGGTGTCAATTCCTCTATAGCTTCTAAACATTAAAATAATGAAATTTTAATATTATTATTTTGATTTATGTACTTTTGGAAATTATAATTGTATGTGCAAAAATATATTACTTTGTTTCTGTTGGGGTGAATATGCTTTACTAGCCAAAACTTTCAACTTTGGATTCCCTTCAAATTCTTTCCTAATTGGGTCCAACAATTTGTTGATGTAAATTTCAGCTGCATTTTTCAGGTCTCCAGGATGTATTTCTTCCTTGGCAAATGCATTTTCCAAATCTTCATACTTGTCAAAAGATATATCTCCACCTGTAACAGACAATTTTTGTTAATAAAACAGATAAAATATTTTTGAATTGTACCTACCAAATTCGGCAGTCCTTGGTACATTGAATGATTCCCCCTCCTTAAACAGAGGATATATTACATGTTTGGCAAATGACAGAACTCCATTGTCAGTTATATTCCCAGGCTCGCAAAATGCTTTCTTTAACTTCTTCTTAACTGCTGCAGCATTGTCCAGAAGATCAATCTTAGAGTCTTCCTCAGACGAAGACATCTTTGATCCAGCTAAACCAGGTACTAAAACAAAATTGATGTATTTCATTGTTTCTGCTTAACAGAATCTACTTCATGTTTAAGTACTATATTTGTGCTGTATACATACTCATTGGATTCATTAAATGAATACGCTTCTCATAGCCAAGCATCGGTAAATATTTTTCTGAGAATGTGAAAATTTTTCTTTGGTCTACACCACCAAATTGGGCATCAACCTTAAGATATTGTTCATCTAAAGCTTGTAGTCCAGGATACAACAATCCAGACAGTAAGGGATTTGCTATTTGTTTAACTACTTCAGCTCCAGCTTTCTTTGCATCATGTTCAGTTACAAGAGAGGTCAATCGATAAACATCTAATGTGTATTCCCTAGTAAAAGAAAATTTTATTAAAATTATATCTCATATATTTTATATATGTTAAGTAATAGAATAATTAATTACTTAGACAACTGGTAATCAGTCCCTTTTACAAATTTTAATTTATCCAAAGGCACATTGATGGATTTAAGCATTGCCTTGATAACTGCCTCATAATATTGTGTACGAAGATCCAAAAGCTCCCAAGGAGCTTTCATGTTATCCAAATAAGCATGAAGGTCAGCAAACAATATTGTAACTTCAGTTCCAGCTCTTAAAAAGTCAGCTATCTTTGACATTGGTGTGAAGTATCCAATATGGGGTTTTCCAGTAGTTGCAGTACCCCAGTATAACTTAAGATCCCTCTGTTTTAGGATATTTTTCATTTTCTCATCACCGAGCCACTCTGCCAAATTCCTGGTAATGAGATCATATTTTTCTTCCCACTTTAATTCGACCATGTTTGCAACTCTGAATAAAATCAAAAATCAATTTATTTATTAAAGCGCTTAGTAAATATTAATATATACTTATCGAACAAAATGTGACATTCATATGCCGGCCACGTGTGTAATAAGCTTGTCAAGTCGATAAGACTTAACCTCTGACACAATATTTAAGTCTCTTTTTTTAACATAACGATAACCACATTTTATTTCAGTAAAAAATAACGTAAAAGCGTTGAATGTAATTCTATTAAAAAATAATAGCTAAAATAAATGATGTAATCTAAATTTTTATTGAATTTGTATCAAATAGTTTTCAGAAATTGTTACAGATTCTAACGAATTAAACACTTTAATACGTATGAATTACAATAAATTTTATTACACTGAGTAACTTCGATTCCAGATCCAAAATTTCGTGATACGCGAAACCGGACGAAGCTGGTGGAGTACACGCATGCGAATATGATGTGTAAATTGTACGGGAAACAGACGGCTAATGTGGACGGAATGCAATGTCTGATGAAATCTTCAACTCAATAACACTATCAATTGTGTTTAATTATTTCAAGTACACATAACATAATTATACGTGAAAGAATCATCTAGAATTTAGAGTAATAAATTCAATTTCTTTTGCGTTTCGTTATTACTTTCAATCGTTGTATCTTCCTCATCTCTCTCGTTAAAAACATTATAGGAAGTATTTTGCTGTATTAATGGCTTGTTTATCTCGTTCATCATCATTATTCTCTCGTGTCTTTCTCTAGCGAATTTGTCAAGTCTTTTATAAAATGTTGACGTTGATGGAAACATACGTTTGAAATCACGACGATTTAAACGCAATAATTCGCAGACTTCAATTGCCATTGCTGTTTCTAGCCTCTGCCGATTAGGTAAAATTAAAGAGCCTTCTCCAAAATGACCTCCGTCTGTTTCGTGGCATATCTTACAAGGAAAAAGGATTTAAATAATAATTTCTTTTCAATTTTTTCTAAAGAGGACAAATTCTCGTTAAATTACTTCTCTTCCCTCGAATGTAATTAGAGCAACAGTACCACTCACTATGAAGAACATGTCTAGACCTTCAGATTGACTTTCGTAGATAATATCTCCTTTCAAATATATAACTGGTTTTAATATCCCTAAACATATTTGTATGTTATAATAAAAAGAGCTACCCCAATTTTATGTTGTATATATATCATTTTTTTATGTCTTACCCATTAAATTTCCAATAACATTACGAGGTAAATAATGAAGAAGTGTGGCTGTATCTAACAATCCGCGACTACTGTTTATTATGATCTCTTGGTATAGATGATCTATGTTCAAGAATGAAATGATTCTGAGACTTGGGTACTAAAATGATAATTATATGTCTTTGTATACAAACTATTAACTTGATAAAGTATTGGATATGGCTTTCTCCTTAAAGAAGCTGCCTTGGAAACGATATTCATAATAAGCAAGGAGCTTATGTTTAAGTCTGTCTGGAAGTTTTTTCTCGTGAATATATTCATTTACTCTGTACATAATTCGTTGATACTTCAACTCCGGCTCTGCAGCTGATCTTGCCAGTTGCAGAATCAATACTATTACAATACACAAGTTGAAAGATATTCTTTTCAATAAATACTTCCATAAACTTGAAAAAGAATTACCTATAATATAAATTAAACACCCTTTTCCTAGTATTAAAATTGTGCAACGTACTGCTGTATCTTTTGTGCTTAAATCGTACAGTTCAGTAAAACTTGATCCAAAGAAATTGCTCACACCCATGTGGAGATACTGTAAATAAATTTCTGCACTCGATTTCTTATTTATTCCTGATACAATTAAATACAATTCACTCTCCTGAAATGGTGGAAATTAAATTTCTTTATATTTATTTGATAGATCTATGAACATACTTCCATGGTTGAGCGATCAATGTGCGCAAAGATAACCGGAGCAACGTGTGTGAAACAGCAACTCCAGTGGAATATTAATGTCATAAGCATTGCTATCCATAAGGCTTTATCCATAGCATGAGAAATTGTAAAATTCTGCAAAAATGAAATTCTGTGTCTCCTAACTTGTTACTGCTTTGGAATTTTTCTTTCTATCGATGCTTATACTTACTGCTGTGATCTGCCTTAAATAAATGCGCAATGTCCAAATGCGAACTAACTTCACCGTTGGCAATAGTTCAGGTATTAAGAATAATGAGTTTGCTTCGGGGCCTGGAGGTGTTATAGTGTACTGCTGGAACCACAGCATGGGAACCGACGATATAAAATCAAAGAAAAAATAGCGTTTCCCATAATGTCTAAAACAAACATAATGCTTTAAATCATAAATGAACAACTATGAAATTTCAAACGAGGAAGATGTGAATTACTTCACCTTGCTATTAGAACTGGGTCTAAAAATATTTCATGTCCCTCGGATGAAGTGAATCCAGTTATAAAATTTAAACCAATATCAATTATACAAATCATTAATGCAGGATATATTAGAGTCCAACTAGATGGGTTGGTACTTTTTACTATTCTATGAAATGACACAATATATGGCGCAGTAATGAATAGGTATAGATAAATAAACGTCATTAGAATGTTCCAGTAAAACCTATGTATATGAATGGATATTAATTTCAATGACGAACATAAATGAAACTTCACTGAAGAAAATTACCTAAAGTCGCTACATGGATGAATTATCCACCAAAACGAAGACCGCCCATGTCTTCGTTTCTCAAAAGCAATTGCAGCATAACTGCGTAACGTGTTACGCGTTAGAGGATGGTTCTCAGAAACCAAAATGAACTTTTGAAATTTTCGTCTCCAACGAGCATGAAACTTTGCGTTGGGTGGTAACTTCGGTAAATTACTCTGTGATGTTTTCGGTAGCTCACATACATGAACATCTACTCGCTTCTTTAATAATTTATCAACAGTCATTGTATTACGCTTTGGATCAAACATTGTAAACTTTTAATATTTCGCTTAAATCTTGTAAATTCACTATCTTCAAAGTTATAATTACTAACTTCTGTTTGCTATTTCTTTTTTTTTCAAGACGTTTGTCTCATAACAGAAGCTGGAATGAAGGGTGACGAAAAAGAAATTTCTTGTAAACTGTTTGACATTAAAAAATGGATTCCGGAATTCCTCATCGGTAAATAGAAATGTATTTCTGGTCACTAGGATCAAATTAAATTCCTTTCATCTAGAGAAGACGGACTTTAATTATAAAAATCATCGCGAGAAAGCTTCGATAATTAAGCAACATACAGCTTTTAAAGCGGCGTGAAAAATTTATATATTAATTACAATTTGTATATATATTCCTGTTCTACATTGCAATTCATAAATCGTATTTACAGAAAAATCTAGACCAAGTATCTTAGGTATAGCAATAACCTAAGTACACGTAATCTGAGTGCTGATTACGTATTGTAGGTACTACAAAATGTACTATTAATCATTTTATACAATAATGGCACCTCGCTGTACAGGATAATTAGTTGGTCAACTGCTTATTGTTCTGTTCTTTGCTGCACTTTACTATAGAGTAATTCGGCCTTAAAGCTTCGATTTATACATAAGTATATACAGCGAATTAAAGAATTCCCACCAATCGCTTTTAAATGGTCATACACTGATAATAAACCTTGAAAAAGTTCTCGAATGAAAACATCCTATTCGAACATTTTGTTCTTGCCAGAATTTCCCCAACGACGAACACATACATGCGAGAAAAAAATGTATTAACATTCACGAAAACGTAGCGCAATGAAAGTTTGATATAGAAAAATATATATAATATGTATAGATATTGGCAGGGGTTTATTCGTCGTTGGCGAAATCACGTGTATGGAATGTAGTACACCTATTCTTTACAAATGGTTTCTGTTCCTATTATTTAACAGACAGAACATATACATATGTCGATTAATATCAAAAATGATATCACGTTCCGCATCTCTAAAGTCTCTCTTTCATTTGTACTTCAGACAATACGAAACGAACAGCATTATGCTTTCGAGAAACTTTAATAGTTTGTTCAAAGAATGAATTTGAAAAGGACATGATGCCGATAGGTGGTTATTGCATTTTGGTTGAGTCTATAGGGCCTCAGACCCACGAGTTTCTGGTGCAAATGCAATCTTCAATGTCCGTCGATGGTCACTTTGGTGGAACGAAAGTCATCAGCTCGACAACGTCGAAACTGCACTGTCTAGAAGAGAAAAGAACAGAGTCAGTTAATATTAAGAAAAATTTCTCGATAGATTTTTGGTAGGCATTGTGTTAACATTGAAAAATATTTTAGATTTGTGTACGAAGATGATGGTTTACGCGAGAAATCAATTTACATAGGTATAGAGGATAATTCTTACTATGTAAAATTAAAGCGAACTTGTCCATGTGATCAATCTGAAGAAATCAAAGATCTCAATTTTAATCACGACAATGAATTAATTAGCGAAGGAGTGAATATATTGCTCATGCGGTATTTGGCGTTAACAAATTATGAAGGAACATTGTCTTTTCAGACTATCACCATAGATGGGGAATTAACCACATCTAGTTATGTAAGAACATATCAATTTATGTTGCACAATGGAAAATGAAACTTAATTTTTTCCGGCAGGTATGTACTCCAGCCGAACGTATGGAAATAGATGGACACTTTTTAGATGTCTATACAATTCAGCGCAAAATACATAAACAGGATGGATATGTACAGATTATAAAAACTCATTTAAGTTCACATGGTATAATATTGCGGCACAATTGTTTAGATGTGCCTTATATATTAAAAATTAATCCACTGGCTGATCCAACAATCGCCAATAGTACAATAAAACTAGAAAGTCCACTAAGGGATCGTTGGTCAGAAGATATTGAAATGTTTTCTAAATATTTAGATACGAAAGTAAAAAATTGCGACAAATATTTTTAACGGTCATCATGAAACGAAAATCTGAGAAAATGCTTTTTTAACTTTTTATAGTTCTCTAAAATGGCTGAACATACGGAATACCTAGTTGATCATCCAGAAGTGAAACAACTGATTACAGACTACATTCAAACGCTACTAGTTGGTAATCACGACTGGATAAGCATTCTACAATTTCTTTTTAGACAGGTCATATTACTTATACAAAAAATATTTCATTTTGCAACAAGTTTAAATTTTGCTGGTCTCCACAGTGAAACCTGATAATGTAATTGACTTCACGATACAACATTTCAAAGCGTTTGCAAAAGATCCGATACCCTGGGAGACCAGTACAAGGGGTGAAAATGATGACGATGTAATATCACAGCTAGCAGAGAAAACATCGGAAGTCGTGTGCGGTATTTGTGGATTGACCATAAAGTGTTCGAAGGAAATCTCTTCAAGATCTTCTTATGAAGAATGTCTAAACATAGTAAGTACTTTTAATCGAAGTGAATCATTATTGATACAAATAACTTTCAGTGTTCCTACGATTCTATGAAATCTATTAAATCATATGATACGTCCACCTCAACTTCATGTAAAATTAAAACAAGTTCAGAAGAGCAATCTGTTGATCCTCAAGATGATTCAAATTTAGAAACTGCTTGCAGCAAGTGCCACACAATCATGAAAACTTGTGACAAATATCAAGTAAATGTTTATATTGAAAGCATACTTCATAATTATATTATATCATCACATATTATATTCATAGAATTATTTGATTTCTAGCCTTTATCAAAATGTCCTGGATGTTTTAAAATAACCAATACATGTTCGAAATGTTCTATTATCGATCAAATAATACATATGTTAAAGGGATAATACATTACCTATATCATTTTCTGCTGGAAGACGTATCTTTATGTGAATTGCATATGACACAATTTTCCTAAAATTAAAAATTACACTATGTGAGAACATATAGAACGTTTTACATGTATTCTAAAAATTAATATACATACCACTAGTTCAAAATTTGGTAAACAATGTTCATGGAATGAATGCTTGCAATAAAATACAACTAAGTTTCTTGGTTCTGTAACAAATAATAATTGTAAGAATATAATGAAAATAGAATTACAGCTGTTCAGGTTTTTGTTATCCTTATAGATACCTCTTACAATTATTTTCCGGTGGCAAGCTCCACACATTTGATCATCTGATAACAAAGTACATAATGATTATGAACATTGCTACAATTACTATAATTGCTTCTTAATAAATACCAACCATCGATAAATATTCCTTTCTGATGACATTTTACCAGCCTTTCGTGTAAATTAAAATAATCGTTGGATAAAGTTTTTTTGCAACCTTCTTGCACAGAAACTTGAAGATTATAATCACACATCATTTTGACTAAAGCTTTCTTCAAGCCAGGAATTTCCAAGAATGGGTCTATCCTCTGTACCATGAGTCTAGGATCCACGTAAGTCCCTATTTTCTGAAGGAGAAACGTAATAGCCTCTGAAAAAACACAACTCCGTTTAGAAATTTATACAAAAGTGCCACTATTAGCAAGATAACATTATTTACTAGGTTTGTCGAGAGAATAGTTGATTAGATCATTCCACAATTCCTCATCATCATGTTCTTGACAAAAAGCAATAGCGCTTTCCATATCATTTAATTCCCGTGTCATGAGTGCTAAAGCTTCAGAGGTGTTTCCAATTCTACCAAGCAAGTACACCATTTCTGGATAGAATTGCCTCTGACTACAAATATCCAGCGCTTGCTGTATCGGGTAAGTATCAGATCGTCGTAAAAGTGGCAACAGCTTATCCCGAGAATAGTCTGCATAGAGTCGAAGTAGTAACCCATGGTACTTTTTTGAATTTTTCGGATCCTTCTGATCTAATGCGTGTAGATACTGGTAGAGCCAATTTTTAAGAACATAAATATCATTTTTTAAATGCAAATTTCGTTATTTGGTTTGTATATCTTACCAAGTATAAATATCGATGATTATGTTCCAATCTTTGCACAACAACCTCGGGTGGCACGAATGACACTATCTCTTTCTCTAAAAAAAATTGTATAGCTTGATCCACATCCAAATCCATTAAACCTTCGATCATATCGGAGACAGTATAATATAGCCGGAACTGCCGTATAAGCTGGAACACGCCTTTGTGTCTTAATTTCAAATACATAGCTAAAGCTTTATCGTAGCTCCCACCGTAAATGTATAAAATAGCTAGAGCTTCTAAGAATTCTTTATGTCGTTGATTTTGAGCTGCTATAAGGTGCTCTAGAACAGCGCTCACAACGGCTGCGACGTTATATAATGTTGGTGACCATTCCTGCACTAGGTTAAGAAATCCTTTAGGATCCATTTTCAGATATTCGCACAGAACCATTTCATAAATCAGTGGGTCTAATTTTACATCGCCTCTTGGAAGAAAAGAAGAAATGGATCTCAGTTGATGAACCCTTGCAAATTTATAAACCTGCGAGAATATACAACAATAATCAAATTGAAAGCAAAATGATAACAGTATCCAACACCAATTTCGTGTTTCTCGCAGTTTTCCTTCAACATAAAAATCTGTAAAAATTGCCTATTAATTACTAAAACGTGTAATTGGTGTTGGACAATATAGTGAAACATTGAATTAGTAAATTATACTAACTTCTTCCTCCCACAATTTTTTATCCCCTCCTAAAAATTGTACACAGAGTTTCCCTGCCTCATCGTATTTCTCACAAGCTAATAAGTGATCTAAATACACGCGACCAACATTAACTAAATTATGCCTTTTACAGTCCTTGCCATTATTTATTGTTACAGCTTCTAATGCTTGTTTAAATTTCCCGTGCCTTAATAACCATTCAATTCTGTCATCTGCATCATATAAGCTAGCTACAACAATATCTTTTGGACTCACAATAAAAAATCTAAATGTAAAAAAAGAAGAATTAGAAAAATTTCAAAATATCTACCACAATTTTTAAGCATCAAGAATACCTATTTTCTTCTTTTAAACAATCTAAGTGGTAATCGTTACAGCTATAATCCTGGTAACCACGTAGTGTAAGAGAATTTTCACAAACAATTACAAAATTTTGGAACTTTGGTTCAACAACATGTACTGTTGGCCTCTGTCTTTGTCCATTTTCATCTAATTCCTTCAAACATCCTAGTAATACTAGTTGATTTTCTAGTGGTGCAATACCAGAAATGTAGAAATCCACTTGAAATGTAGAGACTGAAATTAAAATGCTATTATTTATTATGCTCTTACAATCTGTAATTACTTGATTAAATGATAAATATACCTAGTTCTACTACATATTCTGGTAGGTCTCTATTAACCATTTCCTGAATTGATCTTTTCCTAATTTGAAAAATTCTTACTATGTCCACCCAACCAATTAATAATGTTCGATCATCTGACCACCTCAAATTACACCTATAGTGTTCTGGTAAAGCTCTAGAAAAGAGAAAGATTCTTTTGGTGTATTCTCTTAATTGTGTTTTACTATAAATTTTCTAATATATTAATCTCTTTCACTTACTCTGCAGACCTAGTCCATTTAATAAAACCTAATGAACACCTTGCATTTAAATCATAAATCCTAACACCTTTATCCGATGCCCATGCTACAAACTGTCCAATCCATGCTATTGATCTTACTGCACCTTCTGCTTCACATAACACAGTAAGCTTAATTCTAGATAAAAAAGTCTTTTCGTACAAAAGTAATTTATCATCCCCTAAAAAACAATAATATTAAAGTTATTTTCAGAAAACACGAAAATAGGACATAATGATCTTCCTTGCATACCTATAATAAATCTTCTGCCACTACTGCTTTTATAATAATTTGGATCTATAGCAATACTTTTCACAAATCTGTTAATGGTATGATTATTTTCTATGCTATAAAGACCATTTATAAAAACTTTTCCATCATCGCTACAAGATGCAATAAAATCTCCATTATGATCTATAGAGATTTGGTTAACAGCAACAGTATGAGCCTGTAGACTCTTTGACTGAATATTGTTGCCTTGATGGTCTAGAAGATGGATCATGCCCCAATGAGAACCCAGGCATAGAAACTAAACAGAAATAGAAATAGATTACAAAATAATTAAGAGATCCCTAGAAATAATCCTTCTCTGAACTTTGGTCTAGTCTGTACATTAAAACAGCTTAATTTCTATGACACAAGAACATAAGACATGAACTAAACGAATGTTTGAAAATATTATATAATGTATACCTTCGGATGCACAGCAATGCAACTAGCTGAATCGTTTTGCAATATATTATCCAAATCGTTTCGCATCCTGACGTACTTGAGCCTCGGCTCTACCTCGTCGATTTCCCGATCTGAATCATCTTGATTGTTCTGTTCTTCCTATAAAGAAATTTCACAACATTCATCGCGATCTTTTGTTTGATTGTAAAACGAAAAACTCTACCTTGTCCGAGGTGTTTTCCATACCCGTTTCTTCAAATTTTTGCCCGTAAAATCGGAATGTACGATTATTTGTAATCACGAGCTGTCAAAGTTTTCCTCGCCTTCCTTAATGAGTAATCACTGTTTCTTATTCGCAGTCTCTTTTGGTGCTCACGATTCAAACGATTTTATAATAATATAGAAAATTGTTAAGAAACAATGCGAAAGTAACCGCTTGAAAATAAATAGTTTGGTAATGTAATGCGATCAAGCCAATGCAGCAAACAGTTCGTAAATATTAGCATAGATCAATTTCACAGTGATGGATGATAAGCATAGGGATAGGTTAACACTACAGTAATGCTTTAAGTTTAAGCATGCACAATTTTCGGACCGTAACTTGCGTAGCATGCAAGGATGGGGAGTGAAATTACTTTGCTCTCATTGGCTGACGATTCACTGTTGAGACAGTGCTGTCCTCGCAGTCAAAAGCAAAGAGAAAACTGTGAATGAATAAGAGAGCGTAACATCGACAATTGCACAAGAGCACTTACCAGCACTTACTAAATACTACATAGTTAATGTTAAATCCACTGTTGATTACAAACATATCAAACATGACCAGAAATTTGTTGCTGCTATTACTCTAATTTTTGATAAGTTGTTTCAATAATATTGTAGCGAAGAAAGAAATTAAAATGTCCCGTGAAAGTACTAATTTGGTGGACAACACCGTGACTGGACGGTCTTCAAAGGAACGTAAAGAAATCTTAAGGGAAATTATAACCAAAGCCGAATCTCTTCGTAAGATCTCTATGTAAATTTAATGTATATAATATGTGTGATTTTTATCTAGAAACGTATTAATATCACGAAAAATATGTACGACATGTAACAAATTTTGAAATTAGTTAAATAAATCACATGCACATACATTGTATAATATAGAGTGTTTCATGCTTCCCATGCATATTTAAAATGAGTCGAAGGAAAAAGATGTCATATGTACTACAAAACAACGTAGCAAATCTCAAAATGTAATAATTTTTTAATTAACACTAATGCATCAACTTAGTTGTAGAATGTGCATCATCTGACACTAAGTAATATGATATTTTTATTCTTCTCCCAGCTTGTTTTTAAAAATACAGCTTGTTCCAGTTGCATGGAATATTCTTATAAGAATAAACTAGTAAGAATATGTAATTTACAGAAGAGGCAGTCGGTGATATCACTATAAACACGTTAAACGTATGTATGGAACAAACAGATATTATAAACAATGAAACAACTCTGGGTGAAAAAAGTATATATACCCCTATTATTGCTTTTTTTATATATTTCTCTATAACTAATTTTTTAATATGTTGCTAGTACATAATCAAGAGCAAGTATTATTAGATTCTGAAATGATGAACATATCATCTAAAGTCCTAAAACAATGCACGCGTGCTTTAACAAAGCATATGAGCACTTATAATTATGTAGAATTTGCCCAGGAAGTGGTATGTATTACAATATAACATATATTATGTTTAATTTTTTTTTATAACAAATTTTCTATATTTGTCTAGGTACAATATGTAAAACAACAACCAAATATAGAATCAGAAGTAATAGATTGGTCATATTTAGAAAACAAAGTTATAAAATGTTTTAAAACAACTCCTAAATACAGCACATTATTAGGTTTTATACGGTTTTTTAAATGTTTATAAGTAGTGTAGGCAAGTAAGGAATATTTTATTTCTTTTCTTATTTGTAGGTACATTAGTACCATTGGAGAGAAAGGACATAACTAGAAGAAAACCAGCAATCAGAGATGCTCGGGCACAGATAAGAAGGCCTGAAAATGTTGAAGTCGTTGATAAAGAAGAGGAAGGCTTAGAACAGACTGTGAAAATGAAAGCTTTTATTACGCGGCAGTTTAAAACTAATCATAAACCTCTCGATTTCTTCAAGCTTGTTTTGCATCCTTCAAACTTTGGAAAAACGATCGAAAATATTCTGCAAATATCTTTCCTAGTCAGGGACGGAAAAATACAAGTGACAAAAGGTCTTTCTTTTTTAGTGATTGCTGAAGCATATAGTTTTCTTCTGAGCTTACTTAATACTACTCCGTTTTGATAGTAGATAGTTCTGGGATCCTAGTGGTTCAACCATGTACAAAAGATACTATGCGAACAACAACTGGACAAACTTCAAATATTCAGAATATTGTCTACTTAAATATGGATCAGTGGAAGGTAAGAGTACCTCGATGCATCTTGTAGTTCTTTAATTGCAATTAGTCAATTCTCAAACATAACTTTCTATTTCAGATGCTTAAAGACACTTATCGAATAGAAAAACCTATGATAAATTTTTAATAACGGAACGTAAAACATTTGATTTCAATATTAGTTGCAGTAAGAATAATCTTTGTCATTTTCGATCTATATTTTGTAAAGAGTATGAATTATTCCGTTTAAAATAACAGAAAAAAATATACTTTTGTACTTAAAATAAATGTGTATTTTTCTCTATTCCTGTCTCAACTTAAAAAAAGAACGTTTTACGAAAACGAAGGATGAAACTTCACATTTATCCATACGTTTTTGTAAAATTTTTATTAATTCCTAACATATACTATAGTGTCTTAAGTATATGTTGAATAATAACAATGTTCTTCGATCTATAGCTGGTGGAAAACATCCTGAACAGAATTATAAAATTTACAGAAATTTTTGTGGCTAATTATGTTCACGATGTTCTCAACACTTTAGTACGTCTCTGTGAATTTTCATAAAACTGAAAAAACAATCTTCTAATCCCCGTTTTGCAATTTCGATACAAAGACACTTGACAATTTTGGATAGAAGTCAATATTCCTCTTGTAAATAAAAAAGAAACAGGCTTGTATTATTAGAAGATCGTTTTAATTATTTATTAATGACATGATTACGATGACTGTGTTTTCGTCTTATTGCTTGGCTAACGATTCTGCCTTTGCTTCTACTTCTTCAATGGGGCCGACCATATAGAAGGCGACCTCTGGAAGATGATCATAGTCTCCACCTAAGATTTTCTGGAATCCTTTAATAGTTTCTTCCAATGGTACTAATTTTCCGGCATGACCAGTGAACACTTCGGCAACCTATATAAAAATAATTAACAATCATGACATAGCACAAAAGAAAGTCAATTTCAGCGATACAATAAATACAGAGATACCGTTACCTGGAATGGCTGAGACAAGAACCTCTGGATTTTACGAGCACGGGCTACAGTAAGTTTGTCTTCTTCAGACAATTCGTCCATACCCAAGATTGCGATAATATCTTGAAGTGATTTGTAATCCTGCAAGATCTTCTGTACACCGCGAGCAACGTTGTAATGCTCTGTTCCAATAATATTGGGATCCATAATACGGGAAGTAGAGTCAAGGGGATCGACGGCGGGATAAATACCTGATATCAATCATTCAACGACAATGTTAGTCTTCTTTCAGAATCTATTGGAACGTTATTAGAGTAACAATTCGTTTAATTACCAAGTTCGGCGATAGCTCGAGACAATACAGTAGTAGCGTCCAAGTGAGCAAATGTGGTGGCAGGAGCAGGATCAGTCAAGTCATCAGCAGGCACGTAAATAGCCTGCACAGATGTAATGGATCCCTTCTTGGTGGTCGTAATACGTTCCTGCATGCTACCCATATCAGTTGCCAAGGTTGGTTGGTAACCGACGGCGGATGGAATACGACCCAACAAAGCAGATACCTAGGAAACGTCAATTATTATTAATGAAAGTCTAAATCGGAAATAACAGAAAAGTATAGGTGACACATACTTCTGAACCAGCCTGTGTAAACCTAAAGATGTTATCAATGAAGAGCAATACGTCTTGTCCTTCCTGATCGCGGAAGTATTCGGCAACGGTCAATCCAGTCAAAGCGACTCGGGCACGAGCGCCTGGTGGTTCGTTCATTTGACCATACACCAGAGCTACCTTGGAGGTCTTGTCCTTCAAGGAGATGACACCGGATTCAATCATTTCGTGATACAAATCGTTACCCTCACGCGTTCGCTCGCCCACACCAGCAAACACGGAGTAACCACCATGGGCCTTAGCTACGTTGTTGATCAGCTCCATAATCAATACAGTTTTACCGACACCGGCACCACCGAACAAACCTAACGAATCATATCGTATTGATATTATTGTTTAGACCATTGCACCATGAGGTTACATATATATGTAAAAAATCAAATTTACCAATTTTACCACCCTTGGCATAGGGGGCAAGAAGATCCACAACCTTGATACCAGTTACCAGAATTTCCTGTTCAACAGACATTTCTACGAATTCAGGAGCATCTGCATGGATGGGAGCAACCTTGTCAGTAGGAATGGGTCCACGTTCATCAATTGGTTCACCAATGACATTGATAATACGACCCAAGGTCTCAGCACCAACAGGAATACGGATAGGGTATCCAGAATCCAAAACAGTTTGACCACGAACCAGACCCTCAGTACCTGTATAAATACATTTCATCATAGAAAACTATAAGTACAATGGTCATCGAACATTATTTGAATTTGATTAAAAATAATAAAAAAAGGTTAATTTACCATCCATAGCAATGGTGCGCACTGTATTTTCTCCAAGATGCTGAGCAACCTCAAGGACTAGTCTGGGGCTACGATTTTGAACCTCCAGGGCATTAAGAATTGGTGGAAGTGCATCATCGAACTGAACATCAACGACGGCTCCAATGACAGCCACAACTTTTCCTTGGGCCCCACTCTTGCTTGCAGCCTTTGCATAATCTCTACCTAATTGTGAATAAACAGTGAATATTAAATAATCTGTACAATTATCTTTGTACACGGCCAACCAACATTTGTCAAACTTCACAATTATATATCCAATGTTAAATTATTTTCCTCAGAAATTATGCATCCATAGGACCTATAGATGAAATAATGATTAAAATAAACTCGATTGAATATTAGATAATACTCACAAGAAGTAAGTTACATAATACAAATTACATGTGTACATTTCAATGAAAACTTAACAAACTTGCATTTCGGACTGCATAAGTATCCGTAATTACTTTATTAAGTGCAAATGATATGTATTTATCGAAAGTTCAAACTTGTTTAATAACTTATACAAGGAAAGAAAGATAATCGATTGTCCACGAGACTTGACTGATGATAATAAGTCTAAGAAAATCAGGTATTTCTTACACCGTGATATTCAAGAGAGAAAATGCGATTCAAATAAAAACCGAACAATGATCGAAATACTGTCAATTGTAGTCATGACAAAAAACCGTTTCAATGCAGTCAAAAATTAGTCGAAATGACCTTAATGCCGCCATGTTGGCACAGTGGTATCACCACTACGGTGCGGTCAAATAATACGGATTATATAATCAATACAATGCTTCCTTTCCTCGATATTCGTATGTCAGTTGTAAGAATAAAATAGATAAATGTTAAGTCAGTTTGAAGTATCAGATTGAGACGGTAAAATTCTAGTGGGTGGTGCTGGTGGCTCTGTAACTTGTCGGCTGTAACACGATGAGGAACGGTGCGGACAGTGTTACGAGTTTGATTACGACAGGGCGACAAGAACGTTTGATAAAATAATAAATCGGTTACTCACTGTTCACGGACAGTACTCCGGATATTTTCGCAGCTTCATTTTGGAGAAGGGCTGGTTTGACGGCCCTCAGGGCTCCAGCGGCTGCCTTTGATACAGCACTCAACATCTTGGCCGGTCAAGTGAAGAAAGGCGACCGGAATGATTTCCAATTCGTATGGACTGTACCCTATTGTACAAATTTCGCATGCGCTCTATGAGACCACGTCTGCGCGCATTTCTACTGCGCAAAGTCGTTATTGGATCGTTGCATACAACTGCGTACACGTACAATCGTAAGCCGTGTTCTTATGGAACAGTTCCAGTTTTTACAATGCATTGAAATAAAATACAATATACATAATATTAAAAATAACCTTTCATTCGTTTTGTATTTAAAAACGGTACTTGAAATTAAATCATATATTGATTTTTCATGCTACTTTGTAGTACATACATACGTTATTCTACTATGGAACCGTTCATTTGAATTGTACTTTTATTAATGAAATAGATCATGATGTTTCTTTTCTTCATTGAATAGTCTGTTTTATAAATATTGTTGACTATTTGGACCCGCCAATTATAAATTCTTCTTCAATTATATAACTACACATGTACATGACCTAACCTACAATTTTCCATGCGAAGTGTTGATACAGCTTTAAAGGTAGCCGGTTATTTAATTCCCTTTTATTTAGTATCGAATAAGTAAAAATGGTTGAGGAACAGAGAAAACGAGTTGAAGAGCATATGAATAAAATGGTGGAGCAGATTGACAAGTCTCATATTAGAAAAATGCAGGTATATTTGATTGCACTAAAGAGTGTTTTTAGGTTATTTCATTACTTGCACTCTGCCATGATACATTAATGAATATTTCTGTAGTATGTGACAATAGAAATGCAATTCAGAAATAATTTTATTTCAGGGTGACATGCACAGGTGTGCTGCAATATGCTGTGACAATGAAACTTACAGCATGCAGAAAGTACACCACTGTGTAGAGAACTGCAGCAACTCTTTAAATAAAGCTCAACATTATATTCAAGGAGAGTTTGAAAGAGTTCAGGTACTGAATCACTCTCTAGTAATAAAAAACAAATTAATTGAAAACCAACATGACAAATAATAATTTTTTTTCAGAATCGATTGCAAAGGTGTGTTATGGATTGCAATGATAAAATAAAAGATCAGATGGGACCGCATCCTACACAAAACGATGTAGATAGATACAGTGATGAATTTGATAAATGTGCTACAAAATGTGTAGATAGTTATTTGGATATGTTACCTACATTAGAGAAAACAATGAAGAAAGTTTTAGCTAGTAAAAAGTATGAACAGCAATAAAATTAATGTGAATACTAATGCAATCAAATGAACACTATGTACATTACCTTACTTATATAAAAGAAAATAATTTTACATGCTGGTAAATATAACTCTAGGTCTTATACATTTAGAGTACATAGAAATGTGCATACACTACCACAATTTATTAATTACAGATAATGATGACCTGAGTTGCATTGCAGATTATGTAGCATTTTGTATCCAATACAACAGTTTTTGTTACCAATTTGTATTTTAATCGTCACAGCAAATGTTGTCATAACTGTGGCAAGCAAAGAGAAGGCTGGTTGTAACGAATTCCATGATCATAGTATTTATTAACTAGTACACTTGATGATTGCAGTGGTACATTTTCGTTTCTCCTGATTTTATTATTATTATCTCTCTCGCTCTCTCACACTCTCGCTCGCTCAACGTAATAACAAATTCATCGTTGCAATTAATATCATTTCTTTATTGTTACAATAGACATTACGCTTATTGCACACTTTTTTTCATGATATAAAACCTTTCCACCACTCTTGCTCGATATAAAATAATAGGTCAAAATATGTCGCGGTAAATTCGTGATCTAAATTTGTAGAAATCTGCAAATAAATTGTTTAAATAAGAATAATTTAAATATAAATATCAACACAGTAATAGTTTCACTTGTTTCGGTCGTGTGTATGTGTTAACAGTTTTATCTGTGAAAGTTGACATTGGGCTTTATATCTTTCATAAGTATTTTTTACTTTTTTTTCTTTTTCGTTTCTCATGATTGTTTTAATGAACAAAGTTCGACTTCAATTCGTTTGTTATTTCATTCCATTCAATTTTTTGTCGTAGCTGCAAAGATTCTTTTGGTAACTTGGTGCATTTATTGCGCAATGGAAAGGGCAAAGCATTAGCGGCCCTTCGCTGATATGCAAACTCGCAAAAATTCGACGAGAGTGTTTCTCTTAATTTGTTTTCTGCTTTTTATTACATTTGTCGAGCAACAACACGACATCATCTCTCTTGAAATTTTCGTCGTACCGCGATGTTTCAAAGTTTCTTAAAATATGCCTCATAAACACGTGTCAATGACCGTAGGTAGCTCAATGTCGTTAAGTGGAATGGCATGAGTTTTTTCATTTACTTATTCTTTTTTTCGCTTTTCCATTTCGGAGGGGAAACGTCAATTTTCTTCCGATGTCTCTCGAGGTATAAGTGAATGCTGCGGCTATAGTTCGCACTTGGCGTCGCATGGATTGTGGAAAAAAAAAAGAACGGTCTATGTAACATTCTGTATCCCAATCTCAGTCAGACTCTTCGGACTAGATTTCTTTTTTCGTTTTCTCGTTTAACAAAGATTGTGATCAACGCGCCTCCTTATCAAAAACGCTTGGACATTTAATACGAGTAGCTGGTAGTAGGTACGTCTGGTAGAAAAAGAATAGTAATCGAAGGTACAAGGTGAAAACGTAGGTTCACGGCGCTATCTTTCTTTCTTTCTTTCTCTCTCTCTCTCTCTCTCTCTCTCTCTNCAACGCGCCTCCTTATCAAAAACGCTTGGACATTTAATACGAGTAGCTGGTAGTAGGTACGTCTGGTAGAAAAAGAATAGTAATCGAAGGTACAAGGTGAAAACGTAGGTTCACGGCGCTATCTTTCTTTCTTTCTTTCTCTCTCTCTCTCTCTCTCTCTCTCTCTCTGCGGCAAACATGCGTTTCTTTTGACTGGGTGGTGCGTTTCGCCTTATAAAAAAGTGTTTCATTTCCAATTATTGCTCACATATCTTTCTCTCTCTCTCGCGCGCGCGCTTTCTCTCTATCTTATCGTCTTACCGTTTTCATCTTGGATCGTAAAGATCATACTAGACTCGATCGACTCGGTACAAAAGAATCAAAAAGACAAGTACAAGACCTACGTTGCGCTCTTCGTCGGGACTTTTGAGGTAATCGAATATCACAAAAATACAAAGAACGGTATATTCGTATAGGGTGTACCAGAATCTTCCTGCCCAGGCTGTGCCCCTATGTTCAACGAACAGAAAGCAAGAGTAACATATGATCGTTTGCGGAGGATTAAATAAAAAAGTCATGAACCCAATGTCTTTCTGAATAACATTTATGATTGTAGTGTGTCCGGTAATACGTTTTAACATTTTTATTCAATATCCTGTCACAATTCCAAGGAAAAGAATAACTAGAAATTACCCTAAAACAAAACGGAGATTTCTTTCTCGCGAAGAAAAAAAAAAGAACAACATTTTTATATTTTGTCGTTTTCTTCTTCTTTGCGTTCGTAGAACATACTGATACAATCGCAGCGGGAAAATCCTGGAGAGCCTTGTGTGGTATTCATCGATTTTCATTAGGAAGTTCCTGCGTCTCAAATAGTGCAAAATTCAAAATGCTGACACGACGCTGTCTCTCTCTCTCCCTCTTTCTCTCTCGATAAATGGCCTGTAAAATTTTGTTTGACTTCCGTAGCGATGAACGCGCCCGCAGAAATTCAACTAATAGAGTCCCTTTTTCTCTTTGTTTTCCATCCCTTTTAAGGCAAAATAGAAATCACTTTAATTCGCATTCAATTCAATTGCAAAATTTCGTTTGTTTTTTATTTTTATTCTCTTTTTTCTTTTACGCTCTTTATCCGTGGAGCAGAAAAACTCGCTTTCTATCGCGTTACGAGGGCGGGATACAACAATATGCCTGCCCTCTCACCTCCGGTACAAGATTGAAATTGCGAAACGTATGTGTAGATGTACTGATCAAGTTTTCTTCTTCTTTTCTTTTGCCGGAACACCCATTTCGAAAAATTTCTAAATAGAACTGCGTTTCTTTTTTTGTTTTCTTCTCTTGGTCCTATCCTAAGCTATCACCGATTGTAAATTAGTTTCTTCGATCTTCATTGCTTAATTAATATCGAGTTTAAATTGTGCAGCCTGCCGAATGCAGCAACGACAATGTGCCCCATTCGCAGGCTCACATCGCACTATATATGCTATGATTGCGGAGCAAAACANAGTTCGCACTTGGCGTCGCATGGATTGTGGAAAAAAAAAAGAACGGTCTATGTAACATTCTGTATCCCAATCTCAGTCAGACTCTTCGGACTAGATTTCTTTTTTCGTTTTCTCGTTTAACAAAGATTGTGATCAACGCGCCTCCTTATCAAAAACGCTTGGACATTTAATACGAGTAGCTGGTAGTAGGTACGTCTGGTAGAAAAAGAATAGTAATCGAAGGTACAAGGTGAAAACGTAGGTTCACGGCGCTATCTTTCTTTCTTTCTTTCTCTCTCTCTCTCTCTCTCTCTCTCTCTCTGCGGCAAACATGCGTTTCTTTTGACTGGGTGGTGCGTTTCGCCTTATAAAAAAGTGTTTCATTTCCAATTATTGCTCACATATCTTTCTCTCTCTCTCGCGCGCGCGCTTTCTCTCTATCTTATCGTCTTACCGTTTTCATCTTGGATCGTAAAGATCATACTAGACTCGATCGACTCGGTACAAAAGAATCAAAAAGACAAGTACAAGACCTACGTTGCGCTCTTCGTCGGGACTTTTGAGGTAATCGAATATCACAAAAATACAAAGAACGGTATATTCGTATAGGGTGTACCAGAATCTTCCTGCCCAGGCTGTGCCCCTATGTTCAACGAACAGAAAGCAAGAGTAACATATGATCGTTTGCGGAGGATTAAATAAAAAAGTCATGAACCCAATGTCTTTCTGAATAACATTTATGATTGTAGTGTGTCCGGTAATACGTTTTAACATTTTTATTCAATATCCTGTCACAATTCCAAGGAAAAGAATAACTAGAAATTACCCTAAAACAAAACGGAGATTTCTTTCTCGCGAAGAAAAAAAAAAGAACAACATTTTTATATTTTGTCGTTTTCTTCTTCTTTGCGTTCGTAGAACATACTGATACAATCGCAGCGGGAAAATCCTGGAGAGCCTTGTGTGGTATTCATCGATTTTCATTAGGAAGTTCCTGCGTCTCAAATAGTGCAAAATTCAAAATGCTGACACGACGCTGTCTCTCTCTCTCCCTCTTTCTCTCTCGATAAATGGCCTGTAAAATTTTGTTTGACTTCCGTAGCGATGAACGCGCCCGCAGAAATTCAACTAATAGAGTCCCTTTTTCTCTTTGTTTTCCATCCCTTTTAAGGCAAAATAGAAATCACTTTAATTCGCATTCAATTCAATTGCAAAATTTCGTTTGTTTTTTATTTTTATTCTCTTTTTTCTTTTACGCTCTTTATCCGTGGAGCAGAAAAACTCGCTTTCTATCGCGTTACGAGGGCGGGATACAACAATATGCCTGCCCTCTCACCTCCGGTACAAGATTGAAATTGCGAAACGTATGTGTAGATGTACTGATCAAGTTTTCTTCTTCTTTTCTTTTGCCGGAACACCCATTTCGAAAAATTTCTAAATAGAACTGCGTTTCTTTTTTTGTTTTCTTCTCTTGGTCCTATCCTAAGCTATCACCGATTGTAAATTAGTTTCTTCGATCTTCATTGCTTAATTAATATCGAGTTTAAATTGTGCAGCCTGCCGAATGCAGCAACGACAATGTGCCCCATTCGCAGGCTCACATCGCACTATATATGCTATGATTGCGGAGCAAAACAGTCGTTTCGTATCAGTGCAATCAGACCATGATCATCATCATCATCGTCGTCGTCATCATCATCATTGTCTCTACATTCTTAACAATACATGATCTTCCTAGCATCTCACAAAATAATCGTTCCATTACCGATATTAACAATTCTGCACACCACAGTGCAATACTTACTCCGATAGCTTCAATGCTCTCGTCTTGGGGTCTGCGCGAGTATTATAGTTTTGCTATACATTTTGCAAGGAGCCTTTTCTAAATTCAATTATTTAGCAACTCAGGAGCAAATTTTTAACGGCAGTGTGTTTCTTGTTGTACATTTATGGGTGTCGTGAAATGCTAGGAGCTTCACGAACTCTCATAAAGATAGAACAAGAAATATAAAAACTTATTTAGAGCTGAAGATTTCGTAAAAAATTTCTGACTCAAAAAAAGGACACTGATAGAAAATTCTATAAATATATTTATAGAATTCGCGAAAATTATATAAATATATTCTATAATTATATTTTCGGTGGGTAAAATGTTAAAAACAGAGACGCTTTAATGCTTTTATGCTTCAAATACAATATATATTTAGTGCTCCTTGCATAGATAATGTATGACAATCCTGCTCGGCTTGGCGCTTGAGAGCGCTATGAGAATAAGTATTGTATCCTAAACCGTGGCCGTTACGAACCCGCTGCGTTGCTGACCGTATCATCATTGCAACTCGCCTAATATGGCTGACGATAAGGCTCGACCGCGTCGCCGCGAATTCACCCTCTACTTACATGGATATTCGATTTGTACTTTGAAATTGAGTCAACTATTTGTTTCCTTCGTGAGCTTCGGTCGAAACCAGTTCCCATACAGTCGCTAAACATTTAACAGAGAAACCATGGGAAAATTCGTTAAGGTTTTTTTGTCCGGATGTCAACGGAGTTTCGAATATAATACAAAAAAGGAAATAAAAATATATATATATAGTTAAGAAACGCGACAATGTTTCATGTACGGGGACGCTACATGGTAACTGTTTCAATCAAAGCGCAATTGTAACCTGCTTGAAGAAATTCGAACGGCGCGGTCGAGCCTTTCATTTTCAATTAAATAATAACTTTGTTAGCCGACCTAGCTAATCTGCGTTTAAAAAAGAAACATCAAACAACTAGGAGGAAAGACTACTGATCGTTTAAAGAAGAGAGTGCGTACTTTTTTCTTTCGTTTTTCTTTTTCTTTTAGGTAGAGTAGTAAGTATCTTCGAAGTCGTCGAATACGTGAGAATCTTCGGTAATTCAGAACATATATATATGAATATATATACATATATATGTGTATATATATATATAGTTTTTTTTTCGCTTTTGGCACTCCGGAGCCTCGAACATCGTCGTTTTTCTTCTTGATTATTCTGTTTTTCTTTTCACCTTCGAATAGCAAAGTAAATCAAACAATAGGCGCTTTCGTAAGGCATACTATCTAAAACCAAATTCGCGTGTATGGAACGAAAAAATGATGTATGCAATAGATTTGAAGTTGGATCTGAAGTTACACGACATTAAATCGCGTTACAAAGCATGTTTTTTACGATTACAGTGTCACAACCACGAACGACTCTCACGCATTCCTCAGGCTCCTATCACGTACATAATCTTTTTTTATTTTCTTGTTCTCTAAACGTTAGGGCTACCCATTAATGATCGTTCTCTCTCATACTTCTTTTTCTTTTCTTTTCGTTATCGTTTTTCGCAAAGTAAAACGAGAATCTTTTACTTTGAGAAAAATAAAGACTACCTGCTGGTGGTCACCAGGAGTGGGGAACAAAGAATTCTCGAGGGAAAGAAACTAGAATGGTAGTCGTGTAAAAAGTAACAGAAATAACGTGAGCAGCCCCTTTGCTTTTCGGCCTGCGTTGCAGAAAACCAAATCGCGCTTAAAAAAGGCTTAGAACACACTTTGAATATCGATCCCTGTAGGCGAATGAGACAACTCGCGTCCATTGATGCACGGTATTCACCCCGCTAACTCTAAAAAGAAGAACAACACCGTGTTCCCAACTCTCGCTTGCGTTCAATAACCCTTTTCATTTAAATTAATTAAAAAAGAAAAATAATAATAAACAAACTGGAACACCTCGTGCGTCTCGAGTATAGATCGTTAAATGCAGAATGATCGAGCAAAACGTACTTTGAAACGTCTTTTTGGGGTGGTGACAAGTCGAATAGTTTCGCTGAATTACTCCGTCCTTAAAATGCGATTTCGTTGGCAGTCGTACAATTTAAAACAATGCCTCCCTCTTCTTCCTGTTCTTTTTTTTTTGTTTGTTAAATAATCATTTTCTTAGACTCTACTTTAAGTACGTCAGAAAAATTCATTGTATCGCTCGATCGTTCTCGTGAAGTCATCGTTCTAAGACCATAACGTATTTCTTTCGAAATATGCTGGGTTCTCGTTATGAAATTTTCACACATCTTTTACAAAATATACTTCTCGTCCTTTTTCCCCAATTTAATTTTTAAGTAGCCGCTGGTTTCTCTTTCTTTTTTTTTTTTTGGAGTCCGCATGACAAGCGTCGCACGAGTCTTCCCTTCTTAATGATTCTCTTATTAAATTTCATAGTATGTTCGAGGCGCCGACCGATCGCTAAGATCTTAAAAAGAAAAAAAAGGGATCACATTTATTTCACCCGATGCGCGTGTGTACCTGCCTGTTCCTTAGTCATTAAAAAACCATGATCTTCAACGAAAGGAACAGAATATTATCAAGTTCTCTAAGCTCTCTTTCTATATAGATATTAACTCGCGCTTCGCGATCGGTCCGCGCTCAAAAATTAATACTAATTCAATAATTAGCTGCTTCTCCAATGTAAAAAATAGTAGAATTCTAACACAAAAATCGGATTTGCCTACATGGATCATTTCGACAACAATATGCCTTTGTTAGACTTTTAGTGTTTCACAAAAGGTATAATGGTTTACCAAAAGTAACCGCCCTCTGTTCCTCCTCCTAGGAAGTTTTTCTTTTGCGATATAGCCACGCTGTGGCTTGCCATTGCAGCTAGTTGGGCGGCGTTTGGAACTGTTGGTGGAGGTGGCAAGACGGGTTGTGAGATACTATCGAATCGATTAGTAGCATCGAACCCATTCTTCAAAATAAAACAGTTAATTAGTCATAATGATCGGAGCCTTGCACAGAGCAAGATAGATATGAAACTGAACTCTTACAGGCATCACAAGCGTAGGGGGCCTAACTGGAGGCTGCATTGCTGCTGCTGGATAGTATGCTGCAGCTGCGGCTAACGGTGGATAATATTGCAGTGGCCCGTATGCAGGATAACATGAGCCCAAGTATCCAGGGTATCCTTGACCATACATCGGTTGATACATCTGCAAAAACAATTAATTCTTAGCTTCCGTACTCTGTAAATGCTTGAAGAAAGCTGTAATACAATTGCTACAGTTATCTGTGATTCGCTCGACTTTTACTAGGGATATCGGTAAATTCTCACCATAGGATGTGTAAGAGTCTGATCATATGTCGGTGGTGGTGGACCCTGTGCAGCGTAGAGCTGGGGCTGGTTAGGAAAGACTCCGTACGGTGCGGCACCTGCAACTATTGTAGAATCGGCATGTAATCGGATCATTGGAACCAATAAAAATGGAACCAGAGATGAATCTCTTACGTGTACCACCGTAGGTAGCAGGCTGTGCCGGCGCAGGGACAAAACCTGTTGGTGGATGAGGTGTCACCGGGTATGCTGTAACACATGCAATGGAAAATGCAGGTCCGTTCACTTTGTTGGCAGTAGGTTCTTCTAAGCCAACGGTACGTGGTACCACTGCCAGGAAGGATAAAGGACGACGCGCGTCAGGTACCGACAAGGCACTAAATGAAACTGTTTGCTTGTTATTCATACTTCATACTCTATTCGGCCAGTTTCTCTCACGTGCCCTGCAGATCACCTGACTCGCGTTATCAATGTTGGGACATATCCGACGCCTTGTCGAACAGACATGCTGCTTTGAAAAATGTAATTGCTCGACGCTCGCTTCAAGCTTTAACTGATCAACAGGTGACCTAGCGTCGATTACGTCCCAACTCCAAAAGTGGTACTCCCACACCCAAGTATATCTTACACATGACATACACCGTTTTTATCAAGGTACTATTCAAAGCTCAAACAATGTTAGTCACTAAATAATGGTGAAAAGAAATAACCGAAAAAACGGTATCGCTGCCTTCTCTTGTTACCGCTCGAGTTTACCGTCGTCACGCAAATGCAAGTCAAGTTTCCCAATCAACGGAAACATAATCGGCGACCGGAAGAGAGAGGAGTCGATCGGTAAAAAAAAACGTAAACGATACAAGATATATATATATACTTATATATATGGTATTTTGGTATATATGTATACGCAATATACATATATGTATGCATACATGTGGAAAAAGAAGTAACGCGACGCATCCGCGTAAACTGCGTTGGTACAAGACAGGCATCTGATAGTAAAAAAAAAACATTTACGCCTCTGTCGAAAATCCGTTTGTTCTCGTTTTCCAAAATGACGATCGTCAACGGATAGAAGAAGAGATAGAGAGAGTATCAAAAAACGTCGTGCAGATAATAGGAACAAGGAACGCTCGATTTCCGATGGGGTTCTCGACAGAGGCATAGTTGAAAGCGAGACACTTGAGAATAGCTTAGCGAACTATTTACTTGCGACCGGTTTGGTCGTGAATTAAAGAAACAACAGTACGTGTACGTTTGGAATCTGAGAATGGAGCAATCTGTGGTACATCTTGTCACTGATTTCATCGATCATCGGATCAGTTCACGAGCTACTTCGCCGTTGGAAAATATGTTTATTCGAAACAAAACAATTGAATCCGCGCGTCGAGATAGAACGAAGAAACGAAAAGATTTGTTTTCTTTAACTACTTTCTTTCGTAAAATAACAGGAAAAAAATAATCAATGAAATTTGAATTCTTTTCACCTTGTTTGAACGTAAATACACAGAAAAAGTACAATAAAGTATCTAACAATACAGCCACTACGAGTAATATATATATATATGTATTATGTAATGTATCGACATAGTCAAAAAAGTAATCATCAGGCAGTCGGTTTTTGTGAATCGAACGGAAAATCAAACAAAGAGGAGGGACAAAGAACAAGAATATAAGAATCAAGAAGAAAAAATGAGAAACTATTCTCAAATGAAAACTCGCGTATTGATCGACCTACCTTTTACTTCTAAAACTAAGATATAATACGAAACCGATCTCAAAGCAAATAGCGTTACGCAATCAAGGTAAAAGCCAAATACATTCGTCTAATTAATCGAACCCTCGGGGACTCGTCGACTGGCCCAATGCACGCGAACGGAACTAAAATTTTCAAAGAGTGTAGTTAGAATCAAATTTTCTCATTTTAAATTCTCAATTTGACACCTTTTTAAAAAGAAAATAAATTATTTCTGGATCAAAGACAAGAAGACAAATTTTTCATGATGGCCATTCGCGAGTCGTGCAGGCTCGATCACATCGAAAAAAAGGGAATGACAAAAAACAGAGCCAAAATAAAGCCATGGGTAAGAAGGGGGTAAATGGGGGTTGTTCCAAAAGGTGATGTTAAAAACAAGCCCAATAATCAAGATTCGGTCAGGTGAGACAGTTGTGGTAAAAAACCGATAACAAACGATCTAATTTCCGATGAAAAAAAAGAAACAAACAAACAAGAACGTCTCGGATCCGAGAGAACAACTCGTTCGTTTTTATGCGTTTTTTCTTTTTTTTTGTTCGTTTTTTGGTTTCGGGCGGTGAATGTGTAATTTATACAATGAGTACAGTGGTACGAATGAACAGAAAAAAATGAAGTAGATTATATATATATGTATACGTTATTTTGTTATATACATATATATCAATATGTATATATATATGTATATATATATAAATATGAGTATATGAATGTTTATGTATATATCAAGTTCCACACATTCAAAAACTTGTGACAAGATTCAGCAAACCACAAATTTCTGCAAATATCCATAAAATAAAGGTCAAACATGATTAAAAGTTATCCGTAATTGCGTAATATATAATTAATTAATTGGGCGCTACTCGCGCGAACCTTGCCACGAGCGAGATATACTTTTCTCTTTATCTTTCCTCTCGCGTCGATCGACCTCCTCTGTCTTCTCGTTCCCGATGGCAACCGCGAGAACGCCCAATTTTGTTTTATTTTTTTTTTTAGTAAACTAAGTTACGCTCCGTGCTGTTACCATTGATCACGCGCAAAGAGGAACGTTCGGAACAATGTTAGAATCGGAACTTGTCCCCGCGGATTCTCTCGGATATCTCACGGTTTCCACGGAAAACTCTTAGGTTCGATTTGCGTGTGATGAATAGCTCAAGCTCAGCAGCAGTGGATGGACATGTTGTACTCTAACATAGATGTCAGCCCACACCAAATTGTCCATGATAATTGAATACTGGTCCAACGCGTGGAAACGAGCTCTCCTCGAATTATGTTCCATTGCTCTTGATGGCCTCGCGTGTGTAGGACGACACCGTTTCCTTTCGTTTATCATAGTTCTCTCGTGTCATTATTTTATGATTCTCGGACTGGAATAGTAGCAAAAGCGAGGCGCATTCGTTGTCCATCGCGGTCGGATCAGTCCCCAATCGAATAATAAATTTATGTGTCAGTGCCACGGTGCAAACAATCATCGAATCCAATAACAATTGATCAGAATATTCAATATTATGCTAGTACGAGTTTTGCTGGGTAAATTCATTTATTATAATTATTTTTTGGTCTCTCTCTGTGTGCTCCTAATTTTTCCCTCTTTCTTTCTTTCTTTCGGGCTCTCCCTCTCCGCCTCCCCCTTTCTCTCAGCAGTTTAGCGGTCTCGACCCCTCTTTATCTCTCGTACACGCACGCATTCCTTCTCCGTCTTTCTCTCCGTCTGCTTTCTTTAAAGCCTGATTTGTCCCAATGAGCATATTCGACCTAGTTCTACCGTTCGTGCCAGATGGTCTTTCCAGTTTCGCCCGTTTCGAGAGAGAAACCGGGCGAATCCTGCCGCCCCGTTTCGGTTTTTGCTTTTTGGTTTTCGTTTTTCTTTCTTTTGTAAATTAGACGATCTTTCAATCTCATCGAAATGCTTCGGTGGAACAGTCTTCGTGTCTCGACGAGACCCAGCGACCGATCCACACAACCACCTCCGGCAAGATTCTTCTATTTTTCATTCAAGGGAGGCCATGGAATGTTCAAGAATTTTCTCATGGAACACTACAATCTCATCAGTCTTTCGTGCACAAAATCCGAAGCAATATAATTTAACGAAAGCATAAAAGGAAAAAACGTCTTCATTTGATAAGATCGCATAGATCACAAGGCAAACATGATGTAACCACCGCTAATTTTATGTGGAGTGTGTTTCCATTGAAACTTCTATTCGATCTATTAGAAATGAATCAACTTGAAATTGTGATAATAATTTCATATTAAAAACGATCGAATTCGGAGAAGAATTGAAATGCATGAACACGGATGCGCTGTCCAGGAGCGAGGCTTTTATCAAAGTCTAATGGACCAAGATTACTTGTAGTTCCCTCCATTTTGGTTTGAATTTCAAGAAGATCCTGATCAATGATCCATTTTCGTGGGATATCGGTCCAGGTCACTGAGTCTCGGCGGATTCGAGGCACGTCTCGACACTCTCGGCAACAGTCGACCGTTGTCGTCGACTCGCAATCTCATCTTTAAGCTCACTATTAACAGTATACATGATAGATTCTGCCAAACATGCACATGCAGTTCAAAAATGCTCGAGAGAGATTCCTATGATCTTGCGGCGACAAGTGTAGCCAATCGAACCGTTTCATCAGAACATACGTTTCTTTCGCGTATCGCAACACGAGTTTCGTGTAATCATTATCTTGTCGATCGCCTCGATAGATCCGCGAAGTAATCAAAAAATTTAACCAAGATGTTAATGAATTCGATGTCTCGTTCACGACAGGAATAGGAACGTCTCTGTATATCCGACTCCAAAAAGACATACTACCAAACTGTTCGGCTACACGACGATTAAAAAACGACGAAAAACAGATCGCTCGTGTCCTTCTTAATCGCGAATGATTTTCTCGAACGATCCGGAGAAAACGCGAGCCAGAACACGCGACACCAAAACGAATGTCTTCATTCTCGATGATAAGGAAGGAAGCCGACTCAAATTAAAAAGGTAACGAGCGATCGTACGTACGAACGTAAAAAAGATAGAATCATGGAAAAGGTCTATCACAACAGATTATATGAGCATGCATTGCAACGCGCTGCGCGAGCACCTTTTGCAATTGTATTCCACGCACGAAGACCATATCCTTTCAGTTCGTTTCGTTGCCGGTCGATCAAGGATAACGATAACAGAGATTTTAAGAGGTAAAAGGTGCTCGCGCACGTACGCGCTCGCGCGCGTTCAACCGCGCCCGTGCCACTACCGATATACATTCCAAGGCATGCAAAACTAAAATTACAAATACGTGAAAAATCATCAAAGCTATGTATATATTTATATACTTGCACAGAAAACCGATCAGGATGCAGGCAAACTGAATTTTTCGCTCGAGATCTCTTGTCGTGATGCGCTGCACGCGCGCGCGCGCGCACTCACGCACCCAAAAATAATTGGGCATTTTCGTTAACGACACTTAACGAAAACACGCCTCGTCGCTTCCGGTTTTGTTCAACCGTCTCCGACGAATCGTGCTTTCTTCTCTTTTGCTGTTTCGTTGAACAGTGTCGACGAGATTCCCGAATCGATTGTCCGACTAATTTTTCTTTGTTCGTTTTCTTCGAATTAGCGAGCACTACCGTAGTAATTCGTGATACAGAGTGTGCACGTATATATATGTTTACGTATATACGCTACTTATTTCCTTACGTTTATTTTTCTGTTCCCGTTTCAAAATGGGACTTTAAGCTAAACACGCTACCATTGTCGAAGGAACAAGTAGAAATTCATCTGGATATATATGTATATATATATATCAACTACAAACACGTGCAGAAACGACCACAAGTTTCGTCTCTATCGTTGCCTTTTTACGATTTTGTAAAGTCCTTGGTCGAACGGAAATGGCGGCCGACGAAAGCCGTTTTAATCATGAAGTCGATCGAGTACAGATCTTATTTGATGGCTTTTATCATTATATTCGTCTTTTGTTTTTGGAATTAATAACAAGAAACTTGTAGCCCGAGCCGAAGCGACATGCACTATTGTTAAAAGTGAGCTACCAAGTTTCTATCGAGTAGAAGTATCATATAAATACGCTGAGCTTAGATACAGCATTCGTGTCCACCTCGCTGGCCCATCGTGCCCCGTGGACAATTATTTCAAAGAGGATTCGCGTGGACGTTTTAATTAACAACGAGTCATTTCATTGATCGTTCGTCGAAGATGTTCGCCTCTTGAATGGTTGCGCCACGCGTGGCACGATGGGCGACCAGAAAAAAAAATGGAAAAAAAAGAGAAAAAAAGAGAATAAATTAAGCAATCAGCCAATACCACGGTCTCAGTACGAAATATTTGTACACCCATATCAATATCTTACGTTCATATTGATTTGGATATATAGCAGCCGACGTCTCCAATTCAAAAAGTATAAGTCTCGATCGTGTTTAAACGCATTCATCTCGAAGGACTTACGAAAATACCCTCGTCGTCGTTTCTAAAGGATCACTGTTCTTTTTTTTGCACATCTTTTTTTTTCTAATTAGATCAAAGGATCCTCCTACTTTAGAGTAGAAACGAATTCTGATCAATATTTCCATTTAAAAAAGGACGGTATATTGAAATCATGCTCTTCAACGAATTATATCGTAATCGATGAAAGTAAAATGCAATCGATATTACCGTGGATGGAGTAGTATAATTAAATTCGTTGGTTTTTCTAGAAATAAAAAATTAAAAGAGTAATATAGTTCTACATAGAATAAATGTGTTATAACTTTCTGAATGCAGGAGACTAGAAAATTGTATTGAATTAATCGATAAGAATATTGTTCGGAGAATTTCGAAAAATGTTCTATCGTGTAAAACTAAGAAAAATATTTGAAGCACTAAAGTAGAAGAACCCCTCGAGCATTACGCGACCGGAAGTGCACAGGTCATTCTTCAGACGTAAACTCAAGAAACGCAGCACTTCCGTTTCCGTAACAAAACGACGGATTTTCAACGAGCGATCTCTTTCAGATTCAACGCGTATCTCTCGATCCTCTTATCGCTGCCAATCATGGCATTTAGCGTCTAACCAACATAAACCTGGAAAAACGAGGAAACTGAGATTAGTCACATTCATTCTATAATCTCTCCCAGATTTCCTCAAAGTATCGTCACATATTTATTGTCATTTTATACGCTAGCCAGATGCACGATCGCTTAGTATCAACGATCTGTCAATATGATTAACGACACGAGGAGCCGGAAGGGGCCGGGACTAATGTTCGATATTTCGAACGACCGATGGCGGGAAATCTAGATCAGCCAAGTTTTCATGTTGTTACTCGGTTTCGTGTCTTCACTTTTTGAATCGGGAGGCGCACGGTGCATCTATATCTTCATATATATATTGGTGGAATATATATATAATATATATATCGTGTGATACGTAATATATGTTGGTATATAAACACGTAGTGAGTTAAGGTAATATATAGAGTAAGGTGAGGTTAGATACGTGGCTTAGGCTGCGCGAACGCCGGTCTCCGAAGCTCCACCTACTGACTGGGATCAAATCGTCTTTGTAATGGTCCGCTGCAAACATATTGACAGCCACAACTGTAGGCGCTATCCTTCGGTTTTTTAGCGGCTATACCGTGTCACGATAATACGCTCGCAGAGATTTGCACCAGTATTATCCTCGATTCTCGGTTATTAATTTCTTGCCTGCGTGTTTCGTTCACACAGCGTATAAAACTGATCTACTTACAGACTAAACTTTTACACATCCCTTAAACGCTACGCTCTGTAATCTCACACGTCTGCCTTAGGAACAGAGCCGACTGAATTAGGAATAATCGCATAAGTATCCGAGCTGTTAATCAAGTACGATAGTGGATTACTATAAAACAGTGTAGTGGTTCCGAGCTGTACGTCGATTCAAGATTTCCATATTCCACGTACCAAACTCGAGAAAATCTGTTGCCAAAGTAAATTGTGTACCTCACTCGTACGAGTCGCAGGCTGATTTCTTTGTAAACAGTTTCAATGCATGTTGTTATGTATGTATGTATATAATACCGATTGTAGGTATAATACCCGTAGCAATGTTGCACCATTCAATATTGAAATATTTTTTAAAAAGTTTGTAACATCCCAATATAACTGATATCTGTTCGTGTCTAATTATTGTACAAGCAAAAAATAGCATAGCTAATTTCTAATACTTTGCAAATATGTGAGTAATTTGTACTCGTAGAGTACTACTCCTAATTATTTGCTGAAATAATAAATTATTAAATAAACTGTGCGAATTAAATTTTTTAATATATCCATCGATCGCCATATTAATGAAAATGAATAGCTTTTTGTTAACTCCATTATAACGATGCATATGGCTTCCAGAGATCTTATATTAAAATGAAAAAAATATAAATTAAAGTTTCTCTTAATTTTAGAAAACAATGGATCATCAGAAAGTTTAATTTTTATTGTTACTTCTTCTAATGATGATTCAAGAAGTTTAATAATTAATATAAGCAAAACTTTGTAATATCTGACTTTGTTCTTTGTATTTTGGATACCTATATCGTCGTTTCTATAAAAATTAATTCATGTACAATCAACTGATATTATAATTTTCACAGAATCTCAATCTTTGTATAATTATAATACAATTAATTAAAAATTACTGTATTTCCCCAAGGATGTACGACAAAAAAAGTCATAATGCTTTGTTTGGAATAAAAAAAAAATAATTTCGATTTCAAAAAAAAATCATTCCTACTATAAATATATTGCTAATTACATTGCAAAACCGATTTTTATTAATTCCGAATGAAAAAATATTAGCATACGGCGATTCTTGGCAGTGTTTAACAATTGATCGCTCAATAAATTTTTTTTTTAATCGTACGAAGCACACACAACTCGTGAATATATGCATAATGCGTACTTGGGTATGCATGTTGGCCGAGTCAATGAAAAGCGCATAAATAAAGCGGAACGTGGCATAGAGTGAAGGAAACTGATAACAGCGCAACAAAAACCGTCGATTTTTGAATTGCATTCGACTTTTAATAAAGAGTCGTCACGAAAATTATCCAGGACGAGCTCTGGAAGCCATTTTGTATTTCCCACACAGAATGCGGTATTGATTTATCTGTCACTGGGTAGTAATTCAAGTTTTTTTCTCGTCGCGCGAGGACGAGGATCTGTTTGGAGGACAAACGATACAGATCCTCGATAGAATTTGAATGTGCACCATTCTTCACAGGTGTCGGATAGCTAATAGCCAACAGAAAAAAAGAATTGTCCGTCGTACGAGTGACAAGTGGGTATATCCTCGACTCAAAAACACGAGATACTCTTAACGTGTGTAACACATACTTCTAGTCGTTATTGCGCGTTACGGTGTATAATTACCTTTCTTGTCGGTCATTATTGCTTAAAGTTTCACAAATTCTAGCAAAAAAATACGTTATTCCTAATTAAATCACCGATTCAAGTTTCAATACTGAGGAGACGAGCAACGGCTGTGACACTTGACGGACACTAGCGCCCTTTATTGAGCCTGCCCGTAGCTCCCCTGATGCCTCAACGCTATTGGTCGAGAATTTTACGAGCGCCTGACCAATCAATGCAGCGTTCTCCACCTGATATTGACCGCCAAAAATTCAATACTCTATCAAGTTACTCGAAATATTTTCAATAATTTTCCGTGTTATAATAATTTTTTCTTGTACATTGTATAATCTACATCGAGTTTGGGAAATGTTTAATGCATTTAATAATTATTGAATACAATTGAAATGTTTGATTATGATTTGCAAGTAACGATAAAATTTTCTATTTAAATGATATTTACTTTATTGTAATATATTTTTATTGTTTTATTATTAGAAATTAAATACTAACGAACAAACCATAAACAATAAACCGTAATTATTAAACATCTAAGCTTATATAAATCTTTACTAGAAGCATAGATCGAATACTAAATTTTTTAGTCATAAACATAAATTATTCAATGAAATTAAGAAGTTTAATCGATTAGTTCACTCAACTTTAATGACTATGCTATTCAATTGTACAAACACATTTATAAGTGGAACTAGTATTTATACAAAATCCTACTTCATAATTAAAATACTGGAAATGTAGCAATAATTTAAACATAAGTGTTTACTATATATGTAAATAATATATGGAAATAATTAAGATTATAAATTGATTGGGCTTGCATTGAAAATGCAACCAGAAATACAATTTGTCGCGCATTGCGACAATCTCTAACGCATCACGAACTGTACTATCGTATACACGACGTATGTGATTGAAAAATAAATGTATTAGAAAAAACATTATTACAGTAAACAGTTTACTAATTAAAAGTGCATAAATTTACACAAATATAATGTTCATTAAAATCAGTATATTCTGCTAAATAACTGCAAATAGTCGTGCATTATTGTACATTTCGCCTTGTTGTGACATCCGATAAAATCATTCAACAAAAGATATTTATCATTTATTTCTATTTAATAAGAGAATTATTGTTATAAATAAAATATATCGTCATATCAATATAGACTATTCTATTCTGTATAATAATATATCATAATAGTTCATATTAGAATTTTAGTTTCCTAACCTTATCGTTTGCCAGAATTTTGAGTTAATAAAGCAAACAACAGAGAAGAACATGCCAAGGACATGTGATCAACGTCGATCGCGAGAAAGAGATCGCGATCGTGATAGAGAACGCGGCGATCGCGAACGTCGTGATCGTCGACGATCCAGAAGCAGGTCCAAGGATCGCAAGAAGGACAGAAAACGTTCTAGATCGCGAGAACGATCAAGGGAACGGGATAGATCACGTGAGAAAGACAGAGATAGGTCCAGAGAGAGGCGTGAGTCCAAAGACAAATCTAAAGATGACAAGAAGAGGAAGCCAAGTCCTATATTTGTTATGGAAGATGAGAATAAAAAAGAAAATAAGTCTGAGCCCAAGAAGGAGGAAGACGAAGCAGATGAGAAAGCAAAGTTTGCTCTGAAAAAAGAGCCACTCAGTTTAGAAGAATTGTTAGCTAAGAAGAAGGCAGAAGAAGAGGCAAGAGCCAAACCAAAATTCTTAACTAAGGAGGAGCGTGCAGCTCTAGCATTGCAGAAGAGGCAAGAAGAAGTCGATGCCATCAGAAAACAGCAAGATGAAATACGTAAAAACTTATTTCACAACGAGAGTACTGGGAAAGAAAGAGAATGGGATGAAAGGGACAGGTAATTTATTATACGTCTGTATAGCTTATTCTTCCTATTAAAATAATACTTAAAACCTTTAAATATGTTTTATCAGTTTGCTAAGCAGACGTAGAGAAGGTCAGCGTGCAAGGGAAGAAGAAATCAAGGACAAGGATAAAGAGAAGGAAGTAGAAGCTATTAAAGAACGTTACTTGGGATTGATAAAGAAAAAACGTCGCGTTAGAAGATTAAACGATCGAAAATTCGTGTTTGATTGGGATACTTCTGAGGACACATCCGTTGATTATAACAGTATTTATAAGGAACGACATCAGGTTCAATTTTTTGGTAGAGGAAATCTTGCTGGTATAGATATCAAAGCACAGAAGCGAGATCAGAGTAAATTTTATGGAGAGCTCCTGGAAAAGAGGAGAACAGAAGCAGAGAAAGAACAGGAGAAGTATGCACTCATTTTGAAACTAAGAACAATTGATAGATGCAGTGTATTAACTATTTTTTTGTTACTTTTAAGGATGAGATTGAAGAAAGTAAAGAGGAAAGAAGAAAAGCAGAAATGGGATGATAGACACTGGTCAGAGAAAGCTCTTCATGAAATGACAGAGAGAGACTGGCGTATATTCAGAGAAGATTACAATATCACAATAAAGGGAGGTCGTATACCAGATCCAATTAGATCGTGGAAAGAATCAGGATTTCCTAAAGAAATTCTTGATATCATTGACAAAGTAGGATACAAAGATTTAACACCTATTCAGAGGCAAGCTATTCCTATAGGACTTCAGAACAGAGATATTATTGGCGTCGCCGAAACTGGTTCCGGAAAGACGCTCGCATTTTTAATTCCATTGTTATTATGGATTACCAGTTTACCAAAAATTGAAAGACTGGAAGAAGCAGATCAGGGTCCTTATAGTATAATTTTAGCACCTACTCGGTATATTAACGCACATAACTAGAATTAATTATTTGACATTAATATATATTAATATAGCTCAATGACCAATTATACAAAATATTTTCAGTGAATTGGCACAACAGATTGAAGAAGAAACTAACAAATTCGGACAGCCATTAGGCATAAGAACAGTCGTTGTTGTTGGTGGCCTTTCAAGAGAAGAACAAGGTTTTAGATTGAGGATGGGTTGTGAGGTAATTAATTACTTGATATTGTGCCTGTTGTTCACTATATATAAGATACATGCTTTAATTTCTATCATCGCAGATTGTAATAGCGACTCCTGGACGATTGATAGACGTTTTAGAAAATCGGTACTTAGTTTTGAATCAGTGTACTTACATAGTATTGGATGAAGCTGATAGGATGATAGATATGGGATTTGAACCAGACGTGCAAAAAATTTTGGAGTACATGCCAGTGACAAATCTGAAACCGGATAATGAGGATGCCGAGAATGAGGAAAAACTTCTAGCCAACTATAATACAAAGAAGAAATACAGACAGGTAGGAAATACTATTTTGCATTGTTCTATTTTCTTATGAATTCTAAACTAAATTTCTATTGCTTTTAGACTGTGATGTTCACAGCCACCATGCCTCCCGCAGTAGAACGATTGGCTAGGACTTATTTAAGGCGACCGGCTGTCGTGTATATTGGTAGCGTAGGCAAACCGACAGAGAGAACAGAACAAATTGTACACATTATGGGTGAGGCTGATAAGCGCAAGAAACTTATGGAGATCCTCAGTAGAGGAGTAGAACCACCAGTAATAATATTCGTGAACCAGAAGAAGGGTGCTGACGTTCTTGCTAGAGGTCTAGAGAAACTAGGCGTACGTTTCTTCATACCATTAACTTTTGATTATGTATAAAACACTCGACATCTCATTCAATATTTTATATTTTTTTTTTAGTACAATGCTTGCACACTTCACGGTGGTAAAGGACAAGAACAGAGAGAATACGCGCTCGCATCTCTCAAAAGTGGTAGCAAAGACATTTTGGTCGCTACTGATGTCGCTGGTCGTGGTATAGATATCAAGGACGTTTCAATGGTTATTAATTATGACATGGCTAAGACCATAGAAGGTAAACGACATCATTTTATTGTTAAACAAATGGAAATCACATCATACCTTTGTTTGCAGATTACACTCATCGTATCGGTAGAACTGGTCGTGCAGGAAAGGCTGGTCTTGCTATTTCATTCTGTACCAAGGATGATAGCCATCTGTTCTACGATCTTAAACAAACGATACTTGCAAGTCCAATCTCTACTTGTCCACCGGAGTTATTGAATCATCCGGACGCACAACATAAGCCTGGCACAGTGGTAACGAAAAAACGTAGGGAAGAGAAAATATTCGCCTAAAAGATACACTAATCGTATGCGTTTGTTTATAATCGGTCCGTGTGTTTCTGTCTCCCATGCGGTTACATATTTTTTTTTATAATGTATGGGCAGAAAAGAGTTATGACTGTGTATGTAAACAAAAATAGAAGAAAGTGTAAATATACATACTATGAAAATGGACTTTTGTATTATTTCTGTTCATGTAAATAGAGGATCTATGGATGTGGTATCTAGGATTGAAGAGAGGAAATGTAATCCTATACCAGCCACCATTTCTGGAAAAAACATATTAATAAATGATTTATTATACAATGAGCTGTTCTAAAGAGTGTATAGTTTCATAATTATTTATTACGTGAATGCAGGTTTTAACGTCATTACTTATTAGTAAATTGTCTTCTACAATGGTACAAATTGTCATAATTAAGGAACTGGAGCAGGCGGGGGTGTATAGTCCCCTTCAACCTTGCATTCGTTTTTCCAATCGTCCGGTATTATCGGTTTCATAATTTGTATGAATTTGTTTAGTGGACAAACTGTTGTGCATCCAGGTATAGTTAGAGGATACGGTTCATGGTCGGTTGTGTTTTTTAAAAATACCTATATGCGAACGTATAAAAATTATACAAATGTTTGTTTAAATACTTTCCCAGTTGCATAAAACATAAGTTTCTTACTTGAACATTCCAATCATCTCCGTCCTCGTGTAACTCGATCATGGTCATGATATTATAATGTGGCATTTGGTTGTTCCACACATGCATGACGTCCAACAAAGTTACAACGGTGCTATCGTGTCCAATATACATAAACATTTTCCTATCTACAGGCTCAATGGTGTCATCTTTCCTCGCCAACATGTCGGTCACGATTTTTTTAAGTAAGGGACCTCCTTTGAGTCTCTTTAAAATATCATTGTATCCATTGAGTTTAAAATCGTATAATGTCAGCGGTTCCAACTTATCAGGATAGTAATCTATGGACCATTCGGGGAGGGTCAAGTTCATTTGTTTCTGAAATATAATTGTGAAATTTATAATTCATGTAAGGTGTCCTAATGCATCCACAATCTTTGAAAAGAACACTTACCTCAGCTGTTAATGTTCCATAAAGTGAATTAACATCTTCAGGGGACGAAATTGTCATACCTGTTAGGTTTGTTAATTCTTTGTATAACTCTATGTTATTATCTTGAATCTGTTGTACCTCCGGTAAAGACGTGATCGTGTGTCGTAATTTGGTATATCTCGGACACGTGTCCCATATTAACATCAACTATAAAGCAATTAAAATAGCTAAAAATAAGTATAAAATAAGGCATGTACAAAAATACAATACATATATATATGTGTGTGTGTACTGTATCTTCTGAACGCGGTTGATAGAACAAAGTGACCGGTTGCCAGGGTAGATCAGCCTTGAAAGATTGCTTTTCGTTTGGTCTCCATAAAGCAGCAGCTACCAGCAAAGCAGACATTTTTGTACGATCGACAGCGGTGGATTGTAAATAGAATATATCTGGACTGTATATTGGTCCCAAAAAATCACCATAACGATGGCGTAGGTACAACCCTTGATTATATTGACTCCTCCTGCCCTCCTACATAGTAGTTTTGAAGTGTATCATTAAATCAAGTCTTAATATTAGGTCAGTCAATAGCGAGAAGGAATTACGTTTGTCAGTTGACCCCAACCATAAGGTTCCATTGTATTATTCACGTAGGGATCATTTGGATATGTGTCTTGTGGTGCCCTTTCACCATGTCTCATTACCTGAAAATAATTTCCTTCAATTTAGACCAAATAATTACTGAAATAAAAAAGTATAAGTAAACACCGAGCTATTTTGTGAAACTGCTATTAAAGCAGGTATAAAATTTATAATAGGGTAATACGTAAAATCTTCATAATTAGTTCACACAAATGGGACATCTTTGTATATTATGAAGGCTCTATATCATTTTCGTCGATCATCTGATAATGTTAATCTTAGCTTCCACCGTGCAGATAATAAAGTAAGAAGATATTTTTTTTTCGATGCGACGTAATTCTTTTCTACCTACCACCGTGACTAGTCGAAGAGTGGTATCTCCTCTTTCCTTCTCATTTTTCTTGTTAATGGTCGCACCTTCTTCGAGTGTTACAGGTGATCCTAAAAATAAAGTGAACGTGATGCATTAAATGACAATTTCAAGGACGTTGGTGAAACTGAATACTCGACATGGCTAATATAGTCACAGCAATATGTACTAGTTACTGTAAGAAAAACTGAACGTAACTATCGTTAACAAATTGTGATATTTTTGCGCGCTTATCAGTAAAAACGAATTACCTGACGATAAGTAGATGATGATCGTGAAAAATAATAGTTTAACAGCAAACATTTTTACGTATGTTAAACAGGTATTCAAGGACCGTCTTCCATTGACCATTCGACTACCACGAACTGCTACACGTGCGGAACAGCCGCGTACTGGGGTCTTAAGAACTGCTAGCAGATAAATTCCGTGTCCCCACCATGCGAAAAGCTGTATTATACAATACATTACAATGTTACTAGTAACAGGACTGGCTTATGTACTCAAGTGTCGAACATTTATTCCATTGATGCCAGCGATCTCGCGGCATCATCGTGTTCCGGTTCACCACCTTTGCGATTCGCTACCACTTCGTGAAACCTGCAGAATAAGTTAACAATTAATAAACCATAAATAAATTGATATTTCTTTATACTACAAAGCTATAATTGACAATTGTTTAATTGGACAGTTGCTCTAAATTCTACAGGTACTACCATATAGAGTATTTTTATCATTGGTCCTATATGACTCCCAGAAATGAGAACAATACCTACTCGAGGAAATAACTGCATAAAAAACGGGAATTACGTAGTTATGCAACTCAATTGACTTGCAACACTTGCTTGTTATTGAATTCTGTTACAGCTGCTCCGAAATCGGGAAAGGCATTTTAATTGCTATCCTGGAGAGAAAATGATACAAAATTAAGTAGCATTTTTTTTCAGCACGCACTATGCACCGCGCGTGATTCATCAGATTGCATGAATAAAGAAATGCAAATTTTGGAGCTTGAAAACGTGTCTCAACGCCTACGCAAAGGAACTAGCATCGAAACCGATACAGACTCGTCCTTAATGACATACGAAAATAGTTGCGACCTGACAATAAACGGCCCTTAAATATTGTTTAGCACAATACAAAAATAAATTTAAATAAGTGACATCGTTACTTCAACGTCGTCATTAGTAAACTGGGATTGCACAATTCGTGGAACGCGGAAAATGATTACAAAACTATTACGCTTCAACGATTTTGAAATAATCACTGAATGATTATTACATAACTATGTCATGTTACACATATGTCATGCTGTATTATATATTGCAGTTACAAGATGAAAATAGAATATAAAATAATAAAAGACCGTGAAGAAAGTTCTATTGCTTCACATATTTAAAATGATATGAATCAGGGTATTTAGATCAACAGGTCATATTATAAGCGTAACAAACTGACAACTACTTCTACATGAAATTGCAATTTGAGGAAACTGTTCCATTTAAAGAGAATCTGTTTGCTCCTCCGCCGATAGAATTCGTTCGAAGTCAGTCTCTTGTCATATTTTATTGTCAGGGCAACGACAAATCAAGGCACTCATTTGTTCGATCGGAACATCATCGAGCACCCTTGCAAGTTTATACAAGCATCTAACAAGCCTTGATCTTAGTCAACGCGATCCACGAGCCGAACAAGAAACCTCCAGGAGAGAGAAAAATCGCGTATGCGAACATCTTCGTGAAATCGAAGACTGAAAATCCACCGAAGACGTGGATTCGTTGAAAGGATCCAAACGTGAGGATACAGAACCAGTTTCAGCCGTGGATCGCATAAGCGAAAGTGGTCAAACGGCGGTGTCGAAACCCCGGAAATCCCGTCGCAAGAAGCCGAAAAACGCTGCCGCCAACTCCAAGGTCTTTTACAAAATTTCGTGACTAACTTACGAAATTCCTTAGATAACGCTTTTACTTTCTCTTCTTACGGGAAAGAATGACAAAATTAATTCAGTAAACGTTGTCTGTATTCTTTAAAGAATTTAATGTATATTCAACGTGTGAAGTTATTTTAATCATTTGATTGTATTACATAGTTTTTAATGATTTTTTCACAAATTTGAAGGCAAAAGCAATGGCTACTCCCAGCGGCGAGTATCGAAAAGAGGTACAGAAATGCAATTCACAAACTGGATCGCAGTCACAGCATCAACAACCGTGCTCCATATCAGCGATTCAGAATCAAACTAACTCGACAACGCCGATGCGATTAAGATCCCTCTACACCGCGCACAGTTATCACGCGCAAACAGATGAGTCTAACTATCAGGTACATCTGCAAGTACAGCTCGAAAAGTTGAAGAAGACTCTCGGAATTTTATCCCAGCAATTTTTTCTTTCACATAGATTAAATTTCAATGTTTAAAATTCTATTAGTCGTTGGCTTATAGATTTTTCTTAATTTGTTGAGCTGTACCTTGGAGAACGTTTGTAGATCAAACATAAGAATCATTTTCCTCTAGCGATACAGTGAATTTTCCAAGTATTTTGAAGCGCCTCCGACGGAACAATGGGGCGGATTAAATAACAACTCGGCGTTTTCCAATTCGACGGCTCTTTGGCGGCAGCCACGAAATTCGAAAATTATCTCGCCCTACTATGAGGAGACTTGCGTTTATGCAGAGAACTGGAGGGAACACGATACCGAAGCAACTATAGTCGCCACGCCACATGGGACCATTTCCTTGAGACTTCACAACAGGATCCGAGTAGATATGACAGTAGATCGGGCAGTTAGAGTAATTAACTTCAAGGTACTCTCGTCTTTTTCTATTTGAAAACGATTTTAAATGATCACTGATTTTCCTACAAAAAGGAAAAATATTATATCGATATTTCGCATTAAAATTCATGTAGGAAAATTTGCTTTATACTCACAGAATTTTCATATGAATTTAATTTATTGTCAGCGTAGAATAACATTGTATTATCGTTGAGCGGTTCTGGAGCAGCCGCGGCATTACTACATCCTAATGGAAGGATATATCAATACGGATCACGAGTTGAAATCCTGGCGCACGATGCCCACGGCAATAACAAGTTAGTAGTATATCTGTAACAACATTAAAGTACTATTAATAATAATGATCATTCTGTATTAGATACGCAAAGATGTGGTACAAAGGGGTCAGCTTCACTTCCGAACAATGCGCTCTTGTTTACTTAGTGGATACAGCAGGGACGAGAACAACAACTGATTCATTTTCTGATATGAGTCAGGTATAAAAATTCTAATGTATGTCTAGTATTGTTATTTACATTGTACTTTTCTAGGATTTTGCTGTAAGCGTTTTCTACTCTCGTTCTCGACACGGTTCTGTCTGCTTACAAGAAGCTACTGCTGCTTTGAGCGCTGCTCAGTACTGGTTAACGAATGAAGGCGTGGAAAATTGGATCATCAATAACGTCAGAATTTCCCAGACACCAGACGGTCTTGTTAGGTATGTTCAAGTCATCTTATTACATACTATCTTGCATAACGATTCACGCAATAAACAGTTAAAAATGTGACTTATGTTTTCATCAGGATTGCTCGCAATAGTAACAAGTATCAATTGCGTACATCCCCCAGTAATGGTACTGCCTCGTTGACTACACCATTTTTACACTGCACTGCATCCTTGGGCCAAACATCTCATCTTTTTGTACGTCGCGGTGAACGGCGAATGCACTACGATGGGACCAGTTTTATCGTTCGAAATGCAGGTCATAGTGCTGGTTTCGACGACAACAATCAACTGAAAGTCTATTAAGAAATTCTCATACGAATTCCTATTATCGTGAGCTTCTTGAAGGCTACCGCTACAACAACGCAACTCATCGCATCCAGTATACAGATTTACTTTTAACGTCCTAATGCAACTATGTGAAACTGAAAAATATGTCATATATTTTGGAACTCGATGGTACAGCAAGCCAACAAAGATTGTAACCAGTTTTTAAGTTTAGAAATTTATTTGAATTCTATTTTAAAGATGTTTAGTAATTTAATTGAATTGCCTTCATTTACCCGAAAACATAGCACCAGGTGTGGAGTACAATAAAATGTTCCTTTAAATTCGGAAAGATTAATATTTTCGCTAACTTGTTCCCTATACTACTTTGTACATTTCTTAATAAATAATATGGCTTTAATATTCTACTTATCAATCTAAAGGGTGATTCAGTAAAGGTCATATTTTTCGAGATTTCAAAGTCATCAATTAAAATTTAAATAGGATTATATATTTCTAGCATTATACTATAATAGGTAAGATTAAGACGAATCAAATAACCTACAGTAACATGACCTTCACGCGACCTTAACCCGATTAAGCACTGCATTGCTCATCGCGATTGGAATTGTCGCACCGAAATTGGCTACGACTTAAATAAAAAAAAACCGTCTTCACAAATAGGACCACCTTGATTATGATAGAATTATATAACCCTATTCAAGAAAACACCTATGACCTTTAAAAAAGAAATTATTTCCACTGCAATATGTATCTCTCCAAACCATCCAATCTGTTCTTCTATTGAGCATTGTTAATAATAATAGAAATACTGCTTTATAACAACTTTAGTGAATCACCCTGTATATTATTACTAGACAAAAACTTACTGATGAAAGTTGTACCTATTCTTCCTTAACAGTCTTATTCTAAATCTGACATATCCGAATCATATCCTTCAATTTCGAGATCATCTTCTGATTCATTTGAATCTGTTTGAAAGCCATCGTGAAGTAGAGGTCGCATTTTTTTCTGTATGCTAGTACTGACTCTTCTACAATTTGTAAACATGAATTAATTAAGAAGATAAGTGTATTATAAAAATACAACAAAGTACATACTTTTTTAATTCAACTTTTGAAGTAGAAGCACCACAATTAGATCCACTCTGTAGTTGTTGAGTTTTTCTAGCCTCCTCAAATTCTCGAATGTCGTTAGTGATTTCCTCAGCAATATTTGCAGTAAATAAATTTAAACTATCATGTGACTTAATTTTAGATATTAGTGTCTGTTTCTTTTCTTCATAAGCTTTACTTAATTCACTGATTTTTGAGAGAACTTGCTGATTGTCTGTCATATCCTTTAAAGCTGGCAACACAGAATGTGGATTAAAGGACTGCATTTCTTTTGTACGATAATGCTTCTCCAGACCATACTAGAAATAATATACAATGAAGTTATGATTATGATACAATATCAATTTGATAATTATTTTTGAGGACTTAAGATGCCTTTATCATTTGCAAATTACCTCTTTATCAAAAATACAAAACTGAAATGCATTGTCAGTTATTAATTTACATAAGATATAATTAGCATCTAAGTGTTCCGCTTCCTTTATTTCTGTATGCAGTTCCATAATATTGCTCCAATCATTTAATTTGATTCGAATCTTAAATAGATTAGTAGGCATCTTATAATATACTCCGTACAAAAGATATAATCCTCCAATGCGTTCCTTGAATCTTGGAGGCAATAAAAGAAGTTTTTTACAGATATGCAGAGTTTCCTCACAGAATTCTAACATTTCAATATATGAGGGACGTCCACTAAAAACGTAAAAAATATTTTAGTAATGAAGTCTACGAGTTAAAACCAGGAAATAATTTTGTCAGAGATATAGTGTTAAATTTATGCATGATCTACTTGAGTACTGATAATGATATGGATTTTGTAAAATATTTATGTGTAACTTACGTAAATACTAGAGAAAATTTCATTTCTTTCCAAATCTCGCAAAACGTTTGAAATCTAATGTCCTCTGCCTGTTCGAAACGGTTAATTAGTTGTTCGCAATCTTCCTTGAATCCACTCAAGATCACCGACTTGCTTTTTGCCATTTTAACTATTTAGTAAACAACAACGAACAATATTAATAGTCGTTTTTATTATTTATTACTAATTTACCTGTTGTATGAACAGTAATTTAAAACCCGCGTTCGAAGAAGCCTATTACTGTTTGACATTTAACATCACTTTCTTTCGTAGTATGTGCTAGCGACATCTATGAAAATGTATTTTAAAACGCGGATAATTCAAATGATTAGAAATTGTATACGAATTGCAATTGACTGTAATTTTACAACTAGTTGATATTTCGATCCTGTATCTATAATTCAAATCGAAACTCCAGCGTGTAAACAATGAAAACATATAATTTTAATGTTTGAAAGTGGTATTTTGTACTGGACACTCTTAATTTTTAATATTTATTGTTGTAATAGTTCTTAAAATCTAAAAAACTCGATGATTTAAAGTGTTTTATTTATTATTTTCCTTCTACTGTAAAGTAATTAGCGATAACATTTACTAATTACTTCTGCATGATACGTTTCAATACATATAAAATTGTGGAAAAATGAAAATCTTAAAACTTATGGCGTCAGACGTTTGGGATCACGGGGAAACATCGACACTTTTCTGATATTATCCAAGCCAAGGTATAGCATTACAACACGCTCCATACCGATTCCACCGCCAGCATGTGGAGGACAACCATATCTAAACGCGTCAATGTAGGACTTGATCTTTTCTATATCTGAAATATTACAACAATAGTAAATATACATGAATTTAAAATCTAGAATTTATCTAAACCTACCAATTCCATGATGTTTGGCGCGTTCAATGAGAAGTTCGGGATCATGAATACGTTGTGCACCGGAAATAATTTCCTCACCTCGCATAAACATGTCGTAAGAGTTCGATATTTTCTGTAATAAGTACTCAAGATTTATTTAACAAGTCACTACAATATAATTAACTATAAACTTACGGGATTACTTGAGTCTGGCATTGTGTAGAAAGGTCTCACTGCTAATGGGTACTTGTCCAATATATAGAAATCAGTGTCGTACTAAAAGCCAAATTAAAAACACAATGTTATATTCATTCTTGAATCTATATGTACATTTTGAGGTATACTCTATATATAAAAACATACCTTTGCCTTTACAAGTTTGCCTAACAATTTCTCATCGGGTGTAGATAAATCATCTTCCTCGCCTAAGGTTACTCCAGCTTCTGCTAGTAATTCAATAGCATCACTAAATTCTAATTTCAGAGCCGGATCTAAGAATTTGAAAGGTTCCACGTTGTATTGTTGACGTACGGCTTCAATGTCGGCAGCATAACTAAAAAGAGTAGTGTGTAACAAAATCATCTTCATGAAATAAACTCGATTTAGTTATATTCTAATTAATTCTACATTTACTAACTTATCACGGAGACCTTTAAACATTTCGGTGAACATTTGTCCAATAGTCTCCATAACTTCGTGATAATGATATTTAAATGCCATTTCCAAATCGAGACCAACGAATTCCGTCAAGTGTCTGTGTGTATTAGAATCTTCAGCTCTAAAAACTGAGAAATTATTACACATATTGAATAATTATAATATATAACAAATTATAGGTGATTGTTCGTTAGATGTTTAATTCTATAATACCTGCACCGATAGTAAAAACTTTGTCAAAATCAGCAGCAATAGCCATTTGTTTGTAAAGCTGTGGAGATTGAGCTAGATAAGCACTTCCTTTAAAGTATGATACTGTGAATACATTTGCACCACCTTCACTTGCAGCAGATATAATTTTCGGTGTATGGATTTCAACAAAACCCTGTGAACAAAACATTAAGTCAGTAAATATGTAACATAGTCAATCAATTCCAGAGATTACTTACTTTATTTGTAAGAATATCTCTGAATAATTTACACACTCCTGCTTCAACCCTGTATATAGCTTGATTAGCTGGAGTTCTTAAATCCAAAATTCTGTTGTCTAATCTAGTATCTTGATTGACTTTTATGTTGAGAGCATTATCATCTCCTTCTCCCATAGGCCTTGAAGCATCCTCAATTTGTAAAGGTAATTGTGGCTTAGCAGCACTTACCACAAATATTTTTTCAATGTGAACCTCCACATCTTTTTGTGTGCAGGACTCAATTTTGGAAGGTACACATTTGACTACTGCCTCTGTATCCACAATGGATTCTTTGGTAATGCTATAAAATTATTTAATTGAATGTCAAACAAAATTTATTCATTCATTTCTATAACTTACTTTGATATAAACTTAATCATTTGTTTGCTAGTTTTTTCATTTACTGCTGCTAATCCTTGCACTGTGTACGATTGTTGTCTCAAAACAATAAAGCACTGTTTACCTGCAACAAAATACTCTTATTTTCCTTATTCCGAATCTAACAAGCTAAATAGAATATCACTGCTTCGATGTGATATACCTTTAGCACGACTAGTATGTAAACGTCCTCTTAACCATACAGTTTGATTTTCTAATGCTGGAGACAAATTTTTGATATCAGTAAATTTTCTCTCTGCATGTTTCTCTTTACTTTGTATTAATCCTGTCTCTCCATATTTGTCCCCTGAAACATCTTCTTCTTGACTTGAGTCTTGCTGTGCTTGCTACATTTATAAAGTCATAATACGATTCTTATTAAATAAAATTATATGATAGAAAAACTATTTACTTCCTATCACATTCATATACAAAGCCTAACTTACAGCTTGAGCTTTACATTCTGCTTTCTTGGCTGCTTTCTCAGCCTCTTTCTGTTGCTTTTTGAGGGCCTTCTTCGAAATTTCATCTCTTTGGTAGAAAAATATCTTTAAAATGATAAATAAAAAAGCATTCAAAAATTATTATTTTTCTTACCCTCCTACAGGTGATTCTACAGGCTTATCCTCTCCCATCTAAAAAATAATGCAACATATTAACATAGTAAATGAAAATTATTTTCTATATGTAAAATATGCATATTTTATATTAATGAATAAGTATATGAAACAATTAACAATTCTATTCTATTACGAACAATTATTTTATATAAAACGCATATGGAAAGGATTACAAATAAGGTTAACTTAAATTCATACCTTAGAAACTTTATTATTTTAATTATACGCACCTTTATTTATTGAAAGTTTAAACAACACTCGCTAGAATTCAATATCTATTTATAGTTTCTTATCATTAAATGATGTAGAGCTATGTACGTACATATATGTATAATTGCACAGATGTGAAATTTGCCGAAATTGTGTAACATCGAGGTACGTTCTGAAATTGTCTGATACTGATGATTCATTTGCACACATACATAAGGTGTAAAAATAGATGCTTATGTAGGAAATAAAACATCTGTACTAAAAGAACACACTACATACTTATTATAATTATTGCGAAAAATAGATTACATATAATTTACTATTAACAAAAATGTCTTGACATTGTCAGGAATTTGGTCTGTACTCTCGAATTGTGATAGAAACAATTATCTTATAACATACAAAAATAAAACATTTTTACTTTGTACTTGATTTCAATATAATACAGATAAATTATAAGTTATGTTTTATTTACGACTATACTAATAATATGTGATACACACGCATATGTGTTCACAGAAACATTGTATCTTTGTTACGGAGTTCTATTAGCACAATATTGTTAAAGAACTTGCATATTTCACGACGATAATAGGATTCGGATAAGGAACAAACAAAAAGACGAGCTCGCATCGCAAGATCTCTCCAAACCTTAAGGTTTGCAGTTCAAGAAACTATCATTTTTGCTCCATCATCTGCTGAATCCAACAAAGTCGATATTTGCTCTTCTGGAATTACTGGCGCAGCCCCATACAACGGTGGTTGAGGATTGGATTTTAATGATTTCACCGCGAATTCGGTAGTATCATTCCAGCTTTTCCGGCCCATTTCTTCAGAATCTGCAAACACACGAACTCGAGATTTGCGAGCGAGCATCATCGCAGCGTAGGGCATAATAAAAGGAACAAAGTAAAGGTGCAATAATAATTTGCATCTAGAACGTCTAATGAATGTTATTGACATCTTTTGTCGGTATCTACATAAGTAACATGAAAAAATCAATTTATGTTGTATGTAACATTATTCGTAATGGAAAAGTATAAGTGTGAAAAATTTTCACATTGCCTTTATTTCTTACTTTTTAATTTATCTGATGAATCATCGAACGACGGATCTTGAATATTCAACATTAGATTATTGCCACTAAGATAAAGGCGATTTTGGGACGCAGCAATCTAAAACAGGAATTACATTTGTACATCACTTGTTTCATAGAGCACATGGTAGTATACAAACGGAATAATGTTTTATAATTACTGTGCGAGAAATAGTCTGCGCTGCTCGAAGTTTTCTTAATTTTAGATAACCAGGGTTTTGGCTAACAGCTAGACCAAGGTACACAGGAGTTAAGGTTATTTCTTCTTTGAAAATAGTAATTATGTACTAGAGTTATTTGTATTATCAATAAAGGATATCATTTTAGCTGCTTCTGCTTCACCCTCTGCCTGGACAATCTTTTGCTGCCTTTCTTGTTTTGCTCTTTCTACAACAAAGGCTGCTCTTTGTGCTTCTTGCTGGGCTACTTGTTTAGCTTCTACAGCAGCTGTATATTCTTTACCAAAACTCAGCTCAGTAATAGATACATCATCCAGTACAATGTTAAAATCACGTGCACGTTCAGTCAATTCTTTTCTTACTAAGTTTGAAACCTGTTGTCTTTGTGTAATGAGCTGAGATGCATTGAACTTAGCTACAACTGACTTTAATACTTCATTACAAATACTTGGTAGAACCTAAAATGTAATTACAACCTTGAGAACCATTCTAATAAAGTCAAATTTTTATGATAGAATCTGAATAACAGTACTATATTATTATAAAATTCTTACCAACCTTCTCATCATAATCAAGACCTAAATTACGGTACATTATAGGTAATGTGGATGCATCAGGACGGGAAAGTACACGAAGAGAAATATTGACCATTTGCAAATCTTTGGATCCAGTGGGAGAAGAGATTTTTCTAGGTCTGCTTCTAATATCGTAAATAATTGGATAATGGAACCATGGAACACGAAAATGAAGACCCTCGGTCATAATATCTTTTTGAATACCTCCTATGCGAGAAAATATGATCGCTCTATGGCCAGCCTCCACTGTAACGAAACATGAATGTTTTAAGTGTTCCACCGTTAAAAGAAATGCGATTTTGAAGATGACATGCAGAAATAAGTTCATGAATGATAAGATTTCATATTGTTATACAAATCATTGTAATTAAAGATCATAAATAATATTTAAAAATCATATGAACCTGTGTATAAAGATTTCGTAACACCATAAACCGCCACGCCGGCCGCTGCGAGGACTTTGAGTCCTAAAGAAGTACCATTTGGATTTCTGTAGAATCGTGTTGCAAACTCATGTAGTTTATTTTGTGCCATTGTTAATCACAAGAATGTATCGTTGCACCAAGCTAAAAATCGATCGTACTTTTATCAGACTATAGACTCCCAACGTGATAAAAGTTACAAGTTAGAATGCTGATGGTTTCCAATTAAAAATGGCGAATAACGTGCACCATCCACAATGGAGAAGAAACTTAAGGGATGATTTGAATGAACAACGAATTTACATGTAAATTGTAATTCGAGCTGACTAGTTTTCATGAAACGAAATCATTATCCTATTCGTGCAGAAGCTTGCTAAAACATTAGAATTCTATCTGAATTTTGAAATAAAAAATTGCTTGCTACAATTTATAAACTGTGTTTGCATATAAATATATCTCATAGATAAAAATATAGAACATTCACAAAAAAACATGGCGCTGTGCTATACGAGGTAGTGAAATGTCTTCTGATTTTATATTGTATTTTGGCGTAGTTAACATTTTTTATAATATAAATTAATTTTTCCAGATTGCTTTGCCGGCGAGGCGTCGATCTCCGTAATTTTCGCAGCTTGTATACCTGCAGGTGAAATTACATAATATATAACCTTTTACTTCATTTCGTTGTAAATTAAATTTCGAAAGATTTATGTTATTATATACTTTTATGTAGAAGAATTCTCACGATCCATATTCTAAAATAAATTAAATTTTACTCAAATGATTGTGTGTCATGACTACTATTTCAATATTTTTTCTTTAACATTACATGACATGTCTATGTGTATATATATATATATATATATAAATTAACAGATATTCAATAAATAATCTAGCCCACTCAATGTTGCTGTTACTAAACCATTGTGTTCTGGATCTGCAATTTGTGAATCTCACGATGAGAAGAATATGCGTCTCAAACGACCCATGTCACCACATTTGACCATCTATCAAGTTCAATTGACAGCATTCCTGTCAATAACACATCGTGCAACAGGCATGGTATTGGCTAGTTATGCAATGTTGCTTGGTTTGGGTAAGAATGCAATTCTTTACTTAATAAGGACTGGAGCAAGAAAAATGTAGTAATTTTGATCTATAATTATAGGAACATTGGCGATCCCTGGAGGTATTCCTTGCCTCATTGAAGTGATTGAAGATTTAAGTTTGTCTTCGGTTCCTCTGTTCTTAGGGAAAACTCTTTTAGCTCTTCCTGCTACATACCACTCGATTAATGGATTACGTCACTTGGTAAAATATCAGTTACTTTTCTTCATAAAGAAGCTATTTTTAAAGTAATTATTTTTTATTTATGAGTCATTGATCTTTGTCGTTAATGTTTGCAGTCCTGGGATATGGGAAAATTCCTCACCATTAAAGAAGTATATAGCACTGGTTATGCAGTATCTGCCTTATCAGTGATCGCGGCTATTGTGCTTGCTGCAATGTAATCTCAATGGCATGGCCAAATTATGATACAATCTTCATTGTAAATTTACAGTGTGAATAGATCAATAAGTCGGGTCTTGTATTTTGCAAGCTGTATTAAATCTAGAATAAAACGTTTTGTTAGACTGTATTATTAATCAATTTGTTATCGATTAATGTAATACAATCTAGAAAATGTATAATAATTTATTAAAAAACTTATTTATGTTTCAGTAGCTATACTTTTAGTACATTTCAATATATTACATAAAACCTTCAAGAGACGAATCAATAAATTTTTTATAAATTGCCATGAATCGTGCGACAAATGCCTCTAAATGAAAAATTGCTTTCGATCCTCTATGCATTTTATGTTCATATTCTGCCGCAACTGTTGCAATTTCAATTTTTAATTGGAGATCGCAATTTTTTATGCATTCTTGTAAAAGTCCCTTAAATATCAAATCAGTCGGAATCGCATGCGTTAATAATTCGTAAAGTCTATTACGTATTTCCAAAAGTTTTCTTGGACTTTGTTCACTGACCATCATGTTAGCAGTATTTCTAATATATACTTGCCAATCTGGTTCTGCTATCTTCTGGTCTGCAGTGAACGGATATCTGAAAACAAGTGATTTAAATTTTAAATTTAAACTCAAATTAATACATGCTCTGTTAAACACGAGTGGACTTACTGTTCTACTTTACATGCTTCAAGCATCAATACAGCTCTTCTCAAATTCCTACCACTAGCTTCAGCCAATCCAGTAGCTAATTCATCTGGTAATGTTAAACTTTCTCGTTTACAAACTGAATGTAAAATATTCTTTATGTCAGATATTGATGGAGCTGGTACTCTAATTCCTAAACACCGAGATCTTATAGCTGGTAAAACTCTAGATGTTGAATTTGCGCAAAGTATCAATCTGCATGTAGCTACATATTTTTCCATTGTTCTCCTAAGTGCATGTTGTGCATCTTTAGTGAGCTGATCAACATTTGTTAGAAGCACAACTAAAATAAAATGCAATTAATTTAGCTAATTAAGACTCAATAGCTAAGAATAGTACACATACCTTTAAAGTCTCTTTGTCCACTTGAATCTATTTGATGAGTTTGGGCAGTTGTTTTTACCAAGTCCATAACAACTACTCTATCATAGATACCTACATCACTAGGATTCACTTCTATGTGATAATTGCTGCTTATGGTTGTTATTTCTAACTTTTTTTTGGATGGTGTCTGAAAATAAAATCAGTTAAAAGATGAGATCTCCTCGAATTAAAACAATAAATAAATAAATAAAAGATTGATATACTTCAAAATGCATGGTTTCCATCCTCAATCTTTCAGATCCGCTACCATATAATTCTTTTATAATACACATTATCCGAGTCTTCTTTCCTGCACCTGGTGGTCCATATACTAACAAATGTGGAAAATCGCCTTTCTGCACCTGTAATTCCAATATTTAATTAATAAAAATAATATAGTTTCACTCATAGAATCCCAGTTTGAAGTACACTGCACCAGACAATAGTTTTCCAGATAACCTCCTCAATTAATACATGCGTTGATAAATGATATTACCATATTTTTTAGGTATTCTGCTTGTTCCTTGTGGTAATCCAATTTTGCGAGCGTTGTTGGTCGATATTTATCTACCCAGAGACTCATTTTCACCTAATTGTTGTAGAACTTTAGTATAATATAACCAATACTCCGTTTCTTTCACAATTTCGCAAATATACTTATGTATTAGTTAATATTACGTTACAACACATCTCACTTTTATAATGTATATTTACATCATATAGAATTAAATATTGTTCAATTATTTAAACGTATAATAATTATACAGTACAACGATTATTAATACCGGCAACTTTTGGTACTCAGTAGACATAAACACAGCTTTAAAAGCGCGCGAAAAGTGTAGATACATAATTATGTACATACATATATGTAGCACTTCTTCTTAATCAAATAAAATAAATTCAATTGACGAAATGCATATTTAATTTTATTTGATCTTGACTTTTATTTGTATATTCAATTATACAATAAGTGCTTGCTTTTACAACAAAAGCTAACACACTTTGGTAGATACAATAAATCATTGTACGAAACGTGTTGGTATTATTCATAACGAAATAGTTATATACTAAAAAGTAATATAAATTCTATATAAAAATGCAATAATGCACAAAATAATCTGAATTATTAGATTTTTAAAATTATTGCTAATGATAATGGCAGTGTGTGAATATGATTCTAGAAATGCATGCTGATAATGAATGAACAATGGTGATTGCTACACAAATCTATTATATAAGATGAAGGAAAGGTTCTCTTTAATTAATGGACTTAATTTAATCTATTGCATATAGAGCTTGATTTCGGAATGAAAGTTAAGAAGACAGCTTCTTATGTATTTAAAAATACGTGTAATGCAAACTAGAATGTTTCAATAATGTCTCTCAGACTTCGTTATCACATACTTTCAACGATATGTACAAGACACATATAGTAAATCTACTACATTTGTATTTTAACTACATAGTGCACCAGTAAGTAAATGCTTTTAATTCACAGAATTATTTTGATTATAGAAAATATAGAATATTATTTTGTGATAGTAGTATTTCGTGCAGTTTGCAACAGAATTATAATGACATTCTTTAGAGTCGTACAATTCAAGTGCGTTGTACGATTCATCATTTTTTAAAACTTTGGATAAATGTATTGTCTGATACCTATAATCCTTCATTATACACGAGTTAATAATTAAAATGATTATTATTTAATTCTTACAACTATGTTTGTTGAAAACTATATGGCCAGTGGATGAAATGAACAGCAATAAATTGCGTTCACGAAGATGCAGAAAGAAAATACTTTCTTTGCTTTTAACGTTCTTAACGAATGTGCGCACAGCACATATTCTCTATGTGAAACGTTTTAAGAACGAAAATTGCTATGTTTGACTTATTAAAATACATTGACTTAATGCACACTTATACCCAGACACCGTGTGGATTTTTGCTGGTGGGTACTGCAGTCTCTAATTGCCTCGGGGAACCTATCATTTTTCGAGTACTGCCAGGTTTGTGAGCACCTAAATATTTTTGACGCACGTTAGTAGAGCAATTTAATCTTTATCAAGTTAATTAAATTCAAGTACCTTCTAACAGCGACTTGATTTGTTCATCTTGACAAGCAACAGCCAAACTTTGTAAATTAGCTTCTTTCATATCAGCTACCAATCGTTCTACTTGTAACTTTTTTTCAACAATGGCAGATTCTAGGCTCACTACTTCCAGTTTCAATGATTCTGCACATTGTGAAGCTAATTCTGCAGAGCGTTTTGCTTGTTCCACCTCGTTTTGAAGGTGCTCAACTTCGGTAATGATTTTACGCTCCATTATTTGTCTCTCGTCTGTCTCACGACTTATGTTGTGCTGCTCTATGGCGAGTTCCTCCATGACTAATCTATAATGTAGATAGAACGAATTAGTATCTTATCGTATGTTATACGAATGGAAAAGATAATCTTTTTGCACCTGATTTTATTTTTACATTGAAGCAACTCTGTTTCACAGTTTGCAAGTTTTGATCTTAACAGTGTAATTTCTGATTTCAGCGTTTTTTCTTGCTGTCTTACTATTTCACTTTCCTCTTCTACATGCGCCAGTTCTTTCAACTGCAAAATAGACGACAATATATTGAATAATGTTAGCAAAATCTGAGTCAATACGTTTTGAAGACACACCTGTTCTTCAATGAGACGACCAGTAGATTCCATACGATTTACTTCCTGGGAAATGTAATCCATTTGATGTATCTGCTCTCTGTTTTTAGTTTCCCAGTATAATATTTCAGCATCGAACTAAAAATAATTAATTCATTTTATAAATTGTTAGTTTCGTTTACAGACCACTATTCCTGCATACTTTTGTAAGATCTGCTTGTTGTGCATTTATGGTATCACGTTGCTTATTGACTAGTCTAATAAGTTCAACATATCGTTGAGTGTAAGCAACAGTAACCATATTTTGAGATTGACCAGATAATTGATTCACGGACTGTGTCTGTCCCTTTGTATCCTGAAATTCCTAAACACAAAAGATCGAATAAGAATCTCAATAGCACGATTGTATGCAGTCGTACAAAAAATTATTTCTGTAGAACCTGTATGAGATTCCTCTTCAGCTTGACAGAATTACTAGAAGATGGTTGATCCTCCTTATGAACATGAGGACTTCCACTATTTGTACTAGATTGAAATTGCGATCTCCCAGGACTATTTAAGTTAGGTGGTGGAGGATCTCTGTACGGTGGCAGTGTTCTTAACGGCGGAGAACCTGGTCCTGGAGGATCCCTATACGGGGGAACTTCGCGTACTTTCTTTTGAGATACATGGATATTGCTCTCACTGCTGCTAGCACGAGTAGGAGACTGTGATGGTTTTTGTATATTCTTCCTTATGTTCAGTTCCTTATTTTTTAAGTGAGGTGTGGGTTGAACTATGGCAACATTTTCCATCTGAATCTGTATTAAAATGTAAGTATTAAATAAAACCGTTCAGAACTTTTCAAACGGTTAGTATAACATATAAATTAATTACTTCTGCATTATTTTCCATCATATTTCCATGCAACCCTCCAAAAGTTAATGACTTTCTGGTGTCACGATTTCTATCAAGACACCCTTGGAAATCATCAAACTCAGAGTTTGGAGTTGCTGCAGTATTCTTAGTATCATCCTGTCCACTAGTAGGTATTGCAGAATGCTCTGAAGTTGAACTGACCACACCATTTGCCCGTGGACCATGATTTAAACGTGTACCTAATGAACTTGGAGCCTTATTGCTATCTGGTGTGGAGCGTCTTAATATTAGCTGTACTTCTGATGAATACTCTCCCCATTTCATTAAAATCTTGTACCAGAAAGTAATTATTTATAGCAAAATAGTATGAAGAAAGTATGAAGAAACAGTTGCACATATCAATACCTTCAAAGGGTTTTCATATGGAGCCAACAGACGCTCATTTGTTCGCCATCTCTCTACCAAAGTGAATCTACCTGTTTGTCCTGTAGCGTGAGCAAGGGCGTATACTACATCCTGCAAGTTAATTTGTAATTATGTAAAATCGACAGACTAACTACAAAGTATTTAGATGAATAGTGCCAACCTGACATGTAGTGGTTTCTGTAACACCACAAACAATACGCTGTATACCTTCTACCCATACTTTCAGCTCCATAACGTCACCAATTTATAATCGTAAGATTAAGCCTTAGCATCGCTAAATTGTGCTAAAAGACAGTAAACCAGTCATCAGATTCGAATTTAAATGATATCATTCACACGAAGAATGTTTGCGCAATGAAGATTGACGCGCGTCTCTTCAATAACTGCTTTTAAATACTGTTCGTAGACGGTCCTTTTGAAAGCTTTGCTATTGATATGATAAAATCCGTTTTCTTTAACCTGTAACGTGTAATTATCAAAATGACAGATTTACGTCCATGATAACGCAGAAGACAGGCAAACGCTTTTCTCTAACTCTCTATGATAGCAGTGTTACGTTACTTTGTCAATGCATCATGTTCTTCTAATCACAGAGACATTGCGCGCGTAAAACAGCTGCAACTTTCTTGCACACTCTCGCTTAGGCTTTTTATAAATACGAAAACTGTTTATCCTAATCTTAATAATAATATGGGATTGTATGAGATTAAGAAGGCTCAGTCGATAATTGGAAATAACCGACGGTGAAAATATGTACGGAGTTATTCACTCTACTGAAACCATACGAATTTGTTCTGAAAAACAAGAGCTCCCTCTCATGTCTCGATATGTAATGGTAAAACATGTATGGCTCTTTGTAATAAAAATGAAAACAGTCTAAATTTAAATTCTGCAAAACTGAGCTAAGGAATTAATAATTTGCGCATAAAAATTTGAATAAATTTCCTATTCCCATCAAAATGCTTTGCTATTGAATACATATAAGAATAGATACAACGCCTTATGAAATTTCTGTGTTGCGAAATATTTCAAGTTACTTGCTTCGCAGCTAGATGGCGTCACCATTCACTTTTTCAGAGTTACTAAATTATTTTATTAAATAATTAATTAACATCTAATTAAAAATAGTATATATCATACAATTTCGATATAAAAGAGATTACTTATACTCCATACATACAATTTTTTATTTATTACTAATAATTTATGACACTACTCGTAGCTGTTTTCTCAATTAAATTAACAATATTTTCCACTTTAGCTAATTGCTTTTAATCAAAGAGTAATTACGCATTTTTATTTGAAACACATATGTTTTTTCGCGTCAGCCCTCTAGCGGGAGCAGTTTAATCACCTTCACATTGCTATGGCAACGTTTACATAAACTAAAGTTGTGAAATGTCAAATACAGCTGAATTTTTCATTAATCTTAAACATTGGTATTAATTATGTAATGGAATTTAAGTTAGATAAACTCGAGTACTCTTAATTATTTAGAGTATTTATTATAGAAGTAATTACTACTTGTTTAAAGCATAACTAAGATTAAAATGTGAATAGTATTCAGTTTTTCTACTTCTGACAGTTTGGATAGAACCAGTAAAAGTGTAACAATTAAAACGCGATGACGTTGTACTTTGATACTCGGGTACAAAATCCTGAGACAGCTTCGATAAGCACTCATGCAATATGGCATTCCAATTATCCCATGTTGGCAGTTGCTGCATACTCTCAAGACAGGGGTGGTTTTGTGACACTTTACGATGATCAAGGTGAACCTGTTCCAAATGTAGAATCACCGAGACATTCTGTAGCTCAGGTGACTGCACTGGGATGGCATCCTGAGAGACGATGGCTTGCAGCAGGGTGGGAAAGTGGAGAACTAAGGGTAATAATTTATAAATTATTTAAAACTAATAGCCTCGAACTAACTTATTAAAGATTATATTGATTGTAGGTATGGCCTGGTGATACTGGTACCATAGAATTCAATGTAATAGTTACTCCACACCGTGAACCCATCAATATTTTACAATGGAGTCAACATGGTGGAAGATTAGTGTCTGCAGATGCAGCTGGATCTATAGTTGGTTGGAAAATAGATTCCAGAGGTCAATTGTTAATGATGTTCCACCATGAGTTAAAAGATACTTTTGCACAAATCGTGTTTAAAACTGTCCCACCAAAACCTGCAATTGATATTAGGTCTGCATTATGCATTCAGCTTTTAAGCACTGTACTCAATATTATAAAGACATAATTAAGGAATATGAATGTTTTTCAGTGGTTTAGCTAAAGCAGCAGTCGCAGGGGATGAGAGAGCTTTAGATATGTTCAGTTCTTGGCGCCCTAGAACAGCTGCACCAACAACAATTGTCTCCCAGAGGGACAATCATGCATTTTATATTGGTACCACAAGCGGTGTAATATATTTTGTGGATAATCAAGGACAATGTACAGAGGTTCTCAGTACAAGCGGCGCCACATTACAGTTCCTCTTGCATCATCAGACTAGGGATTCTATCATCATTATGACAGAAGGGTTGAATATAGGGCATTTTCAAGCAGATCCTATCACCGGCCGTCTCAGTGAATTGACTAGTGTGAGGCAACAATTCCTTTCCCTTTTAATCAACTCAACACAACTCTGCGATACTTTTGTTTTGCATGTTATATGTGTAATATATTTATTTTTTGTCAGGTGAAACTTAGCAGTAGATGTGACATATCAAGAGTGAGTCTATCATTATGTTGGGTCAGTGGAAACACTTTAGCGATTCTTACAGGGGATTTAGACATTCGTTGCTTGGATCTACATAATGGTGACACTTACGTATTGAGTCCGCCGGATTTATCTGCAGGGAACATTGCTACTCCCCAAGAAATCTGCACAAGCATATCCTTCTGTAAAACAAATGGTACCATCAATATTTCTATTTGTAGTAAAAATGATTATACACTAGATACTCCACTATTAATATTTTGTAGGTACTTTGGCAGCTGGAACAAATTTGGGAACAATTTATTTATGGAAACGCAAAGCTGATATGGACGCCGACGAAAATGCTTGGTTACCTGTACCAGAAATATGCACCATTCATGGTACAGTAAAGCAACTCACATGGGGCGCTGTTTACTTAAGAAGTCCGTTGCTGGCAGTCAACTGTATCACTAACGTATTTATACTGCACCAGCAGCCAATGTGTGCTGCATACAGTGGTGGTATTTGTGCGAGCCAGCTCAGCCCCACTCAGATACTAATAGAAGTTGAAAACTTCTCTTATACAATGAAAACAGATATTCGAGTACAGCTCGTCGCAGTTAATAAAGAGTACATCGCTGTTTCCTCCAGTAAACACGTATCGATATATAGAATCCATAAAGAAAACTCCTTGAACACTACATGGATAACAAACTTCATTTGTGACACAGAGAAGCTTTTAATTTGCGACCACACTTTGATCATTCTTACTCCCGTGGTTATACAGTTGAGATCAGTGGAGGGCACAGTTATTCAGGAGCTACCAACGTTGCCAGAAGAAGGTGAACCGATCACAATGGATCTGACTGGACAATACCTAACAGTGGCGTCCTTGAATGGCACATTAAAAATCTGGGATTTGAGTAAAAGGGAAGCTAAGCTGCACACTAGAGCAATGGCTCCTTACGAAGCCATCAGTGACTTTGCCGAGATCATAGAGGCCAGATGCAATGCAGACTGTCGCTGCGTGTCCATCACAGTTGCCATGACGAACTTGATGCCCAGTTCTATTTTATATGTATGGGACATCGAAAGCGATCAAATACACGAGTTTGATTTCGCAAAGTCTAACGACATTGACGAAGATGACACTGCACTAGCTGTAAAGTGTAGAGGAAGATTAGTCACGGCTCACTGCTGGGATGTAGAAGATCCTAGGCTTTTGGTGTGCTGTGCTCAACGACTAGAAACACGGGACTCTAAACACTCCAAGCAGAACAATGAAAACGAGTTCGATGTCTCCACAGCTACTGTGATTTTGGTATCAATGTTTGCCACATCGGATCACGGCATTGTTGTTAAAGACATAATGCCAATCAAAGATGACAATTGCAGAGTCCTGGGCGTTCAGACTCCGCACGTAATCATTTTAAACTCTGAGAAGACCGCGGATAAGGCTAGTAAAGTCCATAAACTGCTCATGAGAGGCTTTGAGGAACTCAGCTTGTGCGATTCGATCACAAGGAAGGCTGTTTTAGACTTTAGCTTTTATATTAGCATCGCAAATATGGATGAAGCTTTCAAGGCGATTAAATCCATAAAAAACGAGGGTATTTGGAAGAGTCTGGCAAGAATGTGCGTGAAGACGAAGCAACTGAACATGGCACTTCTTTGTCTGGGCCATATGAAACAGGCTAGAGCAGCGAGAGCCCTCAGGGAAGCTATGCAGGATGACAGCTTAAATCTAGAAGCCAAGGTGGGCGTATTAGCTGTGGAATTGGGTTTGTATAACGACGCAGAACACCTGTTTCGGGAAGCTAAGAGATTGGATCTCTTGGGTAAGCTTTTGGAAGCTCGAGGCAAATTCAAAGAAGCCATAGATCTCTCGAGCAACGAGAATAAAATTTGTGAGAAAACTAGCTATTATAATTATGCTAAAACTCTTGAGGCAGAGGGAAAAATTTCAGATGCGATTGAAATGTATAGCAAAGCGGATTGTCACAGATTCGAGGTACCAAGGATGCTGCTAGTAAGACCGAGGGAGCTTCTGTCATATTTGAACAATTCCGACGACCCAGAAATAAAAAACTGGCACGCACAGTACATAGAATCAACAGGTGATATGGAAGGTGCTCTGCGTTTGTACGAGCAAGCCAAGAATACTTTAGCAATGACAAGATTACTTTGTTATTTTGGCAAGGAGGATGAAGTCAGCGAATTGGTATCGCGAACCAATCACGCTGCATCTGCATATCACTTAGCAGCGCACTACGAATCAAACAACAACGTGACACAGGCCATTCATTTTTACACTATCGCTAAAGCGTATACAAACGCTATTCGTCTGTGCAAGGAGCACGATCTTTACGAAGAATTATGGCCTCTAGCAGTGTTGGCGCCGCGACAGTCCCAGATAGATGTTGCCAAATATTATGAAGAGAATGATCAGCCGGATAAAGCAGTTTTATTGTACCATAAAGCTGGCTTATTGCACAAGGCTTTGGATATTGCGTTCAAGACAAGACAGTACAGTGCTCTGCAACTAATCATTATGGATGTTAATGCGGATTCTGATCCTGCGTTGATAGTGAAATGCGCCGAGTATTTTGTAGAAAATGATCAAATCGAAAAAGCAGTGGACTTGCTCGCAACAGGAAGAAAATACATGGAGGCTTTGGAATTGATGCAACAGCATAATATACTGTTGACCGAAGATTTGGCAGAGAAGATGACATTAGACAAGATCGATAATGATCCAGATCGCGAGAAGATTCGTATTTCTATATTAGAAAGAATAGGCGAGACCGCTTTCGAGCAAGGCAACTATCATTTAGCTACGAAGAAGTTTACTCAAGCTGGCAATAAGCTGAGAGCCATGAAAGCGCTGCTGAAGTCTGGCGACACCGAAAAGATCTGCTTCTTTGCCCAAGTCTCCAGGCAAAGAGAGATCTACATCATGGCTGGCAATTATCTGCAGTCGTTGGACTGGCAAAACCAGCCAGAAGTATTGAAAAATATCATCAACTTTTACTCTAAAGGAAAAGCGATGGACTTACTGGCAAATTTCTATGTTGCTTGCGCCCAAGTTGAGATAGACGAGTTTCAGAATTATGAGAAGGCCTTGGATGCATTAAATCAGGCCAGTAGGTGTCTTGCAAAGGTTGCGACGCCGAGGGATCCGAATATTCATAAAAGAGCCGTTGACCTGGTGAACACTAGGATAGCTACAATTAGACGTTACTTAGACGTCAAAAAGTTAGTAGCGATAATTGTGATAATAAAATTTCTGTAATCTGTTTTCGCTTCTTGAATCGTGTGATGCATTATATAATGGTGTTGTAGGTTGTTTGATAGGGGTGACACAGGGACTGCGATGCAACAGGTGCGGCATTTGCTCGATTCTCAAGGCTCTGATCTGGAGCAGTCTGTACGACGTGGAGATTTGTTCGCCACTATCACCCAGCATTATATCAACATAGGTGACACTGATAAAGCGCGTGCTACTGTGGATGAATTAAAGCTTTTAGTACCTGGAATTAACTTGAACTATTACTACAACGTTAGCATGCTCGAGGCACTTGGTTACAAAATGAAGATTCATAGACAAGAGAGCTCTGATAGGGAGGAAGACATTGAGGAACTTTTGGGAGAATAAAATGATGTTTCCTTAAGGAAATTTTCCTCTTATTACAGGTGAATTTTTTAACACAAAATGTAATTTCTGTTTGAATTTTCAAGACCAATCCGTCCAGAATTGTGATAGTTATTTGCCTAAAATAATTTATACAATATCGTGTCTTAAGTGTATAGTAAAAATATACAAGTATCTTCTGAACATTTAGAAAAAACCATTGTTTAACGTTTATTAATCAGATTTATACAAGAACAACCTTACTCCTTGATATTAATAGTCCTAAGAAAAATAAGAGCTGAAATCAATTAGGACAGTCGTTCACAGCTGTCATTCACTGTCGGTACACTTATTAGACACAATAAATAAAACATGTATTGATAAAAATTACGAAATAAACTACGGCAATGAGTGTGATCGTTGAATAAAAAAATTTAAGGAACGAAAAGTAGAAGAGCGATCCTGGCGTCTGCTCTTTTTTAAAAACAGTTGTCGCACCATCGAGATGTTTTCTCCCGCTGGATGCAATGTATTTAACTCTATCTTGGTCCAACTCTTCGAATTCCAGAGTGGTACAGTTTTTAGTAGATCACTCCGCGAAACATAGCAACGATTAAGAGTGTTCCAGTCTGCACGTAACTAGTCTTCAAACAGCTTTCTCCGGCGTTGGCTTTTTGCACGGCGAGGCGGTGGTCTCCGTCTCCGCTTCGTCAGCTTTCCGCTTCTTGCGTACCAAGTGGGATATATCGCTGGCTGGCTTTTGAACTTTTGGGCTAGAACCTGAATCGCTACCACTGGGTCCGGCACCGTTCGAACATCCCCCCGCGACCTTGCTTTTGATACCTTCTATCACCAGTTTGCAAGCTTCCTGTTTGAAATCTTTCATGTCTGAGATCTTTTCTCTGATCTCCGGCAGTAGTTCTTTCAGCTCCTGGATCTCTCCTTCAACGGTATAAAATGAGTCCTCCGTCTTGGGCGGTTCTTTGATCTCCTCCAGCTCTTTAATGCGTGCCTCTAACAGCTCGGTGGCTTTGTTGAACTCTTCTATGCTGGAGTCAAACTCATTGCCCAGCGAATGCGCCAGTGCAAGCTGGTAGTGGATCTCTGCTATCGCCCTTGGCTCGCGCGGCTCGATTTGCTGTAGAAGCTCCAAACACTTGTGTAGATCGTTTAGCGCACCTTGGAAATTCCCTCCCTCCATAGCCACTTCTCCTAGAAGCCGATAAGAGTCAGCTAGGAGCTTCCAGCCGGGTTCTCCTCGCTTTAGTAACACCAGTTTTGCTAACTCCAGGACTTCCCAAGCTACCTACAATCGGGGGAGAAACATTCTTTATAATTTGTAATGCTAAAACAAATAATTATCCGCTGTTCCATTCGATAGAAGTAATTTTTATTTTTGTACCTGTAAATTATTGACTTCATCCTCTTCGTCCTCCTTTCCAATGTCCTCGGTATCCTCCTCCTCCCCATTCTTCTTCACATCTCCGTTCTGTTCACTGGAGCAAGACGGTCCATTGGCATGATTCGTTTCCTTGCTGGACCCGGGTGCAGTTTTCTCCTCCTCCTTCTGCTTCTGCTCAGCTTTTTCCTCGGTTTTCTTCGAGTCTGTCTTCTCCTGTTCCTGTTTCTCGCTGACGGCCTCTGTTTTCTCTTCTTTCTTTTCTGCCTCTGGCTTTGCTGCTTCCTCTACTTCGGCTTTCTTTGGTTCCTCTGCTTCCGGCTTCGCCTCTGGCTCCTCCGCCTTTGTTTTCTCAGCTTTAGATTCCGTCGAACTTTGCTCCTTTCCCTCAGCAGCCGCAGCATCCTCTTCTTCTTCCTCGTCCTTCTCGTCCACGTTACTCAGCTTCTCGTCCTCGCCTTCTTCTTCGTCGTCGTCGTCCTCCTCTTCCGCCTCCTCTGATCCTGGCACTCCGCCACCCAACACTCCCGCCTCTTCTCTGGCCAGACCAAGAAGTGCTCGACCGTACAGAAGATAGGGTTCACCGAGTTCGTCTGCTGTATCCCCGTGCTTTTCTGCCAGCAGCTGGCAGGCTTGCGCCAACGCGGTCACAGCCATAGTGTAATCCCGCACTAACAGGTGCCGTTTCCCGTGGGAGATCGCAGTTGCTGGATCGGTGAATGCTGCACTCTCGGCGACGTCAGCCATCTGCAACGCGAACATGTTTTTGTTATGTCGGTTATCGATTTATTTAACGTCGACTCTGATCGAATTGGCAGACGTTGATCAACTCTGCTTTACAAGATTATAGAACTACCCTTTCTTTCTAGACCCTAGAGTTCAGGCTGTACGAAAAAGTTAATCGAGTCCACCATCGACATCGCTTAACTTTCAGCGAAATGAATCGCTCTCACTGATCATCCAATCACGAGCTAACCCATTCGCTACACTTAACATCGTTACGCAATTAATAGAGCATTCCTCCTACGCATAGCACGCGTCATACTTTCCACCTGGACCAGACACAACGATGTGGATGTCCGGTAAATGAAAAGCGATTACAGAACCGCAGTGAGACTTATGGGGGACAAGCCATCGCATCCTGACTGTAACAGGGCCAATGGAATCCAAACTGAATTAGCAAACTGTTGGAACTCGTTAAAAGATGGATTTCCTGTGGAGGACGGATTACCCTAAGGACAGTTGCCTTGTCTAATCAAGCGATCACCCGGCTGTAGCTCAGGATAACGAGGACAAACAGAGCTCTACAGAAAAATCTCCTATACTACTTAGACAAGAGTCCCACCTAAAATCAAAGAGGATTAAACTCCAGAGTCTCTTCTCTGTTCCGAAGAAGCTAGAGCTAAGCTCCTGCGAGATCAGCAGGCTGTGTCTTCGTCATCGGGATCTATAAAACTTCCTGCAACTCTATAGAACCGTGGTAACACCTACAAATTGTGGAAGCCCCGAAATTTGGAGCTCGGGGTGCGAAAGGTCGGCGAAAGTTCAGGTCCCCCAGGTCATCCGCAGTAGAGCACCCTCCTGCAGTGGTCGCAGCGTCAGCGACAACGGTGGAAAGTCGATCGCGTGTGATCATTTCGCAGGATCGGGAATTCGATAAGGGCAACAGGAGACTGTGATCCGACGAGGAGAGTGGCTACGGAAGGAACGAGACGGGCGGAGGAACGGCTGCGAAGGAGCAGGAGCGGATTGTCCGCAGCATCCGGGGTGGGGTGGCACGTCGGTCGATTTTCGTGCGCTTCGACGCAGAACGGAGATGGCGTGCTGGTCGTGTTTCGCCCCCGAAGAGGGAGACTCGCCGAAAACAGAGTCTACGGGGGGTGTCGATCGGTCAGTGCGTAACTGGCGGCTGTCGGTGCGGTGTGCGGGTTCTCAGTGGGTTGCCAGCGGTCGCCCTGGGCACCACCTGCACGGATGGAGCCGACCCGTGTACCCAGGGCCCCTGATCCACGTCTCGTTTTCCTCATTGGCACGCTAGCTCTCACTTTCGCAGGTAAAACCGCTCTTATCCTTCGACCGCCCCCCGCCCCCCGAACAGCCCCAATCTCCTGTCGGCATCTTCTATTGTTATTGTTTTCGGTCACCCTGAGCACTACCTGCATCAGCGCCCCTGATTCACACGTCTCGTTTTCCTCGTTACCACGCTGGCTCTCGGTTTCGCAGGCAAATCTCGTTCGATCTCCTGTTGGCATCTCTTTTTGTTGTTGTTTTTGACCGGTCAGCTCGGAGACGGTCCCATAGAGAATTTCTGTTTGTCGATGGATTACCGAAAAGCCAGGTTTGTTTATTTGGTTGCTGCGACATGTGGGCTTTGCGATCAGCTGATCGGAGGGCTCGCATTCTTTGCACGCTTCTTCGAGCAGTTCGCAGGGGATTCGCAGAGGTGATCCGGAAGTTTGCGGGATTGTTCCTGCGGGGGATTACGTGGACAATCTGTGGGGTGTTTGTGGACAATGTTGCGTAATAAACGAGAGTTTGGTGGTTTTTCATTTCCGAAGGAAATTATTGCTTTTCGAAATATTTGGATATCGTAACGTTTTCTTTGCAGCGTGGACGATTGTAGGAGGCTGAGATCGTTTGTTTCTCTTTAATCGGCAGATAACAGAAAGTTTTCGAGCGTAGTTTCCTTTCGTGGTATTCGGTCGATCCACGAATCGAGGGGAACGTGTCAATAGATAGCTTCCAACTGTGCGGACTGCCGCGTAGCCGTGTTAATAGACAATCGATGCTCGTGCCAATCGGTGTGCCGATTAATTTCCCACTGTAGTCATCCGCACGGCGGATGATAGCTTGGAATCGATGCTACGCGGAGCACGTGGACATCGATGCCTCTCGCTTCGAACTGCAGGCACAGCAACTTCTCGTACCGGAGGGTCTGAACAATACATAGATATTTTGCGGATTCGGAAATCCCTCCCTCTATCTTTCCGTCGAAGATAAATTTTCTGTCGATCCCCGTTGTCGACTTACTAAAACTTCATGCTTCGGATACTCATTCTTCGTACCTGTTTGCGTGATTGATACAACGCTCAATGTATCAATGATCGATCATTGAACTAGATCGAAACGGATTGTTGAATAAAATCAAATTCCCGTATTAAGATCTAAACGACCGATTCGGCCGAAAAAGGGGCCTCGAAATCGGGATTTGCATGAAGATACGATCGCAGCGGTGAACAATATCCTGTCTAATCATAGCAGCACACGGATAACATCTATCCTCGATGTTCTCGTACAGCCTTCGTCGTTTCCAGTTAATCGAGCCATCTGAACGCAAACAATCCGATACGACTCCGCGGCGATCCATAAAAACACGGACACGGCTTGCTGCTCGCTGTGTAGCTCCCTTTTTAACAACTCCTTCGCGGAGATCGCTATCGTTTTTCAAGTCTTCATCGGGTTCTCCGGTCGCTGGTGCCAGACTCATTAGCGTTTCTCCTTCATCGATTCTCGGTGATTCAACCACGGCCAGCAACCACCGGTTGAACTCGTTGCACCTAGTACACTTTTTCACCGGAGGGAGGATACGGTCACTCGAAACAAGCGCTTTCAAGCTCGAGGGCTCTCTTCGGCGACAACCGCCGGATTCCTTATGCAATAAAATGTCATAACACGCAGACTCTGTCTGGCCGCGATGCTCCCGGAAATCTCGCGTCGTTCTCCGGCAAAACTATTGCTTCATCGACAGTTTAATCGGCTAGCAAGCCATTCGAGTTTATTGCCCTGAACATTACCTTTGATTCTCCTCCTCGTTTCTCCGTCGTTTTATTCCCGTTTGATCCATCTAATTTACATCGTTGCATCTTGCCTGGTGATTTCAAAGTGGAGATAAGAAATTTATTCGATAAATAATGACATCGATAGTTCTCGATACTTGAAATCCTGAACGGGCTCCATTGGAACAACGATCTAATTGGTTTTGCGTTCGATGCCATGGTGACTTTCAGGTAGTACCAATTGCTTTTGCACAAAGTTTAAAAAATTATTACATTGTCAACAAAAATTAATGCACCGATGCTAGGGCCACACGTTTCTGTTCTAAATTGCTAACAGTATCCGAAACAATGCGGGGATCTTCTCCAGCGGGGATGCAGTAGTTAGCATTAATGGCTCAGTGGTATAAACCCGTGGATGGTCAGACGCTGGAGCCTCGTTCGCCTGTCCCCTGTGATCGGACGCTGCAGCAAATGGATTTTCCCGCCGTAATTCTCGTTACATCGGTAAACCTCGGTTTTTAACATTTCCATACCATCGAGGTCATTCAATTTATCCGCCACCCAAGAAGAAAACGGTGATTTTCTAGGTCGAATGCAGACACTGCGGTAGGCTACTTTTGGCGACTGCGTTCAATATAAATCCGATAAATGCACGCGGATGAAAAATTCCGTCGTTCATAGTGTATTCAGCGAAATCCGCGTAAAGGAATAGGAGTACCGGAGGTTACCTTGACCGAATCCAGGCGAACGAGTTCATTGTTCAACGTTCGGTGACCGGGTTCTCCGAAAAAATTGTAGGGGAGTCGCATCCATATTCAATGGAGTAGGGAGAGATAAATGTATGGATCGTTTTGTGCGAGGCCACGTAATCCCCGGATCCAACTATTCCGGTATTCCGCAAGACCCTCCGTGGATATCCGGACTATTCCGTGGCGCGCGACAGAACGCGTTCCTCGGATCGTTTCGGCCAGCTTTTCCAAGTTTCCACAACGGGATCCTTTGAAAATCCAGCTCCGACGCTCCGTGAAAGGATCCGGCAATTCTTTCCGCACCGATTTCATTATCCTGGCGAATCGCCGCTGGCTGTGGACCTCGATTTGCGAAGAACTGAAATAACGAGACCGAAGTTCAGACGAAAAAGACACCCCTGCGATTTGGTCACGGAGGAATCCTCCATTTTTCTGTTGCAGCGACCGGTCTGTTGTGCGGCGCCATCATGTCCGACCATTGGGAGGAAGTCAGCTGGAACAAGGCGGCTCTGACCCACGCGAACGTGACCCTCAAGTGGTATTTGGATGGACAGGTGGCGATGCTCGAGCCCGCTTCCGGTCACCGGAATCACCGGCCCGGAAGACGACCCACCTTCCTCGTGCCCATGTACGGCGGCATTTGGATCATGTGCGTCTCCCTAACCGGTGAGTCGACGATCCTTTTGATATCATTTTTCACCGGTATAATATCGCGGCGACGATCGTATTATTTTCGTCAATATTTCATATCTCGCACCCCCGTTTCGGCGTTCTTAGACATTCTTTAACACGTCTCCGAGTGGCTTTTAAGGTGGGAGAATATTATTTCGCGGGAGCGTAGCAACGAGAGATCCAGAATTGTTTTCAAAATTTCATTCTTCCCCGCATTCTTACCGCACGAGGTCCTCGCGGGACTTCTATAGTAGTATATTGGTCCACGAGTGCCATTTCCTGGTCGTTTTAATATCAGCTCCAACGCCGCAATAGTTTCTTCAAAATCAAATATTGGTTTCCTGCGCCATGTGCCATTTTTGCGGCACTTAAGAGCCTTGTCGACGTATTGGTTCAGCCGAAGCGCCATTTCTTCCCTCCTCCTTCGAAATTCGATGTTCGCTTTCCAATATTCCGTGTGTCGTATATCCGAATCATTTCTGGAGGGTCTAGACTAGGAACTAAAATGTAACATCGTCGTTTGATAAAGAAAGTAACGAATCGTTCTCGCACCGTGCAACGCTAATCCTGTCCAATTACCCACTTGTGGAACTAAAAATTGCCACTCGCCCGGCTTAACTGCACGTTAATACGTTCCCCTAATTGATTTCTAATTCTGGGGGCGTTTTGCAGAAGGCTGATTGCAACCGTGGTTCTCGCGTGAGGCTCGAATAAAACAATTATGGCTTGCGATAAGAAACCGGGAATGTTAAATGACTTGTAACCTATAGATCACACGTTCCGCGCGAACCGTAGTATGAAAATACCAGTCGGAATAATAATCTCGACGAAAGACGTATGCCTGTTTCGTTGATGATATTCATGCGGAATCGATTCCGTGCAGAACCTCAATGATACACCCCCTCCCCCTACCCCGTAATCGCGGCGACGTATCTGTACAGACTGCTAAATGCGTTCTACATATACGTGGATACCACCTTGACTCTGAAGTTATCGATCAGTCGATTACGATCTGAAACACCGTCTAGGCATGCCGTGACCGTGAACATCTTGGATGTTCCTTCTCCGAAAGTTCGTGTCAATCACTTTCGCCTATCGTGGAACCGTTTAAGGAGGAAACCGCAGCCAATCCGAACTTCCTCGACATCCCTGTGCCAACAATAACCGTTTAATAACAAGCGTTACCTAATCGAAGGGTAGATCGAACGCGACGCGAAAAGTTTTTCTCATGGAACCACTGCTCGTTCGGTCCTGATCCGCGAATTCTTTGCTCCAAAAAATTGCCACAAGCTCGATGAAGCACAACGCTGATTTTCACCGCCTCCATTTATCGCGTTTCTGTGCACCAGAGCATCGGAAAATAAATCAACAAGCGCGGATAACGAGCGGACCCGTAATCAAGGTACGCGTGAAAAATGGGAGAAAATGAGAAAAACTCGAAATTTATGCGTCACAGCGACGCTAGAAGTACAGGGAAATTGCTCGAGTTTCGTCGGGCAGAAGACCGTGCAGGATCGCGTGTTTTCAACGTTCCTCAAAGAACAGTTTTAACGACAGAACGGTGCAGCTTGTTAGTCGCGGATCGCCCACGTTCGTTTCCAGCCGCTAATTGTGCGGCCGTTTCCTTTTGTTTTTGGATTAACAGAAAGGAACGACGGGAACTCCGAATATAAAAGGGACAGGGTAACTATTCAGTTATCCGAGCTTAATTACGGTGACGCCGTTAATCAGCGTGTCCGCCGCGCGTTTCTTTCATTAGCCTGAAACGTGGGAGCGGAAGAAAATCATGCTTTTCACGGTCGTCCTTGTTCTCTCTCGGTTCAAGCTCGTTCCCCGAGATGCGCTGTAAAATCCGCGGAGAGCGGACCAGTTTTCAGAGATTTTGTAGAGAAAACCCGCCAGAGGGAAACGAGTCGTGGAAAAGTACAAAATGGGTGTGACGCTGTCGGTGAAAATACTATCTACTCCTGGAATTATAGTCTCGTGTAACACGCAGCAGAGGTAGCTCGACTAATCAACTTATCCTCTCGGTTTACTTTCTATCCCCATAACAGAGATAAAAGAATTTCTGCAGGATCATTCAACGAGAGCTCTAATTGATGAAATTCTCGGGCTGTTTCCGGCTTACCGATTCATTAGAGTATATACGATTTCGGAGAACTCTGTTGTCCCATCGTGCGTCGCGTCGTCGAACAGTTAATTATAGACCTCTGCCAAACGGAATCGATAAACGGATTACGAATCTGTACTCGCCGGTAACGAGCGGCTCTATCAGCTTCCGCGACCAAGGCGTATCAGTTCGTTAACGACGGCGAAACGTTCTCGTTAACCGCGATATTCCGCACGGGGAGGTTTCCTCGTTCTCGAAAGACCGTCGAAATCACGCGACGGACACAACGGACGAGTTTTCCCGACGGTCCTGCTGTTGGTCACGACGACATTCTCCGAACATTTAATTGAGAAAACTTCGGTCCGAAAGTTTCAATCCTCGCCTGGAAGGACCGTCCGCTCCCAACGGTCTCTGCTAGCGTGGGCGTGCAATCACGCTTCGATTGTATGCAACAAGCCTTTGATTTCCTCGCTTCGCCGTAGAAAAATCGGAAAAGCGATCATCGTCTCGACGTTCCTGTCCACTTCCGGAGACGTTCTCCAGAGATTCAGAATCGTAAACGATCTTCGTCCCTTGCAGAGAAATCTCGGGATGATGAAAATGTCCAAGGTGTCTTCTGCGATTGCTCGATTCTTCGAGTTCTTCCGACAAGTGTGTTTTCCCCGAAGGAAAATTTTTTGGAAGAAATACTGGCTGAAATCACGAACGAAGAATCATTCATCGTTCAAGAATTTGTCCATTGTTTTGAATCGTTGAAGCGGAGATCATTCGACAGATTTCGGAGAAGAGAAATAGCGGAGGATCGTCTCGTTTCGACGAAAGAGTTGCAGAAATAAATCGGCAATTGCGTCAGATTTCGGTGCACGCAGCTGATTCGTGGGCGGGCGAGTTTTTATCGTGACCTTCGAGAGAGCGTTTGAGGAGTCACGCGCGCGCAGAAATCATTTGTTCATTTCCCTTGTTTTTTTTCGGAAAGTTGCTCTGATGGCTCCCAGTCACGCCAAGCACGAAATATTGCCGCAGACTATGCACATGAACCGGGGGCAGCTCGACCTTCCCGCGAAAATCAGCCGATAGTTCTAAACACATAAATCCCGAAGCAATTTTCTGACGACAGACCGGACTCCCCTCGCGAGCTTGTAATTTACATCTCAATCCTGTACCGCCACCGTGTCGCGTAACTGCGAACGTGTTCGATGATTGATAGAGACCACCGAGAACGCGCGCGCCATAAAACAGAAACATTAATCTGCAGCTTGAAAATATTTCTCGAGGTGTTATGCAATCTCGCGATTACCTCGCCCGTATGCTGTTTCTCGCGCATCTGCCCTCGCAATTTTTCGTCTTTCAAATCTCGAGCTCGATGCGGCGGAATGTAGAGCGGAAGTTACACGCATTGTCCGTTTCCATTTTTATCGATGCTTCGCTCAGCTTTAAAACACGTTCGTATTATCTGCACATTGCACAGGTGCTTCGGGATCACCTTCGACAGAACCGTCGAAAAATGAAGCTCGGCGTTCAGAAATGTAATATATCGAGACCATAAAAAGCTCGCTGTTGCAGGAAGTAACTATTTCTGGATCGTCCTGAATTTTTATGATTTCAACCAAATTCTCGTCGCGACAAGACATTATCAAATTATTGTTTAAATCACGGCAACATCGACAATTCCCTGTTCGGAGCCAATCGGGTGGACCGGGTATTATCGGTGCACAAACAGATAGCAATTTGATAATCGTTGGGGAACTGACTTGCGGATAAAACGGCTCTGCAGCGCGAAAAGTATTAAAACAGAATCGAGCCGGCAATATCGGCGGGGGTGGGCGCGTGCATCCGCGTATAAACTGCAATTCCGTTGGGGACGATCGATCGGACGGTTTGACAACCGTTAACGATGGTCCATCTTTAATTATCCCGTGCAGTCGAGCGCGTTATTCGAGCGTTCGTTATGGTAACGAGCTCGCGAGTTTCGTGGAGAGTAACCTAGACCCGGTGAACTTGGGTCGCGATCTATTTCTGCTTCTGGATTTATTATTACCCGATCTCCAAAGTTTCCGCGGCCTCGTCCGTTACACCTCGTTTCCTTCCTTCCTTCCTTCCTTCCTGACATTTCGCAGAAATCCGCGTTCGAGTTCGTCCCGTCTGACCAGGAATCTGATACCGCGATTCACGCTCGAGCGACTCCACGATCGCGGGGTCCCCGGTTAATTGGATCGGTCCTAGGCAGTCGGCCGAACGCGAAACGAACTGGAAATGAGAGCCGAAAAACCGATTGACGCCCCATTAAGCCCCATTCGCACGCGTCCAATCGGAAACGAACTCTCGCGAATTACGTCCTGGATCCCCGTTGAGACTCGCGGAAACGACAATTCGCAATTTACGCGCGTTCCGCGGTCCCTTTTCGAAACAGTTTTAACGAGAGCCGAGGCAACGAACCGTTCATAATTTCGAGTAATTACGCAGCACGGGTTTTTGTTTCGATCTCTACGTGCCGGGAGATTTTATTTTCGAGCCCGGAGGGCTGTCGCGACCGCGGCGAATTTCGCTGGAGACCGGGCGTTTTGAAAATTTCCTTTTGAATTGTCGGAATGCACCGCGCGGATCGTTTAATTAAGATTCGAGTCGTCGGGCTCGGGTGAGAGCGTGGGCGGATTTTCTGCTCCGCGTTGGAACGTGACGCGGGGGCCGCTATTCCTTTTTCACTTCTTGCGTTTCAGAGGAGGAAATACGATTACTGGGTCAGGTAGATTTCCCGCAGCAGAGGTGCATTAACTACTTGACGCCCGACGAAGCTCACGAAGAGATCCGCGCCGCCTGGCAAAACCGTGAGTATGATTGACACCCCCTTTCTTTCCCCCTCGTACTTCATCGATCTCGGTACTGGCGCCAGTCGTATCGTTTCATTCGCGACGGCCATTCTGTAGAATCTGCCACAATGATTTCCGATGACACGTGTCGCCGAGACCGATCGCAAATTGGAAAAGATCTTTTGCACTGCACAGTGGCCTGGAAACTCGTTTGCCGTGGCCGACATTACAGTTTCAAGGTATTGACGATTAACGCTAGGTTTACGGAACACGTTATTTTATAAAGATACATATATGGGAATTTATTCGGTAAATTATTAGAATAATAATCGCGAAAAATCTGAACGAATACACATTTGTTATTTTTATGAAGCAACATACACACGTTGCTTTTAGTGTTCCTAAATCTAGCGTTAATACTGCATAAACCTCGCGCAAACAAGAGAAAAATGAAAATTTTCAAGATTCTTGGTAACAGGAGGAGAGATAAAATATCACATAGTAGAACGAACGTTAATGGATTGAGTCGGCCACAGAAGCTGCTTAAATTTCGAGAATCCGAATGGATTCTTTGTGCGAGTTTGATCCCCGGAGACCTTTTCCCGCCTCATCGAGCCATGCCCTAAATTCTCCTACAGTCTCTCTTCTTCCAGGGATGCAGAATTTGAGTATATCCTGTTCCCTAGTCTGCCTGATCATCTTGGGCACCGCGGTTTTGATAGGATTTTTCGGATTGTGCAGGCACCAACTATCCGCGGTTCTCGTCACCGGTGTGATGTACCTTCTGGCGGGTAAGTTGAACGATAGATCTCGTGGAAAGATCCGCGTGAACGGGATAATCACATTAACCGAGGAACAGTTTTGTTGGTACTGAGTGCTGCGGTTGCGGTCGGCAAGCTCGGTGACCGGGAGGATTCCTAAGCACTCGTCAAGTCGACCGCAAAATAAGCGGTTTGTTCGAGGAAGCCGGATAGTACTGTTATGCTGTTGCAACTCGATGAACTCGTGTTCCCGCTGCCTTCGTCCGTTTCATCCGCGGGAGCTTTCGAGATCTGTCCCCCGATGTTTATTTTATATGGAACAACGACCGGATCAATAGTCGCGGCCGTTCGATTTACATCTCCCTGTTGAATATTGCATCGAATTGTAACTCGAAGCGGACTCATTTCAATTTCAATTGGAACGAGTCAATAGAACCTCGATTAGTTTTTACAAACCGGACCGGGGTGTTTCCTTCGCGCCGCAAGAGGCAAACGCTTCTTATTTCTGATAGAGTGCTCTTAGTTTCCGCGACTGACGAACATCGTTCTCTAGAATGCCTTCTACAAGTAGGGAGACGTTGTCCGACGAAAATGTCTATGGATATCTTTTGAGTTCGAAGGTCCTTGACCTAGAGCAATTGTTGCAGCCACGTTCGCATTGTTCACCCTGACGATAATTCATTTCAAGAGGGCCCAGGATCGGGGCACGAGGATACTGGACGGTCCAGAGGATGGTGTGATTGGTGGACCGGTTCCTAGGAACGTACTGAAGGCCAGACGCTTCAGCAGCTCGTGGAGCATGGATTTCGGTTGGGGTGGCGTCACCCTGTGCGCCCTCGCCTCTGTGGCGTGGATATTGCTCAGCAAAATCATGCGTTTCAGCCCGGTCGCAGCAATAATAGCGTAGCAGTGGGAGGCCTTCGAGGTTTAAAGGTCGTTTCGAAGAGTTACGATAGTGTGTTTCGGTGTCGACGACCCTCCCGACGAGCTCTGACCACCGGGGTGGTACAGGCACGTTTTCTACGCAGGGAACATATTCTCTCTGTTCTCTCTCTCTTGTATAGTTAATGCAGAGATCACGGGGATTTTTTTGATTAGACGACTCGCGATTAATTTCGCGGATTGTAATTAAGGGCCTGTGAGCGTTAATTATATCAGGAACGGAAAAGTTGCCGCGTTGACAAAACCTGGACACTCTTGGCGATTTCCAGGGGAGCTGGGGAACTAGGTCAGACATTGAAATGAATTTTGAGAGTATTTTTTCAGAATCGAAATCACTACTGAAACCGACCACCTCGAAGGCAAGAGGCTGCGCTTGCACGTCTACTGGAGGGTGCATGTGCATCGCGTATTTATTTGTCGACCTGTACTTAAGGTGCGGCAAGTAACCAGTACAATTTTTGTCCATCACACGGAATGCAATGTTTTGTACAATTTACCAAGTAATAGCTAGTTTCCGATAGGGGAAACACCAAGTAAACTGTATGAGCTGTACGAGCCAATTTGATCCTGCAAGGGCACACTGTTTTTCTTTGGAAATGTCCTAAGTGTGTTTTTACAAGGGATTCTAATTGGTTGTTTGATTCCAAAGGTCCTCCTAACGATATGGTTCTTTACTACAAAAGAAAAACATATACAGATGCATGATTAAGAGACAGTGTCTAGGTGAAAAGCTTTTGGAACAGAAGGAGTATTATGTTACGATAGTCTAGAACAGTACAGAACAGATGTATGCGTTTACCTCGGTTTTGATTTGCACACGAATTAGTCAATTAATGTGAAACCAAATAGTCTGTCTATTTAGACACATTTTTACCAGTCTCCTGTAATCTATTTTTTTATGAAGTAGCAACGGATATCTTATTGAGTTTCTTAAGAGGAAACACCGGTTTGGATATTTTAAGTACTTTCACAGGTTCTAGAGGCCGAAAGGATATTTGTTGAGGTTTTGCTTGAGAAATTTAACTACAGAGCATAATAAGATATAGATGCCTATAGTGTAATTCGATCGCCTTACAATAGAGAGATAAGCATGTTTGTAACACGCATAGCATAGAGTTAAACTTGTTCGAGCCAATGTAAGCAACGATAAGCGTGTCTGCAAGAAAAAAAAATTTTAGCTTTTGCTACAACTTGTTACAGCGAAAAAAGAGGACTTATGCCAACAAAAAAATATATCGTACACCAAGGATTGTGAATCGCAATTCGTCCATTAAGATTTAAGATACAATGATGTTTTCGATGGGAGCATCAAACTATACCCGGAGTTTGAGCATTGCTGGTCCAATGGAAAAGCAATCGAGGATGATATAATGTGCAAATGCACTGGCAAAATTATGCTCCGGGTGTTTATTTAAACAAACCGCATTTTTCTGATAATATTTTCTTGTCGCATTTTTTACCTGACCCTTGTTATTTGTTATATCAGAATTAATGTATCATAAAATGCAATATAAATAATAAGCTATGTATAAACACAGATGCCCTTGACTTTTTACTTCTCCCACACAAAATCAAACGAACATTCCAGCACAGCATGACTTTTATCTCTCTCAGTCATAAAAAAAATGTATCTCAGAGTTTTTTTTTGTAACTAAATCACTTGTGTAAGAACATTGAAAATCAATGCAACAGAGGAAGAGCAAATATAGCACGGATATTTGTTTCAAGAATAACACGAGTTATATTGTCAACGTTTTGGTCATTCTATGTATAAAAATAGTATTACAAAGCGTCCCATTCTTACGTATCTAACTCGTGGTTCTATAAACTTCTCGATGTGCATTTTACATATAATCTCAAAAGAGGAGAACGACTTATATGCCATAAACAATCGAAATCTACCGGAAAATTCAACGGTTAGAGGTTACAGAACGTAATATGTAGTTTGTTTAGTTAATTTTAGGTTATGTTTGTTAAACGGATTTCACAAAAATATGGATCCTCGGTGGGCAAACACACGCACACAACGTTACGATGCGATACGACGACGAACATTTGAACACGTGACCAGTCGTTCCGCGTGTGTGTGTGCGTGCGTGTGTGTAACGCGGGACACGCTAAACACAGTGTTCAATAACATTCTACTATACATATGCATGCACCAACACGTCACGTCTGTTCATGGATTCAAACAGATTACTATTTTTTGTAGTGGTAAACAACAAAGGTAGTAGAAGCGTGAACCGAACGGTGCTCGAGAATGTACGTACAAAAATACACCGCGCGTTACGACCAGTATTGTTCTGTAAAACCGTTCGAATGAAAGTAGCCTTATTTTTCGAACCTGTTAGGTGCTTGTTCCTTTCAAATCATTATTCCTACGAATACCGTTTGCTGTACGGTGCTCCAGTCCAAGAAAACAATGCTGGATAGCAGATATTAAGATAATATGTCCTCTTACCTTGAATTTGTTGGTTTAACTGGGTGTTTGACGGTTTCTCAACGACAGACACACTTTCACTGTTTCTTCGAAGGTTCTCCTAAGTTGTGATTCGATCGTTTGAACGTAAACTTTATGTAAGTACAAACAGCCAGGTAGATCGAATGGGACGGGACGACCGTTATGCCAAACAACGGTTTATTACCGGCACGCGTACACTTGTACGAGCGTCAAGCACACAGAAACGAGGCGGATGCAACGATGTGAACGACACGCTCGGTGCGCATGTGGTGCGCATGCGCCCTCGTTTTGCCGCCATTTCCTGCTAAAGGCGGGATTGGTTTGTCTTAGAAATATTACCATTTGAAATCAATTATTTATTGTAATAATATATATACTTCAATTGAATATTAAATCAGAAAAAATGCGATCATTTTGATTTCCAAGGACGTAACAATTGAAATCTAGAGTATTAGTTCCACGGTCTCGAATAGATACTAAGCGACATGTCTCCGTCTAGCTTAGTTCGATATATCGAACTAGACAGATAGAATTATATAGATTTTCTATAAATAAATTTTACCCACTTTTTCAATTACCGTTGTTATTCTGAAAATGACAGAATGTGAATAGCACAAGAATAGGAAGCTTAAAAAATAGTGTGTGAATATTATATTTAATAGATTCATAGATCGATATATTTCGAGAATCGCAATCTGCGTAATGTACGCTTTTTGAATTTTTGCGCAGCCTCCATTCGACGATTGCCGCACTCATTAGAAGCTGTCCCGCAGTGTCCTGATTTTTTGAAGAAATTTTGTGTTTATTGATTAGGAGTAGGTAAATATGCATCACATATCGATTATTAATCTATCAAGAATAGGTGGCATTGTTATCTAGAATAATCATCGCGAATATTCGATTATATCTTGCATAAATGATGAAGTATCAGCAACAGGCTGTTGCTTGCTGCTACCCCTAATGAATTAACGCCAGAATAATAGAAATTTCTATAATTAATTGAAATTATCATTTACCCGGGTTTAATAAAGGAAAATATACACGTTAACCTATTAGCGTAACATAAAATATGACATTATCGTATCAGATCGGTGCCGGTAGACAGACCTCAAAATGGCTACCGGTTCTATTCCGAATTTTCGATCTATCTAAAATCGGTGGCCATTTTGGTTTGCACTAAACTGTTCCCGCGCATTGAAATTTTTGCTCCGTGGTTTTTAGGAAAAAAACTATGCCAAAAGTGAGTGTTTCGTGGGTCCATCGGTATGAAAAGGATCCTGGAAACAAGATCTAGTAAGTAATATAATAGGTTGAGACCCAATACATTTTTTACTCTAAGAAAATAGTAAAATGTATAGCATAGTCGATTACTTGTTTTAAGCTTGGGACACGGCAACCTCTACGAACCAAAAAAAAAGAAGAGACTGTGTTCACGCTGAATCCTGCTATCACAGAAGACGAAAATAACGTCGATCATCAACGGTGAGTGTTTCCACAATCCATCTCTTTTTATTCAATGCTTTATATTTTTTCGAAATTTCATACAAAGAGTCACAGAAATAAGATATCAAAATAGTCGTTGCACTGCGAAGCAAAATGAAATGAAGTAATAAAGCAAATATGAAATTTGTTCGTTCGATTTCCGGATATTATTTTTAAAAAGTCGAGCGCTTAAAGTGTAATTATCCGGTGATATCCGGCAATTCGTTTTTAACGAGGCTACTGTTGCCGTCCAGAGTGCTCTTAACCGAGATTCGACTATTAGATTTCTCGAGTATTTGTGGGAATTTCAACTTTTCCGAGGTAATATTCATCCCTTGTTCGCCGTTATCCTCGCTAAGTAGTTCCTTCTTGCGAGTTGCGAACAATTTCTCCTTAATTTGCATCGTGGCGTGTTGCTTCCGGTTATGGTACTCTTTCCAGCAACATTGGAAGCTAGTGAACGCATTGTTCCAGATACACAGCTCCTCCACTGGAGGAAGAAATTTTATTTAACACTGACTGGCTTCTCTTGATTGCAGAATTAACCCTAGGAAAACTGAGACTGTCCTTAGAGATAACATTTTTACCAAATTAAAAACCAAGGAAGGCATTGCAAATAGGAATTATATCATTCTTTTATGGAACAACCACTTTCTAATAAGTAGATTGAGATAGAAATCACTTTCTAAATTGTTCTAAGAAAATCGACATAAGAACACAGGCTTTATAAATTGTTCTATAAAGATCAGAAGGAGAGTCTTCCCGAGGCTAATAAGTACCGTGTTCTTTGTACCGAATAAAATAATTGTCATGGCCAAGAACGCGCCAGCTGGCAACGTAACGTTAGGCAAAAGCGCGATGACCAGGTTCAAAATAGCTGGTCCCTCGCACAATGCCATTCCCTTCATGGTGTTCAGCAGCCATGGCACATAGAGATAAGGGATACCATACTTATCGCCGAGGGACATCATAAGCGTGGTTATCAGTCCTGCGGCTATATTCGTCACTAGTATCACGATCTTCAAATCTGCAAACAACGTGATACTTTGCTGAGGACATTTTTCCGCTAGATAAGCGAAAGAGGGCACTCGAGTTCTATCTAGACTATCAAATAATTTTTAACAGCATCGAGATATCAGTTCCGAGAAAGAGAAGTTTAGCACAGTTCGATTAGAAAGTTTCTTGGATAGGGGAAAATAGGATTCGAGTAGATTGAAGTTTGCCGGGATAAAGACACTCGAGGAAGGTAACGTTCGAAGTCTCGTAGGTGATTTATTATTCAAGTATCGTTACTGAAACTTCGCCGGAAAAGAGCATTAAAGGCGGCGGATTTGGTTGTTGCGTTCCCCAAGGGGGTTCGGCCTCCGGCTTCGAACACGATCGAGCTGAGACAATGTGTCGTGAAGCGGATTATAGCCAGGTATAGCGCTCCTACCTGCGATAACGTTAGGTATATTGATCGCGAACATTAAATCGGGAGCATTATGCGAGATTCCGGGCAGTACGTTTGTACCTTGCAAATGGACTTTTTAACTTCGGTTACTTTTCGTTCATTATCTTTGGAGCAGTTTGGAGTCTCTTTCAATTTAAGTGCCATTTTTTCCGGATCTGTTTCTTGTTTGGTTAACTTATCCACGTGTTGTACGTCGCTCGGCCGTAATAAGTTAACAAAGAAACACGCAATCTGCAATTTCACGTCGGTGTCGCAACCGCAGTCTGTCCTTTATTGAATACACGAACGTGTGTCTACACGGTGAACGTTTTACAATAATTTAAACGGCGAGGAATGGCAGGCGACATTAACTTGACTGGCTCGAGAAAGTGAACGGCTAACGAGATAGCCGAGCCTGTTTATGGAACAGACAAAACACTTGCAACCAATTGTGCACGGTTAGAAAGGACAGCAACAGTTCGTCGCGTTTCACGTGGAGCCCGTCCAAAAATACTCGAACACAGAACACGATCACTTCGACGATGATTACGCACAGTTGCATTAGCAACCAGGGTGTATGCAGCATTGGGTATTCCTAGAACAATGCAACAGCGCTCGATACCGTTCAGTTTGCAGAGAAATCCTGTCGAAGCCACTTACGGTTATCGCGCCTAACACGATCAACGTGTAGTGTTCTATCCCCAGTATCGAAGTCATCAGCTTTAGGTCCCTTTCCACTTCTAAGGGAACTAAAAAAGTTGCCAATCGTTAGTGAACGCGATGTTATACAATACGGTGCAATACGTAGGGATTTTTCTGAATGGGAGTTATCACTTTGTTAAGTGAGTTCGAGAGAGGTCCCAAGTGATCATTGAAGTTTTTAGGGAATTCGATTTCTCAATTTTCAGGGATTCTTAAAGGAATTTGGGGTCTCTTCAAGAAGTTTGTGAAATTTTAAAGAGAAAAATGTTCTGCAAGGAATTCGAAGGATTCTCGAAGATCCAACTGTGGAAAACTGCGGTCTTTTTAAATGAATTGTTCAACGTACCAGATTCCTTGGCTCTGCAATGGGATATTTGCTTCTCATTGTCAGACCTCGTCACGGACTTGCTATTCATTATTCGAACAATATCGAATGCCGTAATGACCTAGCAATTCATATCATTGTTAGCATTTCAAGTTGCAGAAATCGATACTCGGCGAACGAAATTAGCGTAAATATTCCTTCTACTTTCATACGAAGCTAGCGATACACATATACGAACTCGGTCAGCGTTCATTTATGCAGAAACAATTAATGGGTATTACGATCGACTAACGGTCCCAATGAGGCCCAGCAGGATCACGAAGATCGAGTGTCCCATCATGTAATGGTCGCACAGGTTGCACGCCAGGTATCCGATCCGCTAAAAAGAGGTCGCAATCATTATCATCTATTTTCTCGTCAATATCCACAATCTTCTAATCAAAGCATGATTGACTTCGTCGAATTTCATCGTGGTAACAACTGCAAATTCTAGTCATGCTATTCATTCGAAATTAATAACAATTAAACTTCGGAGAAGCGACTGACTAGAGGTCCACCCGGCTCGGTAGGTTTTCGTCTATTTCGGATTCTCATAGTGGTTGAGGTTAATTAAATAGACGGAAGTATTTTCTTAATTTTATTTCCACTAACGTGCACGCGTTGCCGCGCGAAGGAGCCAAAAAGCTAACTCTTTAATTCGGTAACGGGGTTTTCAAAATTGTTTGATCGATCTCTTCGTCTTCTATCGTTCGAGATCTCTTTCCCACGACGAGGAACACAATACCGTGACGTTAAAAAGACGTGCGATCGTGTGTACACACACATACACGTCGAATCATCGATATTTACCGAATTTCTATTGCTCCCTATGATCGATGTCACAGAGGAAAGCAGGGAACGTTTCCGACGACGCGCCATTTTCTATATTTTTCTGTGTTTCAAATTCACCGAAAATTTGACCATTTTTTACGGGGTCTTTATTACCGAAATTTGCCTTGGCAGGTTATACAGTACAATTTTCCAAATTCACAGATCCTCGCGAACAATCTGAATAACGACAAACACATACTCGACCGCGTTTCACTTCAGGCAACAATTTCGGCCATTTTCGATGTTCATAAAAATACAAAAAAGGAGTAAAAATACACACGATGAACTATCATCTCGATCAGATCGCAAACGTGTTCGGGAACCAGGCGACAGTAAGTCGAAATTTATTAACGACAGTCCGGTAGAATTTCTTGCTACGCTGCAATCATTTTCCTCAGAGAAAAAGTCGCGATCCCCATAATCGGAAAATTGGTAAGTCTTACGCAGAGCTGAAAGACAAAACGTTCGTTAACAATAACGTACACGAGAAAGAAGTGCTGCGAGTTTGTCAAGCTTTGTTGTTGTCCACGTGTGTGCTGCTGTTGAGTTACCACAGCATTTTCCATGGCCGAAGCGAGTTTAGCATCCTGCAAAATGGCCAAATCGTTCAGGGATACAAGCACAAGGCTGTGGTCAATTTGAGCTTGGGTTATTCCGCACCGTACTCGTCGGTTTGCTTTCTGGCGATCGGCATGCTCGCCTATTCCCTTGTCTCGGTGAGAAGCACTATGGTTACTTAGGTATTACCGTAGATTTAAGTACCACGATCTCCTGTGCCCTTTTAATTAACAATCAGCGCATTGCTCGTTGAACGAAATCGTAATCAAATTAATCTGTTATAAAGAGATGGTAGAACAGTAAGAACAGTGGGTTCGATAGGGAAAGTATCGAAGTTGATCAATAATGAATTGTTAATCGCTACAGAAGAAGCCACACTGGAGCCTACCATCGATAGTCCTCTATCTGGCTGACATGGTGTACGATATCAGTGGCGTAGTAGTGGCGATTTGGTTGTTTTTCACAAATTTATCGCTGCCAACAGCCGTGGCTTACGCGACAGCATCTATAATATTGATGCGTACGTTTCGATTCCTTGACTTATTAATCCTAAAAAAAGGAACTAATTGCAAACAGGACAATTTTTTGAAGCAGATACATATTTTTAGAAATGATCTTTCCACCGATTAATACTTCCTCGATATATTTTCACCAGTCGCAGATATCTGGATATGGTTAGGCGTGCTCAGACTCTACGAACAACGAACCTTCAAATAACCATTAAATCTCGGACAAAATTCAAGGAAAATACAAAACAGACAATCGTTTCGTAAGAATGTTTCTCCATCCTTTATATACTACAATGTACACATGTTTGAATAAAGAAGTGAATCGTCAAGTGATGAGACTGTGCGAATCGGGATCGTCCTTGGTCAGGACACTAGAGTAGACAGTGGGACAGTCCAAAGAATCTGTTGAACACTTTGCACCTGTATCGAAATTCCTTACCTCTGGGCAATAATATAACCTAAAATTGAAAGATCATAATCAATCTTTCGATCTGGGTCACCGTCGGTTCGAAGCTTGAAGATTTATTAAAATTGTCGAGGAAAATTCGTTCGAATTTTGTTGCAAAAGATCATTCGCTTGTTTCTCTATCGGTTTGTGAATTCTCTGATACGTCTCACCTGGGACAGTATTTCCTGAGGGCCTCGTTAATCGTGAACTTGCCGTCGAACTTCGTCTTCGATATTTCCTGCACAAGAAATCCCATGAACGCCTGACAAGGCACCGCGGTCGCCTGAATGTCGTTATCAGGCTCGATCGTCGCCAGCTGATCGGGCACGCAACGATCCTTCTCGCCGCTGAAAATCGCAACAGGTTTCACGCGTTTCCCCCAAAAACGATATCGCTTCTGTCGCCGACACTCACTTGCACAGGAACCGTTTCACGGTGTCCAGAGCGCAGAACATGCTCGGCTTCACCGCGATTCCAGGAACGCTCCAGAGCAGCTGCGCCTTCGCAGCCAGTTCGAGAACATCGTCGTCCAGACTTTTCGCGACCCTCGACAACTTCGAGCTGAATCGATACGATTAGATTCGGTGGAACGCGTTTCACTGCATCCGCTCTGTACAGAGTAATGTCTCACCCTTTGAAGAATCTGCCGACAGAGAGATCGACGGTCTTTATATTGGGGTTCGCGATTCTCAATCGTTCCTTGATGCGATCCTCCGGAGTTGGCGAGGATCTTTCGGCTGGACGCGAATCAGTCGCGAGAGATTCGTTCGCATTTGTGCTTGCTCGAGTTTCGATCGGATCGTCCGGTTGGTTCCCAAGAGGTTCTTCTCTCAGGAGATTTATTAGATGCAGCTGTAGGTTCGGTTTGGATTAGTGTTGCGACGCGAAGCGGACGGGGTTTAGTGGTTTGAATAATTACGCTCAAGTCGGGATGCTTGCGGGCTGCTGTCTCGACGTAACAAAATTCCCTGGTGGACCAATTCCGGTGACCCAGTTTCAGGAAGTACACGTTCGACGACTCCTTGACGTCCAAGATTCGGCTGGTTTCGATTCTGAAATTGCGATCGCGTCGCTGCTAATTGTTCTGAGACGCGTCGTTCCTAATTGGGATGCAATTTGATTCTCCCAGATCGAATTTCTCGTTTCATCTCATAGAGAGCTGTGCAATCGACCGCGCACGGTATCGAATGGAAAGCGTAAATGATTTTGTGAACGCGTTAAAAGGCGAATCGTTATCTTCGTTATCAAGATAATTAGATTAATTGCGAGCGATAAGTGCAAACGATCGAACTGCAATTGTCGTGCAATAATTCGAATCATACCGACACCTGTTTCCGACGACGCTGGGCAGAGAAACGGCTACCATGACAAACGTCAGCAAGACCATGCTGGCGATAATTAGGCAAACTGCCAAAAACGCGCGGAATAGATCCGCCGGCCATTTCCTCAGCTGGTTCACCACGCCTTTTATTATCGGCGTGCCGACGTCTTCGGGAATCCCTTGATACCTCGCGTCGTAGAGAAGCGAGACGTCCTCGCCGAAAGGATCTACGAGGATTTCCAATGATTGCGAGTGCTCGCGAGGACCGTCGCGGCGTGTTCATCCGTTCAAAGGACACTCGAAACTTTTCCGAAGAATATATATATGTATCACAAACTGCGTTTCGTATCTAAAAATATTCGACCGCCCGCGCTGCGGTAGACTCGAAACTGCGGATTTGATGCATTTACGTGCACGCACATAATTTTTTGCTGGCGTGTTCCATTTTACCTTCGACTAGCTCGCTCTTCGCGAGGATCATTGTTCACGTGATCGAATATTTTTAAACCGTAGCGTAGTTTGTGTTCGTGATTTCCACAGCGACTTACCCTTCGTGCTCGGCATAATGTTCGATACTTTCTCACTGCTAATATCGTCCGCGTCTCCGGCCCGTTTATGCAGTTAGTACCGTTCGCCAAGTCAGCATTTCGCAATAATTGGCCGTATTTAAATTGAGTCACGACGGGCCGCCATGCTAACGGAGGTGCGCGGCCGGCATAGTGTACAAAGTGGAGCATCGGATACGCGCTCAATCACGGAAAAAAACATGCGATCGTACGCATGAAGCAGGAATTCTCGCGACCGGTAAGGTTATCGTGCTGCTCGCGATTGTTTCGATCGGAGCGTCGCGAATTTCGCTGGATTGCGAGCCGAATCTCTCCGCGGGACGCGTAATTAATTAACGAACGACCGATCGAAACGTCGGTAATTCTACGCACTCGAAATTCATGCAGTCTCGTTCGCTATGCTAATCTCGTACTTCGGAACAATAAAAGTACGAGGAAAAATACGGGATTTAAAAATAGCATTGCGCACGTGATCGAGGCGAAAGCAAACACTGCGATTCCGATTAATCGTTGGTTCCACTTAGCACCGACTTCTGAAAGCGAGACAGATAAATCGGAGGTGAGGATAAATTCGAAATGTCTTTATTACAAATAACATTTTCACAATTTACGCTAGAAGTCGCGATGGCAGGTGTCCATGACTCCGAAACAATGGAGTCATCGCTGTGACCGAGGTTCTCCAGCGTGCTCCATCTAAACGATCTCAGACTGATTGCTCGGCGATCGATCCGCGGATTCGAAATGATCGCTGATTCCTGTCGAGCTCTTCGCTTACGATAACCTGGAAGCAATAAATATGAACGATAGCGGTTCGTTCGAACGACGAAATTTCGGAGATTGACATCCCAAAATCCGAACACTTGTCCTATGAACGCGCTTGCTTTCACGACAACGGTGAATTCGATTGATATCGAAAAAGGATGCGCCATCACTATTTCGTGATCGATCTGCGCGGGAAGCACGAAAAGGCACGCGAATGACTCGGATCATCGTGCTCAATTCCTCAGGCACTAGATTACAAAAATATAGTTTCTGTTCTTGCCTCGCCGAATCGGCTCCGAATCGCTATACCAAGGCGGAGCAACGCCGATTTCGAGTTCCCGCGTCGAGCCGATCGTCCGTTCGATAGAAAAGATCAACACGATCGATCATAAATCGTTCCTCCGCGGAATATCGTAGGGCTAACGTGTCGGAAAAGCGTCGTGTCGCGTTCGATGCTAGTCCAGGAACGCCCCTAAACGAAGCTTTCGGGAATCTAACGCGCTAAAAGGGAAGAGGATCGCGTGCGAATCGACGCTGAATTACGCTTGGAAGCTTCGCGCGAACCGACCCGCGGTTTTCAAATCGATTTAGAGTAGAAATGATAGTAACGCGAACTCGAAGCGGCTCGAGGAAACTATCGTGCGAATTAATTACGCGAGAGAACTAAATACATTCTGCTAGCTTGTGCTGCGGTCCTTCGACCCTCGGCTAATTTCGTTCCATTCCTTTCCGGCTTCGAACGATTCGGTGACGCGAAATTATCGCAAAATACGGTACAGTTTGATTGAATTCCTGCGTCACTGGTATCATCGGTGTCAAAGCGAAATTTGGTCTGTCCAACGGGGCAAGTCTGTTATATCGTTTGTTAAACGTCGAGCTCAGCATTGGTTTCTAGCAATTCGATAAATTAATTTTTTCTTATTTGTACACGCCGCAATCACTGCGCATTCATTTGTATTTACTCGTCGTCTCGTTGCTGTTACTTCAAATTCGTTTACAAAGATACGGTCTGCTAGTCGCGAGCGTTACTCGATCAGCAACAACTGAATCAGCAATTCAAACAGGATCTCTCGACCGTACAATTCTACCTTCCCGAAACCAGCGACCGGTCCTAATCAGCTGGAACGCGAACAGCCGAGGGTTGAGCAACGACCAATTACGGATAGCTTGTTTCGGAAGTGAGCGCTGGTCCGACTGTATGTACAACACGATTGCACTGGCACTTGTTCGGAGAAAGGCACACGCGGTTGGCAATCGTTCGTGAACAACGAACCGTTCTCCCCGGAGTCCTCTATAGTTCAGGAGTTCAAACGCTCGTGTAGGAGACCGGTTGTTTCGCGACGACGCTCTTCTCCCTGTTCTGGGGAGCACTGTTCTTCGGGGATTCGTCGCTGTCGAGAGAACTATGGTCGCTGTTGGGTCTGGACAGCGCCTCGTTCACGTCCTGCAGCTGCGCGTTCTCGTAGCTTCTCCTGTTCCTGGTGATCGTAGCTTCGTGGGGCAGCCGAAGATCTTTTCTGATGTACTCGGGACTCGAGTTCCACTGGCAATGAGTGCCTTCGTAGAACCCCGACTCTGGCGAGAGATCGGACGTCGGCGAGATCGCGGTCACTGGAATCGGCGAAGGGGATTGGCTTGGAAGCTTGGGTGACGAGTACTCCGTTGGCGATAGATTAGGGTCCGATAGGGAGGTTCTATTACCCTCGCTGATCTCCTGAAGACGCGGAGCTTGCTTCGGGAACTTCTCCATCTCGATGGTCAGTCTGTCGTCGTTCAAGCTAGGTCTTCCTCTCAGTTCGTTCTCCTTCGTCGAAATGTTCCTCCTGATCGCGTTCAGGCGTTCTTTGCTACCGGTGTGTCGTCTGGCGACCGTCAAACTTTCCCTGGGCTCCAAGGGCCTGTCCAAAGGTACCAACAGATACCTTCTGGACCCGTTCAAGCTCCTCCTGGATCCGTCCAGCGACCTTCTATCTTCCTCCAAGCCTCTCAGGATGTTTCTATGGTAGAGACTCCTTTTGGAGCACCTCTTCTCTTCGTCTCCCAACTGCAGCTTCATCGTAGTCCGTCTGCTACCTTGCCTCAACAGAGGACTGCTCTCTTCGGAGGTCTCTGGCTCCTCGTAAATGATCTCCCGACTGTTCTTCAGGATCTCTCTGTTGACCGCCTCGGGTAGATGTTGGAGGTCTATCTCGCCCATCACTTGGATCCCGTCAGGGTCCACGTCTAGGATCTTGTAGTGGTCTCGCGGTGGTCCTTGCTGGCTAGAGTCCCTGTGGGCGTTTCGATAGGGGGTATCTTCGACGCTGGCCTCGCTCCTCATGCTGTCCACGTGCGACAGCGGGTGATGATGGTTCGGCAGGATCGTCAGAGGACGATGATGACCGCAGTGACACGGGCCGTCCGCGCAAGACTCCCCTAGGAAGTCCTCGTCAACTATCACACCTGGAAAGCAGTCTACTACTTAGCGATCTAGGGGATACGACAGTTGAATACGCTTTGGTCCCGATTAATTAAGACATCATCGTGGGCAAGCTTTCGAATTCTCGAATGTTTCAATTGTTCGATCGTTCGGCGTCTTTCTCCGAAGTTTGAACCCAACCCCTTGGACAGTTTACAAGAATTAGTCCCCGAATGTTAATCGACCTGGGAAACGCATGCTAGTTTCGGGGCCCAGGCCACGGAAGAACCAACCAACAGCAACGTACACCCCGAATGATTATACAAATGGCCTCGATTGGACACCGGGTTCACCGATCGCCTCGATCTTCAGCAAGGCCGCGGTGACGGACTCAGGACAACACGAGAGACAGAGACACAAGCTCGACGACGGACATTGGACTCCCCGTTCCGTCGCACGTCTAATCTTATCTCAGGGTCAGGATCTTTGGCTTCCCCACGAACGTTTGCCGTTCGATCGTCGGGATTCTGCGGTCCTCTCTGGCGGAGTCTATCGGCTCCGATTCGCTTCCTCGCAAGGTGCTCGAACGGGTCAGACTCCCGGGCAGTCGTCGATCGATGGGATGTCGATGTGCAGCTTCGAGGAGCCCTGGGAGGCGTGTCCCTGCGGGAGCATGAACTCCGTGGCGTCGTTCTGGTTGACGGCGGTCAGCACGATCGGCACGGATTTCGGCTCGCTAGGGACTTTCCGCAGGCCTCCATCTACGGGTATAGATCCAGCACCAACAGTCAGACAAGAAACAGGGCACCGGGAAGCTGCGGAACAAGCCCGAGGAGCAAAAGCGAGGTGAAAGAAGCGAAGTGGCGAGCAGAGATGAGAGCGAAACCAGAGAGGCGTGCAGAAGAAACAGAGAGAGAGAGAGAGAGAGAGAGAGAGAGAGAGAGAGAAGGAGAGAGAGAGGAGGGTCTGGTGGATGCTATCGATTAGTTTGATTCGCATGTGCATCCCAATTAGCGCGGTTGGCTGGCCTTGCTGTATCGTTAGTGGTTGTTTTGCAACGAGTCGCATCGCTCGTTCTCGATGCCATGCCGATGGGCAGTTTTAATTGTGCCGGACATGCCAGTCTAGCGGAACTGCGACGTTGCTCGAAATCCTGTAACGTGCAGCGAGAGCTATCGACCAATTTTAGTCCAGGGTTAATCACGCTCGAGCTGGCTCGCTGGAGCACGTGGTGATCTTGAGAACGTGAATTGGTCGACGGGGGATCGCGGTATCGACTGTCGTCGTTCGACAAATCAGGGACGATTCGATTTTAGCCAATCTACGATCGGATTGGATAATGGCCGGCTAACTCGGACCCTGGTCGCGAGTGCTCTTCGACGAACAGCTGTATATCAGCTATAGATCAGCCCCAGATAGCCATCGTCGAGGAGCAACGAAGCCACGCCTATTCCGAGCAGAAAAGAGACGCTCGGTCCTTCGACTTTCGTTGCTCCTGGACGCGATCTAAAACGCTCGGAACATCCAGATTCTAAAAGATCCAGCTAGTCTAGATTTACCACGATCGGTCAGGATCGCTATACTCACCGTTCCCATGACGGAGCTCCTCCTGCACCTTGTAGAACTCTGCGAGCTCTCTGCCGCAGCATAGCGGCGTGTCGACCTGCGTGGTGCTGTTGAACAACGAGTAGTCGACCTCGTAACCCTGCCTGTCCTTGGAGTAGGTGACCATGGGCTCGAACCGGTGTCCCCAGAGTATCTCCTGCGGCAGGTAGCTGGACCTAGCCTGGGTAGTCTGCCCGGTGGACTCGATGGTACCTTCGAGGATAGCGACGACCTCGAACCTGTCCGTCAGCATGTCTTCGGCAGACATGGTGTAGAAGGGGGACTCCGAGTTGATCTTGTGGACGATTGTGGTGGGCCAGATGAAGAATAGGTTGCCGTTCTGGCCGTCGGTGCCAACGGCGAGCTCCTGCTGGTTCTGCGAGAGCACCTCGCCCTCCTTCGTGGTCCTGGTCCTGATCACCTGCGCCCTCACCGCCGCCCCGATGATGTGGCTCTTCCGCATGTCCCCGACGCGGAACATGAAGCACAGCTCGCCGTCCCTCTGGCAGATCACCGCGTTCCTCGAGAACAGCAGCGTCTGCGTCCTCTGCTTCGGCCTGCTCATCTTCGCGAACACTATGCCGACCATGAACGCCTGGATCATCACGCCGGCGATGCTCTGCACGCACATCACGAAGATCGCCTCGGGACACTCCTCGGACGTCGAACGGCTCCCGTAACCGATCGTGTGCTGGGTCTCGATGCTGAACAGGATGCAGCTGGTGAACGAGAAGATGTTGTAGATGCACGGCGTCCAGTTGTTCTCGAGCTGGAACGGCGGTAAATGCCGCTCGTCGAAGTCACCGTGGGTGAACGCGATCAGCCACCAGATCACCGCGAACCCCAGCCACGAAAGGATGAAGCTCAGGCTGAAGCACAGCAACGTCCATCGCCATTGCGTGTCCACCAGGGTCGTGAAGATGTCCTGGAGGAAGCGCAGGGACCGCCGAGAGATGCGAGACTGCAGCACGTTGCAGTCCCCGTTCTTCAGCACGGCCCGGCGACGCAGCTTGCGGGTTGGTCCTGCCCTGTAACGGCTCCTGCAAGATCCCAGGCCCCTGCTCAGTCATCAATATCAGCACTTCAGAGACACGATCGTTCGTAGAATATTTAGAAACAATGGTTGTTAGGGGGGAGANAAACCAGAGAGGCGTGCAGAAGAAACAGAGAGAGAGAGAGAGAGAGAGAGAGAGAGAGAGAGAGAAGGAGAGAGAGAGGAGGGTCTGGTGGATGCTATCGATTAGTTTGATTCGCATGTGCATCCCAATTAGCGCGGTTGGCTGGCCTTGCTGTATCGTTAGTGGTTGTTTTGCAACGAGTCGCATCGCTCGTTCTCGATGCCATGCCGATGGGCAGTTTTAATTGTGCCGGACATGCCAGTCTAGCGGAACTGCGACGTTGCTCGAAATCCTGTAACGTGCAGCGAGAGCTATCGACCAATTTTAGTCCAGGGTTAATCACGCTCGAGCTGGCTCGCTGGAGCACGTGGTGATCTTGAGAACGTGAATTGGTCGACGGGGGATCGCGGTATCGACTGTCGTCGTTCGACAAATCAGGGACGATTCGATTTTAGCCAATCTACGATCGGATTGGATAATGGCCGGCTAACTCGGACCCTGGTCGCGAGTGCTCTTCGACGAACAGCTGTATATCAGCTATAGATCAGCCCCAGATAGCCATCGTCGAGGAGCAACGAAGCCACGCCTATTCCGAGCAGAAAAGAGACGCTCGGTCCTTCGACTTTCGTTGCTCCTGGACGCGATCTAAAACGCTCGGAACATCCAGATTCTAAAAGATCCAGCTAGTCTAGATTTACCACGATCGGTCAGGATCGCTATACTCACCGTTCCCATGACGGAGCTCCTCCTGCACCTTGTAGAACTCTGCGAGCTCTCTGCCGCAGCATAGCGGCGTGTCGACCTGCGTGGTGCTGTTGAACAACGAGTAGTCGACCTCGTAACCCTGCCTGTCCTTGGAGTAGGTGACCATGGGCTCGAACCGGTGTCCCCAGAGTATCTCCTGCGGCAGGTAGCTGGACCTAGCCTGGGTAGTCTGCCCGGTGGACTCGATGGTACCTTCGAGGATAGCGACGACCTCGAACCTGTCCGTCAGCATGTCTTCGGCAGACATGGTGTAGAAGGGGGACTCCGAGTTGATCTTGTGGACGATTGTGGTGGGCCAGATGAAGAATAGGTTGCCGTTCTGGCCGTCGGTGCCAACGGCGAGCTCCTGCTGGTTCTGCGAGAGCACCTCGCCCTCCTTCGTGGTCCTGGTCCTGATCACCTGCGCCCTCACCGCCGCCCCGATGATGTGGCTCTTCCGCATGTCCCCGACGCGGAACATGAAGCACAGCTCGCCGTCCCTCTGGCAGATCACCGCGTTCCTCGAGAACAGCAGCGTCTGCGTCCTCTGCTTCGGCCTGCTCATCTTCGCGAACACTATGCCGACCATGAACGCCTGGATCATCACGCCGGCGATGCTCTGCACGCACATCACGAAGATCGCCTCGGGACACTCCTCGGACGTCGAACGGCTCCCGTAACCGATCGTGTGCTGGGTCTCGATGCTGAACAGGATGCAGCTGGTGAACGAGAAGATGTTGTAGATGCACGGCGTCCAGTTGTTCTCGAGCTGGAACGGCGGTAAATGCCGCTCGTCGAAGTCACCGTGGGTGAACGCGATCAGCCACCAGATCACCGCGAACCCCAGCCACGAAAGGATGAAGCTCAGGCTGAAGCACAGCAACGTCCATCGCCATTGCGTGTCCACCAGGGTCGTGAAGATGTCCTGGAGGAAGCGCAGGGACCGCCGAGAGATGCGAGACTGCAGCACGTTGCAGTCCCCGTTCTTCAGCACGGCCCGGCGACGCAGCTTGCGGGTTGGTCCTGCCCTGTAACGGCTCCTGCAAGATCCCAGGCCCCTGCTCAGTCATCAATATCAGCACTTCAGAGACACGATCGTTCGTAGAATATTTAGAAACAATGGTTGTTAGGGGGGAGAGTCGAGTTATCGGTGAAACTGCGTGGATGGGAATCTTCGGAGTATTTCGCGGATTCCACGATGCATTTCTTATTTTATAGAATATTTAGAACCTGGTCGAATGAATCTTACGTAGCTGGAAGCATGAACACAAAGCGCAGATACCCTAATGACTCTTTCATTAAATAGATAAGGGTTCAAAATAAAAGAAAAATAAAAAAAAAGACAAAATAAATGACTAATAACGAAACGGATAAATTGTACGTAGTTTGAAGAACGAAAACGAGGGTGTACAGACCCCGAAGACTGTTCAGAGTCCAAGAGCCCGATTAGGCACGCCGTAATCTTAGTTAACATGCGCACCAACCGACGCCAATTACGTTTTCTACGCTAATCTCGGACGTCGAGAGCGGAACTCGATTTGCATGCGGCTGACACGAGATGGAAAACGAAGGATCCGTCACCGCGTCGATTCCAGTCGCATCTTCCAGCCGAGCTATGTAACGTTGCTTGCACAATTCGACGGAATGCATTATGCTCGTCTCCCGAAGACTGGGTGTTGGGGACGCAACGAACATGGTGTAAACGTTGTCACCAAGGTCTCTTAGGCTCGACGCAACATATGCAACTCGATAATCTATTCTCCCCGAGAGATCATAGCCGATTAGAATAACAAATTCCGTGGATCACATTGTGTTCTGGATTGCTGGATCGATACCTGTATCTTTTTCGCTGCGAAAAAATTATTTCAGCGACACGCGCGCTTCGGAAAACCATTTATCAACGCTCCGACGCGTCTATATCTATGTTCATTTAAAATTTCATGCGACACCTAGGAAACCGTCGATGGGCGAACAAGCTTCCTTATAAAGAAAATAATCTAGACAGCGATCAAAACTTTTCTTACGTGCAGCCGCGCGAAGATCTAGAGGCACGTGTGCAGAAAGTTTGATCGCTTAACAGTTTAACTACCTTTTAAGTAATAATCCCCCAAAGAAGTTATTAGACTAAACGGCTCGGAATAATTTGTCGGTCCGTGAACGAATAATTGAACGGTTCATTGAATAATCGTCGATTAATATGGTTTCTCGAGACGGTTAAGCGACTACCGATAGACGAAACGTCGAGGTGCAGTTGCCGGGAGTATTTGCAAGGTGATCGATCGATCGCGTGGACCGCGCGGAACACGGGTTTCTCCGGGGTTTCAAGGGAAATACTCACGATGGATCTCTGCGCATTGTACGTCATCGTTCTTGAGCCTTTCCACGACAAGCCTGAGCGTCCCGAAATCACGGCAATTTAGCTGGTCGAACCGCACCGCGATTAACACGGGAACAACGGCGGCTCGATCTCGACCCGACCCAACTTCTCCCAATCACGCGGTTTATCGTGGACCTCGGCAAGACTTCGACCGGCAAATATATCGCTGCGCCGAGGAATTCGCGGGCTATTCACACGATCGGTCCGGCCCGGCCATAGTTCTCGCTCGGAACCAGTCGACAAATGATTCCCGGGCACGTCGAGAGGGCTCGATCAGCCGTTTTATCGCCACTGTTGCCATTCATGGCTACTGTCAGCGTTGTTTGCTCGCCGAAGAAACGCCGGACACACGCGTCGCTTAGTGACGACTTCTTAATCGGACCTCGATAAAGTAATTAGCCGGCGACCGTTGCCGCGAGTGTCGACGAACACACGGGCCCCGTTTCGTTGTTTGTGCGAGAGAAGCTGCGCTACCGTCACTGGGATAAAATCAATGCGACCGGTTCGATGATCCCGTTCGTACTCCTCCCTTTCGGACGGCCAAAAGGAAGTCGCCATTGTGACTTCGAATGATAACCGACCGCTATTTACCAATTTATTTATTGCCGTCCGCAAATCGACCGACGACACGCAGTGAACTCCGACGTTTCGGTCGGCTGTCGTCGATCGCCAACACGTCTCCTTCCTTTTTCGATTCGTAACCGGAATTCTCGTACTTGCGAAAACGTTGCGATCGAATTGTCTCACTCGTGCGAACGATTTCTAATTATTCGTGTGCTTATCGTCGTGCCCGTCGCACGGAACATTTTCCGGAAACAATGCGTCGAAAGGATTTCCGTCGCGCGTATAATTTCGAAATACGTTATCTTTGTGCTTTTATCGTCGAGTTCGCTGAAGCCTATCGCGTTGGAAAATAATCGTTTCGCAAAGGAAATAATAAATTAGAATTGGCTGTGTTGTTGTGCTTAACGTGCATTATGATCCAGAGAATCTTCTAATTCACAATCTATCAGAGAATTCCGCTCGACCTCCGCACGATTCTTCGAGATATCGGCAGGTCTCGGGCCGTTATCATAATCCCATGATAAGGCTAATTGCCGGCAAAGTGACTCCGAGCCACGGTCGCTTCATTAAACGTTCTACAAGGATGATCAGTTTCCACCAGCTGATTCGTGAATTAATCAGTAGCCAGCCATAAACGATCCGACATAACCAGATCCGAAAGATTGTCGCGCGCGAGCTGACAGCTCCACGCATTAATCGTGAGCATTAATGAATAATGATTAATCTCGAGATTCCGTGCGATTCGCGCGGAATCTATTGCGCAGCGAGAATTCCCATCGATAGACGATTCGAGCGTGACGGAACGTGACTTTACCTGCTGCGAAAGGACGAGGTGGGACTCTTCGGCAGTTGCAGGATTATGGGAGTCGACGGTGTCACCGGAGTCAACAGATTTTGCTTGTCCTCGGGACTCGAGGAGGACGTTGTCACGCTCAGCAGCGGACTCTTCGGAACCTCCGCGTTCATTTTAGCTTCCTCCAAACGTTTCTCCGATCGGAAATCGATTGAGAGCTCGATTTTATTCTCCGCGAGCTTCTCGACTCGCTTCTTAATTTCCTTAATTAATTTCCCTTTACTTTCCCAGCCCTCCTTCGATCGCACCCTTGTGCCGGTTCAACGAAGAGTTTAATGGTACGCGCGCTTCGATTTCATCTAGCCTTTAATTTCCTGAATTTATTTCTCCTCGTCTCGCACTCTGTCCTCTCCGATTGTGCCTCGTCCACTCCCTTTATTCGATCGTACTCTTTGCACTCTTCAATTTATTTTCCCTTCGCAGACACTGTTGATTTTACATCTGGATCGTGCCAACGTTCTCTGGCTCCACCGCCTAGATCCCCTTTATCGATCACCGTTCCATCAATTTTTCTGTAATCGGGCGAATCGTTCAGATAGCAGGCTTATCGGAGAAATTCGCACGTGAGATCCCCGTTTAAACTCTGTTCAAACAGTATTTCGATCCGCGCGCCGCTCGATTTCTCGGAGATAAAAATTCCCGGCGAGGTTCCTGATCGGTATATTATACCCGCGGCGGAAGCGGGTCGTCCGCCAGGTTCAGTAGCCGTGGAACGGGAACGTCATTGCTTCCCTCCCGTCATTAATTATCACACTTCACCGACCTTTCACTTATCGCGGCCGATCTTCCGCACGCTTATCGCGCTAATCGTGGCCGAGTCGAAAAGAACGGTATACATCATTTTTATCGATTGTCTCTCTCCTCGATGATGCTACTCAAGTATCCGTCGATCGGCGATCTTCGTCACCGGCGTCTTGAGTATACAGCTGGCACAATTCGAACAATCGTTCTCCAAAACGATTTACCGTCCCGCCGTTTCCCAATTAATTTAGCCGTATCTTCTCGATCGGATTTTACAGAGTTCACTTCGACGAGAATCGCTTCGATCCGAATGTTTCTTCGAGAAATTCCCGATATTGTTGCAAAGCGTTTTCAAGTCGATTCACTTCGTCGATGTTTCACTGCCGCAGCCTGGCTTTATCGATGATCCTCGGTTATCGAGCAACTTCCTTCATTTTTCTCGAAGATGATCGTTGGCTTCGATGATCGGTTTCGAAGACAGAGCTGGTCGCGACGGTGGATCGCTGACTAGTTTGCTAGTGGTGGATCTACTGATGTCCGACGAACGAGGCTGCTCGTCTTATACGCACGAGCCAATACCTGGCCAGCGGTCTCCACTTATCAGTTACTAACAATAACGTTTGCTCTTTCCATTTGCGGGAAAATGGGCTGGTTGCGTCATGCGGTACACTCGCGGGGGTATGCGAGTCCTGGCCAGGATACCTCAGGATCTCTTCCCCACCCTGGATCGGTGATTTCACTCCGGCGAAGTTTCAATTAAAAGCAACTTCTTTGAAATTTCTAGACGATGATTTTAGACGATGCTATATTTCTCTAACTATGCATAAATGATCGACGCCGAACAGATAGGAGTTTCTTAATTCTTTCCATATCATTATCGCCATTGTACGTCATAAGATCGAACTTCTGAATATCCGAGAATTTCGCCGAAGAATATCCTTATTGTTCAACGATTTTCCGGTAAACGAATGATTGAATGTTAAACCATCAAGCTCTTATCCCCACGAATCAGCAGCTCCTAATGGCCCGAAGCACTCGGCGTATCTTGATCTCCTCACCTCTAATTTGTTAAACGACACTCGCGGCGGAGGAACTCGCGGCGTTTCGCGTCGCGCCTCGAGCTTCTCATTTACTTATCCTCGCGCGATTAATTGTTGTCTGCGGGATCATGACGGGATGATTCGCTTCGAGGCTCGATCTCCACTTTGAATCGACTGTCTTCGACTGGTCAGCCACCACTCTTGTCCCGACAGAGACGACTTGTCCTCTATCGGCCAAGAATAAGGCTTCGCGCGCCGGTCTTCGCACACGCGTCTAATCTTTATTGCACCGATCTGCAACGATCCGATGACAGCAACCTGCCGGGTTGCGTGTCTCTCTTTGCTCGGTACTTAGACGAATTACTCAGGAAAATGGCATTCGCCGGTGTGTCCTATCTGCTTCGGCTGCTTAACTCTTTAACGAGCGAATTCCTGAAAGTCGTGCTCGCCGCGCTGAAAATTAACGAGGGAAAATCGTTACCCGGTTGCTCGGTCCATTGTTTCCGATTTTAATCGTGCAACAAGAACCGACTGCGGTCTCGCAAATTCTCTCGCGCACAGGAGACCGATATCTGTTGGTATCTGCTATCCGTTCCCGTTTTCGAGCAAAAGTTTCGCGATCGCGATAACGCGCGGCTCCCCGAGCGTCGTAACGTGCGCTATTAATTAAACGCTGTTCGTTCGATTCTCTTCTCTCCTCCGTTAGCTTTTAAAGACCCTTGATTTTCGCACTGTATTTAGAGCGCACGTGCGATTCGAACGCAGCAGTTTCTATCGCCGAATAGTTGAATATACAATAATTTGAAAATAGTTAAACGAGATGTTGACTACGCGTTGAACACGATGATGCACCATCGACTTGGTTCGACTGACTGAAAGTCGGAGGCATGTCTTATCAAGAGCGAGACATCTTCTTATCGGAATCGAGTTACGTGAATTCGCTCATCGGCCGCGAAAACCGTCACGAAGCCGGTCGATCGAAGAGCGTCCGTGCAAAAGGAACAATTACGTATCGCCGATGCTGACGTTCGGCTCGATCTCTCTCGCGCTTGTGCAAACGGAGAATTTGTCAGATAAGAGTCGCCGATGCGAAGAAACGACGGGAATCTCGATCGACTAATGCACGAGATGAAATCAGCCGAATCGAAGCGAAAAACAGATCGACGCGAGAATTTCGAAGATGGATCGTTCAGAAAAATGTTTGCGGCTAATCGATCGTGTTCGCGCTAAAGTATAAAGTTGCACGGTGTAACGGTCCCACGATCGCGGGCCTTTTGCGTTTAATGGGCCAACGGTACCTTTGTGAACGACATTTTCACGCGTGATTCACCCTCCGCCGGCTAATTCGATCCATTGTCAACGAATTGGAGCTTCCTTGGAAAGAAATTCGAGCCGGAAGGGCTCGATCAACACCGGTGGAACGGTGAATCGCATTAGCCGCCGGTAATTTATTCCGCGCGCACTATAATGGCGCTATTCCATAGTGGACGAGGTATCGTGTGCGTCGTTTGTAGGCGTCAATTGAGAACGGTACTAATTCTACCGAGCTCGCTGCTCGAAAACTTGGCCTGCCGTGCTCTTCTACGACTGCCCGCGAAATATCTTGATTACCGATCTCTGTCTCTCTCTCTCTCTCTCTCTCTCTCTCTCTCTCTCTGCCTCCATTATTTACCGTAATTACCATCGACTGCTATTTCCTAACAATAACTCATCAATTATTCCCTCTGGAAACATTTATTTCATTACCGACTGCTTCGTTCATCAACGCGGAAGCTGTCAACCGTCAGCCAACAGAAGCTTATCGAGCAAAATTAATTACCGAGGTAACACTCTTGATTACTCTTCGTCATTTCCCTCAGAAGAATCTGCGATCTGACTATCCCACGAATGTAACAATAGATTTCATTACAAAGACAATAGTTTCTACGTTATCGAACGCTGCAAAAGAGGCGAAGTTCGACGCGAGTCTCGCATGTGCCAGATTAACCGGGAATTACCCACGAACCGGGACAACGCCTCTACTTTCCTCGTACACAATGTTGCAGTTCGTTTCTCTAGAGCCGCGGTGAATTCTACGCGAGATCGGGTTGTTGTAATAAATCGTATTCTACCTCGTCGAACAAAACCAACCAGTTGTTCCGTTTCTCGCGTCGCCGGCCAGAATCGGATCTCGATCGCGAACCCACGGATCTCGCTTCTCTGCCGGAAGAGCCGGCCGATTTCTCGCGGTCGGACATGATCGACGCACAGTTTTCAGCGAACGACACGATTAAGAGCCGAGCGTTAATGCAATCATCGGGTGCAAAAGCTCACTGCCGGGCCGGGCCGAGCCGAGTCTCGCCGCGGGCTGTCCGAGCGCGTCGTCGCCCGCTTCGATAACGAGCTTTTAATTAAACTAACGAGACCGGACGAGCCGCGAGGCTGAGACGCACGAAGATTTTTCGTTTCGACGACGACGCGCCACTCGGGAGTTTCCGAGGAAACGAAAACTTTATTCCCCCCCCGCCTCGAGTACTGTGTGCTTTTCGAAATTGCTCAGGGATCGCTGTTTGTCTTTTCTTCGATTAATATTCGATTAAGGGAGCCGAGCGATTGCGAAATTCCGTGATCCTCGAGCTTCGGGCTGCCGGATTTCCTTAGATTGTAATTCCTTCGACGAGTATTTAATCGGAAAAACGAGAAGACGATTCTCGTATTTTTCTTGGAGCTCGAGACTCGCAAAACTTTCTGTAATTATCCGGAATTTTGTTTCCTTGGATCGATCTTTCGTTTAATTGGGGAGGATGCAGTTTTCTTCGACGGCAAAATATTTCAGGCTGCTTCGAACGATCAGTCCCTTCGGAATTTTAATCGTTTCGATGATCGTTCAATCCGATGAAGCGACTTGGAAATTCCCGAATTTTTCTTGCAGCTCAGAATGTTGTTTTTCTTCTCGATTACTCGTTTTAACCGAATCGAAGAGGATGGCGGTCTTCCTCGACGCGAAAATCCCGCTTCTCGATAATTCTCTGCTTGTTCAACATATTCGAAGTTCTCGGGCTCTCGTCGTGAATTTTAATCACTCTTTTGTGAATTGCCATTCAATTTCCAACAATAAACGACAATGAGTGCGGTACAGACAAGCGTTAGGTCACAGGATACCGAACTTCTATTTCCATAAGCGGTTCAGCGCATGGCAATTTGTCACGACAGGCTTGTTAAGCGTATCTGTTGCACGTTTAATCTGTACAGATAAGTGTGACGGATTAGACGCGCGGTTGATAATTGGTTCGCCACATAATCCTCGACGGTCTAACATATGTATATAATTTACATCGGTCCAGACGATACGCGCGAGTGTGTTTCATCGGTATTATCTGCGGAGTACATGCGATCCTGTAACGCTCGCGTAGAATCGCGCATATCCTTTCGGAATCCTCTAAATCGAATTCAAGTTCAAACTCGAACTTCCTGGCGTCGACGTCATTGGGAGATAAAGCGGAAGAATCGGCGAGAAAATCGCGGAGTTCCGCGAGGTATCGTCTTTCCAGCAGGAAACGCGAAATCTGATACACGGCGAGGTTTCATTCCGAGTTTCCGCGATTAATTCTGACCGCGATCCACGGATTAATCTGTTAGAGACGGCCTTTCGGCGCAACCTGAATTACTCCGACGCTCTTTGTTCGCGTTTCCCTCGGGAAACGACGAACACGTTCGTTTTACACGGCTCACGAATCTTCTGGCCTTCTTCGCGCAGTCGTCGGTTCAGTCGATCGCGAGATCGGTGACACAAATAAATCAGAGAAGCATCAAATATTTGCAGCGAAACGAAGTGATAATTGATAAGATCGAAGCGATTACATGTCGAAGACATCGCGGATCTCACGGATGCATCGAGAATTCTTTCCCAGCGACGAGACGACACCTCTGCTCGTAAATTCGACAAATGCATTCTAAATTTCCGTCACGAGCGAGTTGACAGCAAAAATGGCATGTCGCCGCAATAAATAATTAAAAGCAAAGGTGTGCGGAGGATCGATGGACGCCGGGAGCCCGCAGATGGGAAAGAAATCCTCGGGCATCAATATTCTCGGCGAATTAAGGCGAAAACGTGGCAGATCGGCGAGCCCCGGCGAAGGACGGGCCGCTCATTTGCAAATTTTGCAACCGCCTGGACGCGGGCCGCATGCGAAACGCGGTCCCGTCGCTTGATAAATGACGACGTGGGGTTTGCCGAACGTGAATTACAGGTAAAGGGTAAACACAGACGGTGTTCTGCGAGCTTGGTAGTCGGTGGACAGAGGCTCGTTAGTCGGACACGCGGCCTCGGGGACCTCGTGAAAACGTACGGCACCGGGTCTCGCCGGGACATTAATAGAACTTTGCTCGATAAATTGCACCTGTCTCGCGTATTAAACGCCGCCGCCGGTAAATATCGTCGACGAATGATAATAATTATGAACGGAACGGCTACGCCTCGAGCCGTGTCCCTGTGCCCGTGGAATCGTTGCGAGAGAGAAAGTATACTCGTTGGCTGCCGAACGATTACGAGCCTTCGTAACTCGAAGATCACGGTGGTCTTTCTTCGTCGATTTATTTTTATTCCGGTCTCGCTACCTGTCGGATCGTTACCGCAACGTCTACCGTATTTTCCCGAGCCCTTGGATCTTCGAACAATTTCCTAGAACCTGTTTTTCCAGATAGACCAAGAACTTCACGCGGTTCTTCACAAAATCGAGTAGACGAGCAAGGCTATTTGCCAGTCATCGAAACGACGAGTGCAGAGAATTCTGCTCGTTTTACAGTTCGTTAATGGAAGTTAATGCCTCCTGTAGAAAAATCGCGTCGTCCGGACGAATTAACGTCCCGATTTTTGAGAAGAACAGTGAACAAGCGTCGGCGTTGTCAGCGGATCGGTGTTTTTTCTAGCATTTTCGCCGTCTATTTCGAGCGGCAAACAGCATCTGGCGCCAAAGGAACTCGGCAACAAATCCCTCAAACAAAACGTGAACCGCTTTCAGCCGAGGACGATTCATGCGCGAGATACACTGCCTTGGGAAGTAGCCACGTGATGCTTAAACTGTTCGCGACTGTTTTGTTTGGTAATTGTCGAGCGATTATATCTGGTTTGTCGGTAATGCGTTCATTCTTCGCATGCTAAGTGGACGTTTCCGGCCGTCTTCGACGCACCTCCTTAGTTTCGCGATTCGGTAAATGAATAGACGGTTCAACGAACGATTTTTCTATCACTGATAAGCGCTGCGGGGACAGTTAACGCGTTACCAAGTCGAAACGTACTTGAAGAAGGCTGGATCGGAGGTAGAAGAGTAGCTTAAAAGTCAATCTCTCTCTAAGAGTCTAAGAGCCTAAGTTCGACGTCGACGAAGAAGCGAATGAAGAAGAAGGAGAAGAAGATGATCTAAATTCATCCGAAGAACAATCTAGGATCGCGAGAGTGCAACGAGTCCAATGAATGAAGGGAAAACAGTGGATTTAGACTCACCTGGTGGAATCCTGCCGACCAACGCCACCGATGCTGCTGCTCTGGGTGCTAACCCTGACGAGGGTGACGTTCCTGGGCAGGCTGGACAGGGTGCCGAGGTTTCGTTGGCCTAACAAGGGCGAATCGGCAGCGACAGGGTTCTCGGGTACCGTCAGCTGGCCTTGAACCTCGGTGTCCTTCTCCTCCTCCTCCTCGATGGTGCCCGGAAGGCGGAACAGCTTCTGTGGCTCCTCCATGCCGATCTTTCACTTTCCACATAAATCAATCTCCATCGGGAACTCGAGGATTCGAGTCGTCTCTTCTTCTTCGTCTTCGTCTGTTCTCTTCGGCCCTGTTAGCGGTCTTCTGTGGGAACCAACACGTCCTCAAGAACGATACCCCTTGATCCTCACCTGATGGACGTCGCCGGGCGACGATGACTCACGTCTGCTGGCCACCGAGAGCAACGTTCCGTCTCCTGCCATCGTTTCTTCGTCTCCGTCTCCTCTCACTTTCCACCGGCATTCGCACCGCCCTTCCGTTCCTGGAATCCCGGCATTCCGCGTACCCTACGAGAAACAATGTCACAACGTTAGTCGAATTAGTGTCGGACGCTCTTCCTTTTGGACTTTGGATCGCCATGAAGATGTTCGACGATCACGAAGAGGAGAGGGGATTTACGTAGATCGATATCGTGTTACTCCAGACTTTCCTGTTTACAAATTTTACGAAAAATTTAACCGGCGAGCCCGCTACGAACAATTTACACGATCGTGACGATTAGTCTGCAGATCTTCATGCAAAATGAAGTCTAGGTAATGATATTGTTTTGAGATAAGCATCGGATTTTTGCCTCGACTCGAAGAGCGACGTATCCACGTTCTTTTCAGATTTTTCTATTTTGTCTCTCGATGAACGATCATCAGAATTTTCGGAATTATCGTACACGTTTGAATCACAGTGTGCGAAATTGAGACAAGAGACCGCGGGTTAACGGACGCCGATAACATTGTTGAATGGTTCTTCGAAAAGCAGCGCGTTATCGGTTGTCCTCGAACCGTGAAAGTTCGCCGATTTCGTGGACGTTTCGACGTGATTTCATTTCCACAAGAAATTCTTAACCGATGGATGAGTCACGCGTTCCGTTATCGCCCGGGATCGTAATAATTACAAGATCGTCGCTGTTTTTCGACCGTTCCGACATTGTTACGAAAGATAAGCCTTCGCTCGAGAATATTTGCCTTGAAGTATCTCTGTTTCTCTTCGGAAGAAACCAGAGGTAAAGAATGCTTAACGACTGTCCCGCGAGTAGAAAAAAAAGCCGAGACGAACACACAGCGTACTGGGAAAAATGACGATGAATTAGAACTTCGATGAGCGGTCGCATAATTATTTCGTAGATTTACAGATTACAACGAGTCGTAATCGCTGAATCATCGAACGAATCATCGCGCGACGTTTCTCGCGACCGTGGTAATTTTTATCGGAAGATGGTTTTGACCTGTTTTAAAAATGTCTCGTTCTATCTATCGATCGTCCGTCGTACATACATCGAACTCGATGATGTTTTAATTACCGTTGCGAAACTGTCGACGAGACAGAAACGGATAATCATTGTGCAAACAGATATTTATAACAGATAACAGATAACAGATCTTGTCTACCACGGTAACATAAATTACGCTCTCTGCTTTTCGATCCACCACGCCATCCTCATAAATATTCCGTTATCGTGCCACCGCCGCCTATCCGGGCTGTCTGAACCGTTCTCCGGGAGATCGACAACGTCTCGCCTTCATTTTCTAGCGAAAGATCCATAGATCAAAATGCGGGACCGTTGCTCGCGGGAACGAGTGAAAGTTCGGCCCGTTATTCGAACCGTGGAGCAACGATACGCCACTATTCCCTCAACGTTTCTGAATGGAAGGACCCGAACGTTTCGCGGAAACCGTAAATTACGGAAAGTCGGAGACGAGTGTGACTTAATAGTTGCGTGAAATAATCTCTACTAACATTCGAAGCGAGATGCAACAATATTATTCGCAAGCATGTCGACATCGCCGAAAACTTGTTCGAATTTATCAAACACTTCTGTGGCAAAATCTGGGCGCACGAAAATCTAGAATAACAAAGGCAAGATATTGCTTTCAAAATTGATGATCCAGTTAATTGTATCCAGTGATAAAATTGGAAAAATGTTTAAGTGGAAGAAAAACGATCCGAGGGAAGCGGGAATCCGAGAAAAGGAGAGGCGATTGAGAAGTATAGTCAGGCGATTCGAGTGAAAAGCAGAGGGTGCAAGATCGAGGAGGACGGCAAAGATTTAAGTAGAAGTGGATCCTCACTGATCAGACTGGTCGGTCACGGGGGCTCGGGCGATTCTCCCCTTGTTTCCCTGAAGGAGCAGCGCACGTAAGCGCGTCGCACTCGCAACTGTTTCGTTTCGGATTCGCGGCCGTTGCACGAGATTGTGCGAACGGATGCCATGGCGTTTACCTCTTATGGCGGGGATAATGCAGGCACACCGTGGCACATACGCGCTCGAACACGCGCCGCTGCCGCCTGGCACGTGTGCCAGCCTGCGAAACAACCCGCGCGATCATTCCGACGCGGAATTTCGCCGGATGCGGACCATGTGTCCCCGACTGCATTTTTATTTCGACACCGAAACCCTGCACGACTGCCCACAAAATTGCAATCTCGCGCTGCGCTTCCCCGCACATTCGAAAATTCCATACAAATTTCCCCGATGGTCGAAAAGGGGGATCGGAGTCTCTCTCCGAGTTCTCTCTCCGAAAATATTTTTAGAAGACTTCTCGAAGCGCGTCGTTCCTTCGACCTTAATATCCAATAAATTATCCATTATTATTATTAATTATCCAATAAATCGCAGAACGGAGAAAAGGCTTCCTGCACTGATAAAATGAGGAATTTCGAACTGCATTTGAATAAAATATGAGGAATTTCAAAGCGTTCATAGCCTAACGATCTAGCGAGTGCAGCAAGAAACGCGAACTTTTCGAGGCTCGAGCGTGCATTCTCTCGATTGTTCGTCGAGGAGACGATCGCGCGGAGTAGAAAGAAGCTTATTGATAAATATCTCGGGTCCCGCCGCGGCGGGCATAATTGCGCGTGTAATCGTATGCGTGGTCGTTTGTGCAGCGCGATTCAGGGAGAAGAGGGACGTTTCCGGTAGGGAGAATGCAGAAACCTGCGCGCGCGAAGAATCGTGTCTTAGGTTGGGCTAGCTCGACGTTGCTCTTAACGTTGAAATTCACGTGCCGAGCCGCGGATGATCCGTACCCGTTGATTGCGAGGCACGTTAATCGTTCTGCCCGCAATTACGGTCTCGCGTTGAAATTTCCATTCCACGTCTCGAATCGTACGAGCCAAATCGCGGTCGTCTTCGGGATCGAAGATGCATACCCATAGAAAGGTATGGCCAATGGATCGGTTACGTAAAACTTGCATGATCCTCGGCGGCACGCGAAAATTTGTGTAACGGGCAACAAAAGATGGTACTTCATTTGGGATTCATTAGCGACGGAGATCTTTAGAGCGCGGCTTCTTCGTCGAAGCTTTCTAAAAGCTTTCTTCGATGGAAATTGGCTCGTGATACTCGCTCGTACCGAACCGGGTGGATTCGGAGAGATGGACGGTGTGTCCTGTAACTGGTGGTGCAACCGATTCTACGTTAGAAAATAAGTCGGGAAAAGGGTAGCATTTTTTCATTCAACACTAGAACCACCGAGCCCTAAATGTGAGTGATGTGGGAAATGTAGGAAATATCAGAAGACTGTTTTTTTGAAAGATGCAAGTTACGCCTGGTTTGTAGTATGACGAGAAGTAGAATCGGTACGTCACGACCAGACGTGCCACTCGATTCCTATTAAATACAGTAATGCCTCCCTAACTGACGCTCAGATTGTACACAAAAATGGACAATTTGGGAAGAGGAGATACGATTATTCGAGCCTTGTAGCTCGTTTTTTATAGTTGTTGACAATTCGTAACTATAAAAGCGAACTGCAAGGCTCGAATTCGCAAGGCTCTTCTTCCCAAATTGTTCATTTTTGTGTACAATCTGAGCGTCAGTAAGGGAGACATTACTGTAGTATCATTTCTTGAAGCTATTTTTTCTCGAAAACGAAGCCTCGAGTGTAACATATTTACTCTATACCTTCGACTTATCTTTTTACGTAGAATCAGCGCCTATCCGGATTTATCACCCGTTGCCCGCACCCTGTAGATCCTCCCGAGGTAACTAATTGTTCGACATTTTTCTAGATGCGACTTTATAGAAACTCGTAGATTGCAAACGCGTAAAGTTAAACGGCTCTGGAGAATCGTGTGGCTTGCGAAGGCATAAAACCCGCAGTTTACCGACCAATTATTTCCTTGGAGTATTACAGAATCGCGTGGATGATGATGGCATAAAATCCGCGGTTTATCGATCAATTATCTCCCTAGAGTCTTCGAGTATCTATCGCGTGTATTACAATAAAAGCCTGTGCCGCGCTTTCGATCGAACGAGGCTGGAACGAGCGTGCATCGATCGTTGAAGACTGTTACGTTCGTCCTGCCCTTCGGGAAATAAATCCGAGCTCGGATTTCGGAATTGGTTTGCGGAATCGTGGAACCACGCACGCATCTGGATTCCATTGACGCCGGCGCGTCAACGCGAAGACGGTTTCGCAATTGTCGCAACGCGCGCGTGGCAAAAGCAATCAGCGGGAAGCGTGTTTTTATTGTTAAAAGTCCCCGCGTTTCGCACGGTCGCGATCCTAATCTCGCCGACGTTCGTATGAAAAATCGAAAGGCTGCGGAACCGTTTCGCGATTCCTGGTATTTCATTCATCACCGCGACGCTGTTTCCGCGTTTCGAAACGCGGACAGTGATAAGCGCGCTCGCGCGCTCAAGCGTCGTTCTCGTTGCCGAGCGTTCCCCATAAAATTTCGCGGAGAATTAAACGAAGGACTGTGTGCGAACCAGCGATCGAGAGCACGGCAGTCACGAAACGACGGGACGGGCCGATTCGCCGAGAAGAAACGAGGTCGACACGCGATCGGATGTCGGAAAATTCGCGTCCCGCTTGATGATCATTAATCACTGATCGTCCGTCCGAGCGGCTCATTGTCTTTCCGGCGTGGATCACGTGAACCGACGACACGCCGCGCCGTGCAGCGCCGGAGCGATCGCACACCGATCAATTAACGCATTCTCTCACGTCATCGGCGTTTACCTTTCAAACGCGCCAGTGATGCCAACGATCGCCGCGGAAATCCATGGAAACGCACTCGCACCGGCGTCGATCTTCCCCCTTCGGCCACCCTTTGGATCCTCCGGATCCTTCCGTCGATCCGAATCAGTCGACGCAGCGAAATCGACACGGTNTTAGAGCGCGGCTTCTTCGTCGAAGCTTTCTAAAAGCTTTCTTCGATGGAAATTGGCTCGTGATACTCGCTCGTACCGAACCGGGTGGATTCGGAGAGATGGACGGTGTGTCCTGTAACTGGTGGTGCAACCGATTCTACGTTAGAAAATAAGTCGGGAAAAGGGTAGCATTTT